ATTGACCATTAGTACAAGTCCTTTAATAGTAAATGAATTACCTTTGTTTTTATTTTTATTTTTCCTACGGGTTTAATAATTTGATTAAATTTATAATCCGTGCATCGCACGGTCACTATGCTAGTTTATTCATCTAAATTACAAAACAGAAAAAGAGGGATAATTTGGAAAAAAAGTAATTACTAAAAAAAAAGGAGAAATGTAATTTTGAAATACCCAAAAAGAAAAGCAAGAATGTAAAAAAGGAACGAAAGGAGTAATTGAAAAAATTGGCAGACACTATTGTAGTTGTAATATTTGAAATTTTATCCATAAACTTGAACCGAATATTCAAATAACTCAGGGTAATCATGTTTTTTGTAATATATAAACATAGTTCTTGTAAGTATTTTTTACCTTATAGTTTAAATATATATGAATAAATATCTTGTTACACCACAACTATTACTCATATTTTCCCTTAGTATCTGTCAATTTACCCACCTAAAATAATAAATTTGTATTTTACCCATGCATAGTACCCAAAATAATAGATAAAAGTTGTAATATAACACATGGTAATCATGTTTTTTAATATATAAAAATAGTTCTTACAAGTATGTGTTATCTTAGAGCATCATCACTCGTGGTATAATTTTATACCACGGTGTAAAAACTCATAAAAACATGCAATTTTTTACTACATTGGTGGTATAAAACTATACCATTTGATGGTATATACCATCTCATGGGAAACAATTGCTTCGATCCCCGTGAAACATAAACCAACCAGGTCACACCATGTGACCTGGTTATCATGTACTTTTATTTTATTTTTTTCAACTGCATTTTAAGAAAAAATTATAAAGTAAATAATTATGAAAAAATTACCATTGTTCATAATTTTTCAAGAGCTACACATAGACATCCATATTGATATAGTTTTATATATTTTTTCGAATTCACTTTTTAATGCATAAATTGCTTATTTTATTTAATTAACTTTACAAACATTAATTAGTTATTTCCAATAATAAAATGAAATATAATTATAATTAAATTAAGGGTATTATTAATATAAATAAGAGAGAGAAAGTGTGGTGGTAAACTTTTTTTATACCGTGGGTCGAATGATTTTTGGAAAAAGTATATTGTATTGTGGTATAGATGATGTGGAGGAGTGAGAAAGTGGTAGAGAGTGTAACACCCCAATAATTCTCTCTTTAAATATGTGAGGACCCTGAACAATATTCAAGAGAATTACTGGCGTGTTACCGCCACGTGTTCAAACGTCAAGGCTTTATCAGAAAATAGCAGCGGAAAAACTAAATCAGTTATAAATAAGTTTTAAAACCAACGAATGAAACCAAATTAAGTCATACAACTTGGAACCATTAAGGCCCTTATTCGAAACCCAATAAAAGTAGTAAGTGATTAAATTTAGTGTTCAAATAAATTCAAACCCAAAAGAAATAGTGTCGAATAAAATCAAATTAAAATAAATTCAAACTTGCAAAAGAAATAAAATGCAAACAACCAACTCTCTACTCAAGATCTCACAACCCTGATGAATGCTGCATGTGTAAGAACCTGTGGTAATTCTGCTCCCTAATATTACAAGTGTAAAAATTGGATCGTCACAGGGTCATTGAAAGGCGAAGGCCATGACCAAAGAAAGACACACAAAGCACGCAATCAGCAAAGCTGAGTACATACAAGCTGCGAAATAAATTAAGAAATCCATAACATGCTACTAATAATCAATCATCATGCATCATTAAATTATACACTCAACACACGACTCAACTATTTATATTACTAAGACTCCATTAATTAATAATAGGTAAATCATTATTTTTATTCATTGGATTACGCAATAGACAAGGTTGTCCAACCCATGCTCCATTTGGAACATCAATAAAAGAAAAACTCCATGCCTCCTTTCGGAAACATCAATAAACATCCAACGACCACGGGCGCGACTCCGTGACCGTAGTTAGTATATGTGAGATCTCACCTAACTCCTAGTTTTGAAAAATATTTGAAATAAGAGACTCGTAGATCAGACGACCTCGAGAAAAGTACACGACTAATACCCCATGTACCCCAACCCCTGATTGTCATTACTCCAGAAGTGCACCAATCCAGAGTTTTATTGCTCATCCATCTTGCACTTTACGTGATCTACAGGTTTAGACTTGGTGATGACTCATATGCATAACAATACAATCAATCCAATATCAATTCAATCAAGTAAAACAACTTTCAATTTCAATTCTTGATTTATTAGTGGCAAGCAACATTTATTATTTATTCCTTTACTACCTCGGTGTAGAAACACCTTGAGTGCATAAGGCACCCCAAAACCTTAACCTCGTCTTAGAAGACTTAAATTCTTCCTTTACTTATCCTGCTTGCATAATCATGAATGAGTAATAAATTAACAATTACACCAATCATATACCTTTGCCTCTAAGCGCACCTTGCATAATTAGAGTACAAATAATACTTGCAATATAAAATAGTGCATGTAATACGAAATTCACAATGTATAACCAAACAATTTAACTTAGTCATCCCTATACATGATACTAAGTTCTCGATCCGTCGTCCTTAAACATGCACCTAAAAGAAAGGTTTCGTAACTTGTACGTACCTTGAGCAAACGAATTTGTATGCCACTTTACTAACTAGAAATCACCTTTAATAAACTCCTCTCCTAAGCCAAATAATAACATCTCAATCAATACCTAATCAATCAAATTTACAGCAATACTAACTTACTTTAAAACCTTCAAAATCCAAATCAAACAACACTTTAAAACCTTCCCTTTAGTTAAAATTAAAGGCTTATATATAATTCTTTAAATTTTCTTTATAAAAACCTTAAAATACACTATTATACATGAAATTATAGCAAGTTCAAAGTCTAATAAAAATCTGAAAATTATATAAAAACCCCTAATAAAAATCTCCCTTTTCAATGGGTGATTAAACTCTCTTTATAAAACATCAAAAGTAGTACTTAGAAACTATTTCCAACACTTAAAACTTCAATAAAAACATATATTTATGCTTAATTAACTTTAAACATAATTAATTTTATTAATCAAACTCAAGGATAATATTTTAAGTATGAAAAAACTTCGTTAAAATCAAAAACTGCCCGAAAATCAAAAACTTTTCAATATACTTCCTCCGTTTTCTTTTACTTGCAACACTTTCCTAAAAAGGAAATGTCACAATACTTGCAACACACTATAAAAGGAAAGTTATTTTAGGGAAAAACTATACTATATCCCTTATTTAAAGCACATGGCCCACTATATTACACTTCTAACAACCACTCATCCTATTTTAAAGTTTATTGTATCATGTAAACCCCCACCTTTCTTAATTACCGCGCTAAAGGGTCTGTTGCATCTAAAAGAAAACGGATGAAGTATTAACTTTGTGTAATTTAAATTAATGCACAATTATATGCAAAAATATTATTGGTCAAAATAGTAAATTTTAGAGATTGTTTAAATGTAACACTTAACAAAGTGGATGTAGGACTTTGTATTATATTTTTTAAATAAAATATATTATTTATACACATTAGTATATTTGAGTGATAATCTACATTTAATATATAATCAAATATGGAGTATATATTTTTCTAATCCGTAAGATAAACTTGACTTAATTATTAGATATGGATGGAGGAGGCCAGGGTGAGATCCATGAAGAAACTTGAAAAGGTCACATCCCACAAGCGTAGTCTCAAGTTGAATTTTTCAGGATAAATAATTGGTTGAAATAATTGGTTGAATTGAGTTTGATAATATTAGTGAGGTTGACAACATAGCACAGTTAGCTTACCATGAAAGGATTAAAAGATTGATTGTATTATTCACAAAGAATTACATCCAATTATTTTACAAGTCTAGACTCTAGAGCATATACAATAGATGTGTGTGCGCTAATAAAGTAATAACGAAAGCTAATGTATAATGTATGGAGTACAAAATAACAGAATATACTCTCCTTGAATTAAGCAAATAAAGTCAAATGATATAGACTATATATGCTGAAAATCCATGAATAACATTGATTGAGAAACAATACTAAGCAAGTCAAGATATTATCTCGGAGTATCCTTAATAATAAGATATTTGACAATTATACATATTACCAAAAAAAAAAATTAAAAAAAAAAAAAAAAAAAACTAAGATAGGGACACGTGGCAGCCATGGAAGTAATGTACCTGTTTTAGTATAGTACTAGATTAGCCCCGTGCGATGCACGATTTTAAAACAAGAAATGAATTATAGACTCTTTAGCACATGTTTTTTTGATGAGACACGTCCATATGATTCCTCTTTCGATAATGTTGGGAGAAGAATTGTTAAAAAGTGTGAAATAGTGAGTTATGGGATCCCCAACTAGTAGATATTGATATCCTTCCATCGTTAATGCTGAGCTACAACCATTTAAATACTGCGCAATCTTCCCCAAGGATTCTAAAATGGAGAAAAATCAATTGATTACTCTTTGGTTATCTTCACGATGAATTTGCAACCAGCGACACAATGGAAATGATTGGTGAATTATTCCTTGTTAGAAGAGGAGACAGATATTTTCTTCTCGAAAGAGGAGCGAGCTTTCAGAAATGGAATAGTGTACAAGATGCACGATTTAGTGCATGATCTTGCAGCCTACATTTCAAAGTATTTTTGTTTAGAAAAGGTTCCGTATATTATTGGGCAGCTTATTCATCTCAGGTACCTTGACCTATCTTATAGTACTATTGATGAAATACCAAAAAGTCTAGAGGAGTCTACATCTTTGGAATGCATTTCCATTCAACCCTTGAGTATCTGGATTTAATGAGTTGGAACAACTAACTTGTCATCTCTGTGGATATCAAACTGCACCAAGTTGGCAAATCTACCTTCAACACAGGCCCTATCTCGTCTCTCTAACTATTAAAGGCTGCCCAAGGTATGTCAAAGATGTTGAACCTGGATGCATCAAATTCGAACAAGTAGAGACCTTCATTTTGTGCCTTAAAATACTCTTACATATACAACAATGAGCTCACAAAAAACAATGTAATACTAGAAACGCTAGTACATTTTCTTCTTTTAAACTCATTCGTAATAGGTGCCTCGTAGATTGAATAAGCAATAAAAGAATACCAATCATTTGAGGATCGATCGATCCTCTTCCAAACTTTTCCTCATAATAAAGTAAGCTTGTGATGGAATCAAATTCCAAATGATCTACAGTTTGCCTACATTAAATTAGGAAATCAGCACGTACTACATTAGAGGCCGAAATTTTCTTTTTCCTCAGATTTCTTTGGTCTCCGTAGAGGGCTTCTCCTAGCAGGTTCACCGGAGTCCTTGTGTACAACAGGTTCTTCTCCATGTTCAGTGTTCCTGACTCTCAAAAGGTTGCTGTTAGAGGAAGCAGATCGCATGGCCCTTGGCAACTTTAAAGGGATATTTGCTTCGGTTGTACTGCTCTCTGCCGCCTTTTTACTTGCTGCTACATTGTCAGCTGCACAGCTCTCTGCCTTTTCCGGTAGATCTACATGCTCACCTTGTACTGATGTTGGGGCTGCTGGAACAAGCTGAATAGTGGATTTCCGCCATTTTTTCCTTTGGATGGGCCTTGGTACATTTGATTTTCCCTGCAACAAGTTCAAAAACATAGTAAAATAACAATACAGAAGTATCTAGATAGGATATAGCACAAAGATATTGTAGAGACAGAACATACAGCTGTATTCCCAATATCAGCCAAAGGCTTTCTTTTGGCACCATTTTCTTCATGTTGTTCAGCAGGCCTTTCAGTTAAAGCATTCTGAAGTAATGTTGCACCTTGGGTGGCAAGATCTCGATCGTGCTCTACATCATTAGGAGGTATACAGTCCTCTTTGCTCTCACCTTCCCTGTTACTGCATTTATTGGAGGAGCAACCACAGGAGCTGGAGCAGCTACCTCCGGATGCACGGCATTCACACTTCATGGTCTTGCAAAATGACTGTTTGCTACACGTACAGCAAATAGTAGATGTAGAGTTCTCTTTTACAATATCAACTGAATCTTCTCCTTTCAAACTTCCACCATCGGTGTCCAATGACTTTGAATCAGACCCTGATCGACCACCCTTCCTAGAGTTCCTTTTCTTTACCATAACATCATTTTCCTCCCACTCGCCATCAGAGTCCTCGTCATGGCAAGAATACTCTGAATCAGAAGTATCCATGTCCTCCAATAGCTCTGAGTTGTTACCCGCAAACTTGAAAAAACCAGAGCTTCTAATACCCTAATAAAATCAATGAAGAAAAGAATGAGTTGTAAGGAACTATAACAGATAATGAAATGCCAAAGTTTTTAACAATTAATAATATAAATCAAAGCACAATATGGGAGAGCATATATACCTGTCGCAGGTCATAAGTTCTCACCTCACCACGAGTTGCGAGCACCTATGCCATAATGTAAGCAATTTGTTCAAAATTAAATGCCAAAAATTTTAATTTACAAGGACATCATATAAAAATTAGTTTATAATGATAAACCTGTTGTATTTGCTGCTTGACTTCTGCATTTTGTTTTTCCAATTGTCTAACAAAACCATTAAGTTTGACTACCTTCTCTTTCAAATCCTTTATCTCAGAGTCCTTCTCTCTACATTCGAGTTCTCTGTCACGTACCATGCATCTTCAAGCAAAACAAAATAAAATTAGTTGGGACAAAATGAGCATCATGATACTAACTTTTGAATATCCATATGAACCATAATCATTGTCTAATACAACATCTAAGCAATTCTTTACAACAAAAAAAAAAAAAAAGCTTCTCCTGTTAAATAAATAAATTAAATTAAATCCAAGAGTACTGATGTAAGATCTTCAAGTACCCCCTTCACCATGTGTCAAATTGCTTACTTCATCCCCTCCGAGTTTCATAAAATTAACAATAGCACTAAAGTAACCAGTACCTGGAGGATGAAGCCAAATTGAAAAGATAATTCATCAAGCTTTTGGCTTCAGCAAGAGAACGAACTTGGTTCCAACGTCCCCTGCCACTAAAGACACGTTCACGCTCTTCTGCCTCAGATAGTTGTGAGGCCATTGAGACTAAGGCGCTTGAAGATGTTGCAAGCATATTTTCAAGTGCAAAGATCCTTGAGTTTCTTGCACCAGGGGACATAGTTTCAGGGCATTCACTGCATGAAACCAAGCATCAAAAGCTGAGGTGATGATAACATGGAGGAGATATTTAATAAAAATGAGATCTGATATTAAAGGTAAATAAAAGTAAGCAGCACCTCAAAATATTCTGCTTTAGCATTTCTGCTTCTTCCTTCAGCTTTGCAATCTCTTGTGCCATCTTGGTTCTCCTGGAATATTAAAATTGGTTAGTCGCCTTAGTTTGGTAAAATGTGTTGGGATATAGGAATGAGGGAAATAAAATAAAAGTTTCTACCAATTCAAATTAAAGAAAAAGAACTTAAAGCCACTGGCTACATAACGGAATGACATCTCCAGAGCACTAATGCAACCGTCCAGAAAACTTGATACAGAAATTTGGTAAATGTGCAAAACATGATAAAATAAAATAGAAACTCACTCTTCCATTTGGCGTTCATACTGAGAGCGAACCTCATGTACCCGTACAGTGACTTCTAACTCATGCTCAATTCCTTGCATTAATGCCTTCACAACAGAGAAACATTTTAGCACTTAGCAGCATTTTACAGATCAAAAAAAAAATCAACAAACAAATGTCTTGAAACCCAGATTAATCTTACCTGTGCTCCAGGACCATTACCTATACCAGCACCAGATAGATAAACAGAGAAACATGAACACAAGTTAGAAGATTAGTAAGCCATAGGTGTACACTTAATTAAACAAGTTTTTGTTCTAACCAGAGCTGTCTCGAGAAGCAGCCTTTCGAGACTCAAGAAGCTCTTTAAGTCTTTTTGTTGCCATAGATGCCTCTTCTGTCTTACGTTGCAGAACCTGACACATATACATGAGCTTCAGCAAGAAACTCCTAACATATACATGAGCTTCAGCAAGAAACTCCTAACATATACATGAGCTTCAGCAAGAAACTCCTAACATCCATGCAGAGGGGAAAATAGCTGAAGTTACCATCTTTTGCCTCTGATTCAATGCCAATAGTTTGTGCATCTCGTACTCATTCCTTCTTCCCTCCTTCTTAAGCTGTGGGGCAATAAGCAAGTCACAAAGTCCGTAAACAAAAAGTTTACTTTTAAAAGAGAGGACAATTTCACAAGCCCTAACAAGCACAATTGTAAATAATAATGAATAGAAATACAAAAATAATGTGGGTGGCATCATTTTCTCAATAATAGAAAGATCAATTGCCAGGTGTAATTCTGTGGATGAACAAGAAAAGCCCAATTATTTAGCTTGTATTCATATATGATAGCTTATCTAAAGCACTGCTGGAGAGGTTTGCTAAAATGTTTACAAAAACTGCTCATCACTGGACTTATTGGCATATTCATTGCTCAAATTTTAAACCCAGGTAGACCAAGTCATTGAACAGAATTATGTTTAAGTAAAATTAGACAATCGAAAACAAGACTAGATAAATTAAAATAAATATATGAAACAGGCATTTAAAGCATCCTTAAATTAAAACTACTAAAGAGAAACATAACACAACACATTATATTTACCTGAAGCACTTCTTTTTCCCGCATTGCTTTCCATGATCTAAATTGCTCCGACTCTTGCTTGATTTTGTTTTGCAATTGGACCTGTTTAGGTGCCAAGTTCAGAAAACAAAAATATAGTCAAAGTGAATGAATTTAGACAGACTTTCTTTTGTGACCCATCAATTTTTACCTTCTGAGTTTTTATACGATGTATCTCATCCTGCAACCTCTTTGCTGCATCATCACTTTTCTGTTTTTGTCTTAAAATCTGAGCTTGAGCTTCTTGCTTCTTTTTCAACTCAGAAACCTGAAGGCAAACATTTTAGCTCAAACAAAGTTTATATATATATTGAAACAAAGAAAAAAAAAAGAGAGAGAGAAAATTGAAACAAGAATTACAAACTAAAGAGCTCACCTGAGCTTCTAAACCATTTAGCTTCTGAATGTATTCTTCCTTGAGCCTTTGTGCACCATCATCAGAAGTCGATGAAATACCACCAAGTTTATGCCTCAAATCCTCAATTTCTTTCTGTCAACATATAAGGACTCAGAACAATGAATCTTCAATAGGGATCCCACAATCAATATTTTATACTCACCTGCAATGCCTTTTTTTCATGTTCCAATTCAAGAACTTTCTTTTCATAATGTTGTTTCAGGACAGAAGAATCAATACCAGCAAACCGCTTCATCTCAGCCTAATTGACACAGCATGGATCAATATTACAGGTTAGCATTGAAAACTAAATACACTGGTCATTGCGTAAACACAGATACAATTACACATAAGTTTTAAATGGTGATGTTACATACCTCCTTTTGCTGAAGTTTCTTATCCAATTCTTTTAGCTCCATGTCCAGTCTTTCTTGTAGAGAAGAATGCTCTAACTCCTTCTCTTCAATCTCATCACCTAAATAAAAACATAATTGAAACGTTCAATTAAGACAGAAATAAATTATATAATAATATAAGTTACATAAAAACCTTAAATTTTGTCAATAGGCATGAGCATAAGACTGAAAAGAATAATATATCATAAAATAAGACAGAACAGGATAATATATCATAAAATAAGTTACATAAAAACCTTAAAATTTGTCAGTTGACATGACTAGCATAAAGATTAATTCAACTGCAACATACCAGCCATATCCTTTGCATCGGAGACAGATGAGTGCTCACTGAGATTGCCTAAATAAGCATTCTTAGAGGGTAATACTTCATCATCTGATTCCAAGGAATCAGGAAAACCCTCGCGCTTCATGCTATTCAAATGTTGTAATCGCACTAACTCTTGCTCCAAATCTTGAATTTTTGACACGTACCTCTTGACCAAATCAATTTCCTGTAACATGTTTTCAAAAATTTTAATAAGCAAAACTATATGCTTAATAGAAACAGATTTATATGTCACTTTAAAATAAAACTAGATAACCATGCCTGATTTCCCAGAGACTCAATCTCATCCCATGATTTTCCACTCCTTGCTGCTTCAAGCTTCATAATCAGTTGGTCTTTTTCAACCTGAATCAGAAAGTTGCACATCACCTAAATGAAAAAATAGCAAACTACACATATGGTTCATTTTCCAGTGTTGTTATTAAAAAATACCTGAGCATCAAGAGCGCGTTGAGCTAAATGCTCACAACTGATACGACGTTCTTGAAGTTCACGTTGCAGCTCAGCGTTGCTTTGTTCAAGCAATGTTATTTTATGCTTCAAAATCTGGATATCCAGAGAGGATATGTTAATTTCACAATCATAGTCTAGTCATGACAAAAGCTTCTATAAACTGCAGTACCTGAAGCTCATCAAATGAAACACTAGAGTCACCACGATAATAAAGCAACTCTGTCTGAAGCTGCTCAATTTGACTACGCATTTTTTGCATCTGAGCTGCAATGGGATCACGATTTATCTGCAAGATGAAAACTAAATGAAAAGAAAGCCCAGAAAATAAAAGAAATTAAGTACAATAATAGAACTGGAACTTACGACTGCCTTGTTTTGAATGTTACGAGCTCGGTTTGCATACTTCAGGGTATTGAGAGTCTCCTCCGCATTCGTGTCAGCAGGGCTAACACACGCTGAAACAAAAAATCAGAATGAAAACCAAAGAGGTAAGTATAAATAGAATTAGGTTCTGTTTTATATTGTTTAACTGACAAAAATGTTGGAGACTAACATACCAATCATAACGGTTTTGCTATTTCCTCCAAGTGAATCCTAATAATTTGAAAACGCACAACACAATTTAATTATAAACATAAAATGCAAAATAAAGAATAGATATCATTCTGTTAATATAAAAACAGAAATAGCAAGGAATGATAGAAAAGAACTGACATCCAATCATATTCTAATATATACCTGTAACAGCCGAGTGAGCTTGCTGTCACGGTATGGGACATGCCCTCCCTCTTTCCTTTTCTTCTCATCTCCAAGCGCACTGATCACATTCCCAAGGGACAGTAATCCCTTGTTTATATGAATGCCTGACAGCACATTATAAAATGAATACAAAAGACAACTGAATAAGTAAAGTGTAATTCATATATATTTATGGCATTGTTGTAAAGAGGAATGAAGATGAATTCTTCATACCTTCTTTTAGACGCAATCCATCTGCACCTGTCCGTTTGGCTCGTTCAGAACCAGCAAGGTCCACCAAGTGAAGCTTCGCGCTTAAAATATCATCAGCAGTGTCACCGACTTTCTTTTGCTCCATAGAAATTGTAAATATGGCATGAGAACGACTGAAGTCCAAAAAAAAAACATGAGAAGTATCATTCTTGATGAAAGATTATGGCAACTCATTACGACCTGGGGACTGCACAATTGAAAAATAGACCACACAACTAATTTGCTAAAATAAAACTAGTCCTTGAATAGAGAACTAATGTAGTAACTAACTTCAGCTCACTGTCTTCACAAATTTTTCAGAGATTCATGAGTGTAATACCTGGATTGGCTATTCATATTAGTGCTACCAGTAGCACGAGCAATAGACCCACGAGTCAAGTGCGACGCCATCTCTGCCTTTGACCTCACCTCTGCCTCCGTAACACCGGCTAACGTGATCCCACCATTGACTGTTTCTCTAATTTGTATGGGAACTCTAGCAGGCCCACAGTGCTTCGTTGTATCGCCTTTAGATAATGCAGGTGGACTTGTTTCAAGAAGATCAAACACTTCCTCTTTGAAAATCTGATTAATTTCAAACATTTTCTTATTAACATTCTCATATATCACAATCATCAATACAATGAACAATGTAATACTCAACTAAGTTTACCTCAATAAACGACACTCGAACTAAGAACTCGGTTGAACCCTTCATCGACTCAACTCGAGAATAAATCGTCTGCATAACTTGAGGGATAATTCCACCAGCATTGTCTTCCCCATTATAGTTAGTTCCCATGGTGTAAGTTTTCCCTGACCCCGTCTTCAGTAAAACAAATACGAAGTACAAATTAAAATCATCATACACCCAAATTCAGCATTAAATGAAGAAACCCAGATTACAAATCAAGTAAAACGCATTACAAATAAACAAACAGTTTATAACAACACCAATTATCCAGATAAAATACAAAATTAAGCAATTAAAAATAACAATCAGCCATAAATTTCATCCCAAACACACAAAATTCAATAATTAAGCTACAATTACAAAAGAACTAACCTGTCCATAAGCAAGTACTGTTCCATTATAACCCTTGAACAAAGCATCAACTAAAGGAGCAACACATTCATCGAAAATTCGAGAGCACGGTGTTCCTCCATTTCCAAAAACATAATCAAATGTGAACGAATGAGATCCAATTTGCACCTAAATCCACAAAATATCACACAAATTAACCCTAATTTTCAAAAAATTGCTAAGAAATTAAAATCAAAGAAAAACCCCTTTAATTACTGACCTGAGGTTCACCGGGAAACACGGTAATACAATCGGTACAACCGAGGAGAAGCTCGGGAGTAATCAAAGGACGAACATTTACAGCGACACGAACACATTCTTTGTCCTGTGTATTCTTTCCGTCGCCATTGTTGTTCTCCATTTAGTTAAATAATCAAAACAAAAAAACCCTAAAAAATTGGGGATTTTTTCAGAATGATTAATTAAGGTGAAAGCGAGAAAAATACGAAGAACATCCAATTGAATCGAGAAATTTGGGGGAAATTGTTTGAGCTTCGAAGATTGAAATTGAGGAGAGAGAAAGAGAAAATGGTGACCTGGAGAGGAGAGAGAAAGGGGTAAAATGGGGAATTTTAGAGAGAGAAAAATGGGGAGAGAATTTGAAAATGGAAGAATGGTGGAATTTGAATTAATGGAGTATGTTGGTGCGTATGATTTTAGGGGGAAGAGGGACCAAAAAAAAAAGGAAAAGAAATTGTTTTGTGAAATTAAATTGTTTGTAAGTTTTTTTTTAATTAATTTTTTAATAGTTTGTGAATGGGTTGATGAGAGAGACAAGCGCTAAGTTCGAATTCAAATTTTGTAGGAGGGGTGGTCACGTGCTTTATCAACGGTTCTTTTTTGTGTGTCACGTGAGTTGACTTTGTGATTGACTGATTGTATAATTTTTTTATTTTTTATTTTTAGGTAATGAAATAATTGAGGTACCCTCTATGTAGAGGTGGTGGACCGGGCCGGCCTTTGTCAAGAAAAGTGGGCTCACTTTGGGCCAAGTCCAAACCCGTTATTTTTATCCAAAGATAGAAGATTTTTTAAAATCAAACTTATTACAGTGTATATTGTAATAAATCTAATAAAATCTCACTTGACTATATTTTCATAACGTATTAATCATTTAATCACAAAACATTGTCAAAGCGATGCGTGTGAATAATAATAAATCAAAACGTGTCAAAAAAATGGAATTAATATAAATTTTGGGTTAGAAAATATGTCCAAACCTGGAAAAAAAAAAATTAGGTTGAGCCAATTTTGATCAAGTCTATCTCTACGTCTATGGGTTAAAATATCATTTGTTCTTTACCACATGTTTATTCAAAACACTTGTAATAAGATATTGTGGTTTAATTAATAAAGGTGGAATATTCTTTTTGTAGGGGAAAACAAGCTATTGTAGTATAGAATACAAAGTAGTACATAAGGAGATATTTTTGCGGCGCAATGATTCATCCATTTATATTAACATAAAACGCTAAAATAGGATATTGAGGTAGACTTCCATCTCCTTAGTGAAACCACATCTACTAGTGGAAGACGCCCCACAAGAGTACAAGACCACAACCACCTACCAAGGGAGAGCCATGTTTTTCAATATACTAGTACAAACCAATGTGTTTTAAGTATTCAATCTTTAATTTAAGCTTCAATGAATCAAGCTAAATTTGGTCTAGTGATAAGGATTACACCTTGTAATTTTGAAATTGGGGATTCAATCCTCACTAGAAGCATTTTGAGGGTAGAATTCCTTACCTTTCCTATCACTCTTAAAGTATCTATCCCACAAATATCAGATTCAAAAAATTATAAGAGTTGAGGTAGAGTTAGAGTTCTTCTTCTTAAGATAGCTGGAAAAAATAAAAAAAGTTCAAAGCTTTTAGCAAATTCTATGTGGATGATATAGTTTTAATTGTTTACATTATTAGGTATGTATGAAAAATTAGTTTTGAAACCAACACATATTTTAAAAAAATATAATTCCAATTGTAGCATTATTTATGAAAATCGATTATAAATTTATGATTTTTATAAAACACCGAAATAATTATGAGTATTTTATAATGAACAAATGTAAGAACATTTTTGTTTAATGAAAAAAATGTAAAACTATAGATATGTAATTTTGCTAATCTAAATACTCCAAATCATTAAAAGTTAATAAGGGTTTTGTTTTACGCATACCATTCACATGGCTTTTCGTTCCGTCACGTAAGAACAAAATATATAAAATCTTACGGAGTATTATCTTATCAACTTAAAATTAAATTGACAAATTTCTTCCTGTTAATGAAAAAAAAAAAAAAATTGACAAATTTGTTGTCCCTTTTAATTTTTTTCCCCCAATTCTACTCAAAAAAAAAAAAAAAAAAAAGTGGAGACCATCTTTTCAACGGCTGAGATCACACGAAGTAAAATCATACATCAAAACGCAGAGCTTCGATAAAGCGGGAAAACAAAGCAAAAACATCCTCCCCGTTGGTTGGAACATGGACTCAACGATGCCACGCAATCATTCATAAATTAATAAAAAAATCTAACAACAAATAAGATAACGTTTTTTAATTCACCCAAACATTCCTAAACGCCGCGTTTTCACCAATCATTTTATCCAAATAAACTTTTTCATTAAATTCCTTTTTAATTTTCACTTTTCTCTCATCTTCAACCGTAATCTGCACAGTTTGATTGATTTGCCACTCTTGGGTTTGGATTTTCTCTCTCCTTCCTTTAAATTCTTCAAAGTTCGTTGTTTCTCTTTTTTGATTACTGTTTGATTGTTAAGTTAGAATTAGAATTAATATTAAAACGATTGATGATTGAAGTAGTAGAATCGTTCATGATCATAAAATGTTTAGTTCTTATTGATTGATTTAAGATTATTAGTTTAACAATTTTTGATATTTATTCTGGTTTTTTGAGCTGATTTATGTAATTTTTGCATCATTGCGGTTGAATTCCGTGTTGTTTGGACCAAATAGCTTAGTTCGCAGTACTTCTCCCGTCTCTAAAAGTTCTTTCTGTTTTGATGAATATAATCGCGGTTTAAACAAAAAGAACGGTTAGAGATGGATGAAGTATAATTTTGTTGGATTTTTTTTCCTGTTTTAATAAATTGGAATATGACATCTTTTTACTAGTGCTAATTTTGGTTGATAGATGTTGAAACTCATGATAATATTGTGTTGATCAAGCTGAATATTATGTAAATCAGCTCAAGTAGTTGTAATGTTCAAGGAAATATAAATTTTGCTAGATTTTTTTTTTTTTGGTAACAAAATTTGTTACTTAGGGTTTTGGTTCGAGATTTTGGAAGATTGCTATTACTATGAAATTTATACTTAGTGCTAATTAATTGATCATTGAAATGAAGATGGATTGGTTGTTGGGGTATAAAAGTTGTTTTAGTCTTCAATGAAGGTAGTATAACATAGTTACCATTAATTTATGATCAATGGTACATTATATGGAGTAATGCTTCTGTTAATAAGTTGCATTCGAGTTCTATGGTAAGATTGGTTTTAATCATGCCTTTTATCAGATGGTTTAATCAACATCTGCTATTTAAGTGACAAAGATCGTGTATAGTGTTACATCTATTTGATTTGTCGTTTGGGGTTATGCCTGATTGTGGGTTGTTTTTGGTTGTCTAATGTTGTAGAATTGTAGAATCACTAACATGTTCTCATGTATAACTTCATTATTTTCCAATGGCAGGTCTTGTGACATTGGCACGTAGTACCACGATTTGTGTACTGATCTTACTTTCCCTGTTTCGAATTGTATGGGGTTATCTGATGAAGCTGATACCTGAATTCTAATAATCTTGGTAACATTGAACAAGTGCTGTCACATAAAATATTTTAAAGAATGGTGGTTGCCTCTTCTTTGCAATTTTCTCATGAAATCAGACTGTATAGTTCATATGGACTACCATACCCGTCTAAGGTACAAACTTTTACTGGGTTACAAATATGGCAGTGAAATTCTTATAATCTGACTTTGCAATTCTTTGGACCTCTTAGTTCTATTACTAAAACATATCTATTTCAGCCCATAATGCAAAATGGTCGACTTCCTTTCTCCAGCTCTACTGTTTCAGCAAATAATGCAGTAAGTTTACCTTTGTAAACAGAACTTAATTAATTTTCAGTTTATTCAGTTTTCTGAATAGCAACTTTTGTCAACTTTAATGCTGCCGGTGCAAGTATTATGTATCTGTAGCTGATATGCTTGATTAGAGAGGCTCCCTTTTTCCAGTGGTGTTAAGAGCAAATTGCTATAATAATGAATAATCTGTCAATGTTCTATTTCCTGTTTTTTTGTATGGGGATGAATAAATATTCCATTTGCATTTTTGGAGGTTTTTATGCTTATTTGATTGTATATTCAGGTAAAGGATGCTTGGAATTTTCATTTTCTAAGCAGAGCAATCAATAAGAAAGCCACAGATTCCTCCAAACATAGGACCTTCCTGTGCAGATCCGTTCTTTTACCAAATGGAGGAAATTGTTCTTCTCTAATGCAGAATGCTCCTGTTGTTTTAAAGAGGTACCTCTTCTGGTGTTGTGTCTTGTCATTTACCTTCCTCATTTAACCATTTGTTTATTTATTTATTGATTGTTAGAAATTTGCTGATTGTTTGACTTGTGATTGATGTATACTACCCTTCTATAGACCTGGCAAATGTGTTATGTCGTGTTCAGGTTTGGTCTCATGTTCAATTGTCGTTCGCAAAATGTATATAATAGAATAATACGATTTATTCAAACGGGCTATGTTCAGTTTAGTTTTGTGTTATGTTGTGTCAACCCTTCCTGTTTTCTCTCATAAATTTTGTCTTGTGTCAAAGACTTCTTGCTCCATGCTTCTTTAGTCTACATACAATTTTGGGTAGAATCTTGTGAGAACTTAGAATTCAGATGATATACCTGGCAATCTAGGGGATACCTATCAAACAGGCTTGTTAGGCATTGTGAGTCTAACTTGATGAGTTGCATTCAAACTATTATCAATTGTCCTCTGTATCCGTGTGTTTCTATGTCCCTCTCTATTTTTTTCTCCTTTTTAGTGGTATTAGATGAAAAAGAAACAAAGAGTTGTAGAATTGAATGTTGGATTTTGCTATCTATTCTAATTTGTTGGATCTTTGCCTACAGTTGGCATCCACTGTTAATGCAGTACAACTTAGGGTTTTCACATGCTTATTGTGGATGTTATTTATTCATATTTGGGTCATGTATGCAGGGTGTGTGACAGTTTATCTTCGAAACCAGTTGTGTCTCAGTTGATCCCAGCCATTGGTGTCATTGCTTTAGCATGGGGACTTCTGCCACTTCTGCGATTTGGCTGGAGTGTTTTCATTTATGTATTTATCTTTCCTTTACTTTTAGTCTCACCCCTGAAATTCAACTAAGCTTTGTGACTAATTTTATTTACTCAGTACCCATTTTTAACTCCTTTGTTTCTGTGTCTTTTCCCTCCAGAAAAATGGTGGCAATTGGAAAAGGAGTAGCACATATTTTTTTGCGTCTTCTTATGTTCAACCATTGCTACTATGGACTGGAGCCTTGCTTATTTGCAGGTGCATGGAGCATATTTTTCTCAGTTTTTAAACTTCTTTCCCTTGACTGCTATAAAAGTATCTATCACTGGGAAATCATGTGGTATCAACAATAGAGTTATCTTTTCCAGGGCGTTGGATCCTATGATTTTACCTTCAGAAGCAAGCCAGGTTGTTAAGCAGCGGCTTTTGCATTTTATACGATCATTTTCCACGATGGTAGCCTTTGCCTATTGTTTATCTTGGTGAGCTTCTGTTCTATCTTAATCTTTGATTTATTGCTAAAAGAAGCTGGATGCCTGGATCTGCTTTTTAACTGCTCTGGAAATCTACGTTTGGTTCTTTGCAGCATGTCTTTACACATTAGAGTAATGTGGTTTCCTTGATGATAGTTGTTAATATTAGTACTTTAGGATGATAGGATCCAACAATGGTCTTATGTAAATATGTTTGGATTGTTTTTTGTAACATACTAACACCTAAATTTTCAAAAAGTACCATTGATATAACTATATTCTTTCTTTACAAATTTAAACATATGGCTGAAAAAGTTTGACTGCCAGCTGCTGTTTCTGATGCTAGTTGTGGTTAATTCCTTGATTATATCATTCAGGGTTTCTTATGAAAGATTTTTTATAGGGCTTTTGGCATCATCATTCTGTTTTAAAATGGTTGTTTTTGCCTTTTTTTTTTTTTTTTCCCTTTTTCCTTTTCCTGGCAGCTTAGTTCAACAAGTGCAAAAGTACTTTATGGAAGCTAGCGACTATAATGACTCAAGAAGTGTATGTTCTAAGTTCCCTTTTTCTTTTTATTCTGGTAGCATGCATTTTCCTGATATAGGCTGTTGTATGCAAACAAAAAGTGGTTTCTGCTCTATTTTAAAATTACTGAGTCTGATTTTCCATGATTGTGTGTCACTCTTGCCAGTCAATGTGCGAGAAAATTTAGGAGCTCATTACTAGTTGAAAGTTTTGTTTATGGTTCAAATTTCCATTCAACCGGATTACTTTGCCTCTGACAATGAATTCTACCTTTCTATTTTATTTGTATTCTGAGCAGATGGGCTTTCAGTTTGCTGGGAAGGCTATCTATACAGCTGTATGGGTGGCATCAGTTTCATTGTTCATGGAACTGTTGGGTTTCTCTACCCAGAGGTGGCTAACTGCTGGAGGTCTTGGAACAGTATTGCTCACTCTTGCTGGGCGTGAGGTGCTGCATGTTTTCTTGTATTAATAAATCATTGGTGATTTCAAGCATGTTTCAATAATCGTTATTGTTAATTATTGCTACAGATATTCACTAACTTCCTGTCAAGTGTGATGATTCATGCAACAAGACCATTTATTCTGAATGAATGGATTCAAACAAAGATTGAAGGTTATGAAGTGTCTGGTACTGTGGAGGTGCATATTTTTCAGATGCTTCAAGAACTGTTAATTACCATTTCTTGCATAAGCTTCATACTTCACTACTTTGTATTATTTATTCAGGAGTTTGATTTGGCCACAAATTGTCTACTTTAGATTTGTAGTCAAAGTGGGTATTTAATTGCTGCTGCTTGTGCAACATGTGTAATAATAATGGTTTTATTATCATCTCAGCATGTTGGTTGGTGGTCACCAACTATCATCAGAGGAGATGATCGTGAAGCAGTTTATATTCCAAACCACAAGTTCACTGTCAGTATTGTGAGAAATCTAACCCAAAAGACTCATTGGCGCATTAAAACCCATCTTGCTATTAGTCACCTGGATGTCAACAAGATTAATGTGAGTATGAAATTGATTTACATTGTATATTTGTATCTAGTCAGTTCTTGCTCTCCATTCTGCATTTCAAGTAAAAATTCTCTCTCCTTTTCGGCAGATTATTGTAGCTGATATGCGCAAGGTTTTAGCTAAACATCCCCAAATAGAGCAACAGAAGTTGCACAGGAGAGTTTTCCTGGATAACATTAATCATGAGAATCAGGCACTTCTGGTTAGTACAATGCATATGATAATCATTTTCCCATTTGATTGTGATAAAGTTTTTAAAGCTAGGTCCACATTTTTTTACGCTAATGAAATAGGTTTAGGGCATGTTTACTTGGACAGAGAAAAGTAATTGGACAGAATCATTGTTATTATAATTGGACAGAGAAAAGTACCAATTTTAAATGTGGCTCCATTTGATATTTTTATGATTGTTAACACGTCTTGCGTCACTGAGTTATTGTTTGTGGAAGAAAAACTATTTGGTAACTTCTGGACCAACTGGGCTGGTGAGTCCTAAGGGAATTCTTTGAAACTCTTGTTGGGACGTAGTGCTAATTGGCTGTTGGAATTTGCTTCCGTCGTCTTTCAGATTGTCGAAAATTTTGATCTTTAATCAACTACCTCTGGATCTTGAATCAGTTTACTGACTATTTCAAGTCATCAGCTATGGGTAATAACATGGAAAGTCAGCTTATGATTCTTTCATATTGTTTTGCAGATAATGATATCCTGCTTTGTGAAGACTTCTCGCTTTGAAGAGTACCTTTGTGTTAAGGTAAATTCACCGTCATCAGATTTTTATTATCAATCTGTGTTTTTTGTTTGATGTTTTAGGTGCTAGCAAGAAGTTTCCAAGTAGTAATGGTACTTGTCATCAATATAATAATTTAGGAGCCAGATTTTCAATCTTTTCACAACCTTTCAAACCCTCATTTCTCAAAATCTATAATTTAGGTGATTATTAAAGTAGTAAGGGGATATAAATCTAACACCTATTGACCTAACAGTCTAACACCATTACTACTTTAGGAACTTCATGACAGCCCTCCTGATTCAAGCTTTTCTAGACCTTCCTGAATCCTGAATCCTGATGTCTATTTGAGTTTATTCTATTTCTTCTGGAAACTTTAGTCCTATACAATTTTCAACGTATGTGAACGCGACACAACATTTAGCTTGCACAAGACCACACTGTTCACTGCCAGTCCTTACAATTGTACTCATCAGATGCATGCATATGTTCAATACAGCTACAATCAACAATAGCTAATTTGATTTTGCTGCCTATTATGTAATTTTGCATTACGACTTGATGTGAAATCTATAATTTAACAACGCTCATGATAAACCTGTTTTCTTAAAACAGGAAGCAATACTCTTGGATCTTCTTAGAGTAATCAGCCATCATCGTGCTCGACTTGCCACACCCATTCGAACCATACGAAAAGTTTACACTGAAACAGACGTCGACAATGTTCCATTTTCTGAAACTGTCTACAGTGGTTCTGGAGCTGTTAATAACCATCCTTTCCTACTAATAGAACCTTCTTACAAAATAAATAGTGACAATAAAACCAAATCTCCGACCCGTAAAGATGAAAAGTCTTATGTAGCCTCAAAATCTGACTCCAAGGTAGATGTCAAAATTGACGACCAGGATAAGGTAGACATCAATGATAAAGGGGCTTTAGAAAAGGATCTCAATGTATTGAAGAAGGATGATGAAAGTCAAGCTACCTCACCAGCACCAAGGACGGCATTAGATGAGAATATTGTACTTGGTGTTGCTTTAGAGGGCTCAAAGCGAACCCTTCCTATTGAAGAAGAAGAAATTTCACCATTGTCTTCTTCAACCGGGGATTCAAAGGAATTGGCTGCATCTCGAAATGGTGTTGGATCTTCATCAGGTGCAGAGGACAAGAAAGACGATCAGTTATCATCAACTGGTAGTGCGAACCCAGGTGATAACCGTGAGAAGACGAGTGGGTAAAACATTACTGTCAGTTGTCACATATAGTTCAAATGACTCAGCAAAGAAATGCCGTATAGCTGTCTATTTTTCTCAAGGCTGGCATATTGCAGGGTACCATCTTCCAGTGTTGTATATTACAATAGTTAGTATTTGTATATTCAATAGAGAAAAGTAAAGGAACATGGCTATTATTGCCAAGTTATAATCAGCACTCATCGTCTCATCTCCAATCATCTATCGAGAAGCTTAGGGTTGCAAATATCCTTGCAGCTCTAGCACATCTCGGGCTTGACCATAGGGAGATTAACTTAGGTAAATATTTGTAATTAAGGTCTTCTTACTCTAGATAAAGTGGGATTTTGCCTTCTCAAAAGACAACTCTAAACTTCTTGTTTCCTTATTTGTGTACATGTATCCAAACGACTAAACTGTTATTGTCATGCTGAAGAAACATGCCCAAAGTTTTTCCAGAATATTAAGAAATAATAGGTACGTCAAGAAAAGTGTAAATTTGCTCATTAATGTAGAATTTGATTTCTGCATTGCTAAAATATCGTAGAGGAAGAACAAAATGAATGACAGGAAAAGCTTAAGTCAAGTTAGATTATGTTTGGCACATACAATCAGGAACAGGGTAAGTATATATGGACTGTTTCTCCTTCCTCACTCTAATTTGTCCTTGCCTATTTTTGTGCCCAGCTACAACAGCATTCTGAAAGTCATGCCAACTAATACTCTGATTCAGGAAAAGCTGGCCTAGCAATGCCATGTTTGGTCTTATAGTCTTCAGATTCTGATATGCTCGATGACCCAACTGTACACAAAAAGGTTTTAAACCAGGTGATTAGTAAAAAGAACATGTCTGAAAAGAAGTAAGATCACTGATTGCACATTAGGAGCATAATCTTATAAATGATTCTCGGATTCTCCCCTTGTTTCTAAATAGGAGTTGCTATTGTTTTTGAGGTCAAATTTGACTAAGTTTTCGTTTATAATGACATAAGTTACTCTGCTGGAAAAATATGAATGGAATTTCGAGAAATTTATGGCATACTATCAGAAGAAGGAAACACAAATAAAATAATAATAATAATAATAAAAGCTTACCATCGCATTATGCATGTTTCCTGGAGAAGCAGAGATGAAAATATCACTGTGCATGCTCACATAATAATCCACTGCAGCTAACAATGAAGCTTTGCCTTCAACCTTCCCACGCTCATCAGCAGTGGCAAGACTCCTTTTGTCTTCTATACGGGGAAACAACGTACATAGAGTTGATATTCTGGCTTCACCGCCATATACCTGAACAAAGCAATTTAGTAAACCTAGCTAAAAAGCCTAAAATTCAAGCTCTCAAATAGAGGGGGGTTAAAGGAACAAAGTTCAAAAGGAGAACCGCCATTCACTGTTTCATAACACAAACCTTATGGGAAGCCAGGTAAAGGCGAGTGTTATTGGTGAAGCCTAAAGCTGCAAGCAACAACCCAATCTCTTCCGGTGTCAATGGGCAACGTCCTTGATTTCTTAATTCTTCATCAGAGAACTGAGTTTTCATAACTCTTCCTTGCCAAATGACTTGACGATATTTTGCAAGAGCTAATTTTTCAGCTCTACCCCCACCAAAATCACAAGCTGAATGTGCTGCCATATCCTGAGATAATTATTGGAGGAAGCCAATTGTTACCAAAACCCCTCAGAAACAATTGCCCGTCAAGTAGAAATATAATAGTCATTGTGCATAATATGGCATATTGTGAGCTCTTCCTTCATAACACTTCTTCTCAACAAGCATAAACTTGTCCTTTAGTAGGGGCAAAGAGAGGAGAGGGAAGAAGGGAAGGTTGGGGAAGAATAGTGATACTATTAGAAGACTAACGAGTCCCATAAAGGCTCCAACATCTACTGTAGGTATTTTTCAAATGATTTAAGCATCCTTGGTAAAGATTTTATCATCATAACTTATCCTAACAGTTGACCGTGCTTAAACTATCCATCACCGCAGATAACTATAAAATTAAACTAGCGATCAACTGATCATGTACTAAAACGTATAACCTTACTTAAACATGGTTTATAACATAAAAGCCAGGAATAACTATAAAGTTAATGTAGACAACTCTGAACAGTATTTTAGTGGCTAGGTGGTTAAAAACAAACAGGCATGGATTTTCCAGGTCTGTCCAGGTTGGCCCATTTACTTTGAGAGATATGAAAGGGCAGAAGAACACAGTCAAAATCTTTTGAGCAAAATGAGTTTGGAAACTGTTCAAATCCCTCTAGTGAAAAGATAGAATAGAGAGCTTGTAAAACTAAAATCTATAATGGATAGACATGGGGTTCAGAATGGATTTCCAAATAGAAATGAGTTGTCCAGATAGTTGTGGGTCTAAGTCTAATTATGAAAAATATTATTTCTTTGGTTCTTACTTCTTCCCTCTGACCTTAATAATTTTTCTTATCCATGAAAGAGAATCACAATCACAAAGCTACAGAAGCAAATCATAAAACAAGATAGTGAGAAGAACAAAACTAGGAGAAAATCTCACTTTATCAAACCGAAGATGCAGCACAACATACTTTTCCCTCTGTCCAGAAAATTCACCAGATGAGCGCAATCGGCTGACAAGGGTGTCACCCAATGCCCTAATATGTGGAACAAAGAGTAATGCTTCAAAGTTGACCTTGCAACGAAGCTGTTGAATGGTTTTAGGCAAGTTGTCAAAAGCCAAACGGTGTGAGAAAGGGGAAATTGCAGCAATTCCATACCTAGTATAGTTCAAAAGATATTAATCCAAGAGTCCGCTAACATTACCGTAAGAATGGAAGATTACCAGAGAAAAACTAAAAGAATCACATGAAAGAACACAAGTTTCAGACGGGGTAAAAGAAAGCATAAAACATGTAGCATTAAAGAGAAGAGCAAAGGTTACTTTCAAGCAGTTGTACTATGTATGTCATTTGTCAGTAACCGCTTAGCATGCTTGTTTTAGCATTTCAGGCTATAATGACTCAATTTATTTACTCAAACAATGTGCATCAAGTGTTTGGAGTATTTAAGGATATGGCAAAGAGTAACTTACCTATGCAATATAGGTAATACATTCTCCAAATACCAGTCAGCTGATGCATGGACAGGTGCAGTCTTAATTCGGGTTTCTCGTATACCTGTGCCATAATACTCCCTAGTGCTCCAAAAGTATTCAACAGGCAACTCAGTAACTATGGAAATTTCATCCCTCAAACTACTGATAAAGTGATCCAAATCAAATACTTCAGAAAATGAACTGCACAAACATATCGCACTGTAAGTCAATATTATGGCCTTAACAAGCTGTAAATTAAAGGAATCAATCTTCAGACAAGGCACCTTGAATCTTGCCATACTGTATTGACTTCCAGGTGTGGGATTACAAGAGTTGCATTCAAAATTTTAGCAACAGCAACGGCATCACAAATCTGAACAAGGTTAACAGATCTGTTATAACAAAAAAAAAAACAATTCATATAATGAATTCACATACACCAGTAGCAACTAGCAAGTCAAGAGCATAAATTTACCCCCATTCTCTGCTGGTTTAATCCTCCATCAAGAAACACTTGTATATAGCCCTGCGACTTCTCAGGCAAGGCTGCCAACCAAAAATTGGGTTAATTATAATTAAGTTGCACCCTATGTAACAAGGACACACTAGTTTCTAGTACTTACGAGTACTTTTGGTATCATGACATGATTTCCATCCTTGGTGGGGCAAAGGAGACCACAGCTCAAGCTGCTGTCGAAAGGGCTGAAACAATGCCGCAACATAATAAAGACCAGCAAGTACTCAACTTTCGATTATCACGATTCGTCTACAATAAGATAAAATCACAATGTTTAAAGGCTAATAAGCACATACTCACAGTTTGCCATTGTAATGCCCCCTGCAAGAGGCGCATATGCCTAGGTTTGGGCGCATTCCATTCCTACAATTTGGAAGCCAACAGTACATAGAATAGAATCATAATCTATCATATGAAATGCATATCAGACCATTGAACAGCCAAATCCACAATAAGTAAACAATCAATGCTACACCATCAATACCTCCAACTTCAACAAATATCAAAGATATATACCTAACATATAAATATCATTTCCCTAAAAACTATGATAATAATCATCTTCAAGCAAATCAAATAAAGTCAAAAGTAAAATTCTTCTCTAAATCATTATCATTACAAATAATCACAGTCATCCCATATTTATTTTCCATCAGATATATTTGTCAATACGTCTAGTTCACTATAATTACATTTAAAAAAATATATATATTATAAATATTAATCTATTTCATTTCCAACCCACAAAAGTTCAAGATAGAATCTTTTCAACTTAAACCGTTAAACCCAGCACCAATTTGATGTACCCACCAAAAATTAGCAAATACCCAGATAAATTAACAGCAATAATCAACATCAACAAGTAATGAAATGTCACCAATTTTGTTCTTTTAAAAGAAATGACATGATTGATGAGAGAGAAACTTACAGAGAAAAGAGAAGAATAAGAGCGAGCGAGGGGAGAGAAAAGATGAGGGAAGAAAATGAGTAGGAGTAGCACAAACAAGGAGATAAATGTCGGTGATTTGTGGGAGTAATAACTCCGATGATGTTGTGACACCTTCATCATCTGGAAATTCAACAACTTCCTTTTTTTTTTTTTTTCTTGAGTAAATTTGATTTTTGAAGACTTGCTTATGTAATTGAATGAATAATCATGTCGACATTTGCAATTGATTCGGTCACACAAAAATGGAGATCAAAGAGTCGAAATTCGAAGAGGTAGAGATGGTAAGTGGGATTTTGATACTTTGGGAGTGTGAGTTTCTAATTTTAATTGAATTTTGCATTAAGCATTTCAAGATGGATATTCTTTAAGGATGAGTGTGTAATTTTTTTATTTTTTTATTTTTTTTTTATTTTTTGTGTAATAATTATTTGCAACGATTTGACATAAAGTATAGAGGAAAAATGTCTAATCGTTGAAAATAATGTAACGGAAGTAGTAGGTGAATTGTTCAATTGAGAAAATTTGATGAAATTAGATAAGTGAGAGTTCATAAGAATACAAGTTTTCAAAAAATATACGGAGTAATAGTTTACAATTTAGAGGTAACCCCATTCAATCATGTTGATTGACGAACCATTGTAAATCAGTCCCTTTTGTGAGCTAGTTTTGCAATATAATACATTTTTTAATTATTTTAAAAAATCCTTAGATCTAGCATCACAATTCATGAATGACGAACCACCACCATAACCCCTGTCATCTCGTCGATCAACCACAAACCACCACAATCATCCTCTTTGCGTCCTTCTTCTTCCCTTCTTCCTCCTTCCTCAACAACCACTTCAATGCCGCTTCGTGATGGTAAAAAAAGACAACCTATTAGCAAAAGGGTGTAAATTAAGGCCATATCAAATTATCTAACCTATAGGGGTAGCATCTTCTTTGTGAAAGCAATTTTAACCACCTTAGGTGGTGATGGCGTTGCTATGATTGACTAATGGAGGAGGAAGAAAGTGCCAACTATTCCCAAATAAAAAGTGAAATGTCTTTTATGAAATCAGGATGATGAACATGTATTTCCTCGACAATTTGTTTATCTAGTGTCAATTCTCTAGAGTGGAAATTTCTATGGGAAATTAATTCCTATTGCTATTAGTAAAATCCATGTAGTAGATTATGAAATTTAATTGCCATAAACTAGAAAATGACCCCTTAATGAAAGTAATCTTAAATTTGGCTAATTTTTTAACTACTCCGTATGATGAAAACAAGATTGACCATATATAGTATCACTCTTGAGATTTAGGATTTTACCAAAACTTGTATATCTCAAATTTGGATCTGGTCCGAACTAGTTAAAGTCAAGATAATCTTCTCAAATGATCCAAGGTGAATTGGGACCTTGTTCACCAACAATCATAAAATCTTAGTATTTGACTTCTGATTTATCCACCATATGTAACAAAGGTAACTTTCACATAGTCTATTGGTTAATACTTCATAGGCATAACTCTGCAGGACTCATTGTCCCTTCAGGATGAAGTTAACCTTTGCATTTATTTAACATCTTTTTTTCCTTATTAAAATAAGTAATGAAACAAGAGAACCAAGAACCTCTTTTGCTTTGATTTGGACAAGGATCACGCCTATCAAGTAATGAACACGATACCATTGTAAAAAGTTCTCGTTGGTATAATATATGGAAGATTAACCTAATCTTTAAGAAATGCAGCCAAATTCTGCATCTTTGCACAAAGATCAAGTTCCAAAATATACAAAAATCCCTCATATCAGCAACCCAACAAATGAAAGGTATCGTTGTGCATACTAGGCAGCATTGATTACAGGAATTGTAAATCCCCATCTCCTATGAATTAAAATGTTGCTCCCGACAACTCAGCTAGCAACTTCAGATAAGAAGCTTAGTAGATGGTTCTGCTGCTTCCTCTGCATCTGTGAGAGTGACAAAAGAGTTAAAAAGTCAAATTAGAAATTTCTTTAACTTGGCAATAAAACAGATAGCACACTGCCTCAAACCACAGAGACAGGTATTTGAAAGTTGTTCTTACTTTTTTTTTCCCAAGAAGAGAAGGGGGGGGGGGGGCAATTTGTCAATTAAGCATTCAATTACAAAAATGATGAGGCTCTACCAAGTCACCAACAAAGTTCATAATTTTATTAGTGTCTTGCCAACAGAGAGAAAACTAATTGTTATACAGCATAATCACAAAAAAACTGCATATGCCCACAATATAGCTCCATCCAAGCAAACTATTCTATAATTCCATCATGAAGCAGAGGCTACAATTACTCTCTTTGACCTCATGCGATAAAATTCCATTCAAGATTATTCTCTATCCACAAAGATAAGACAGCTATCCCATGTACCAGGTCTCTATTACTTTCTCTCCCTTTTCTTTTCACATCTATAATCTCTCAAAGGACTTCAACCAGCAAGTTTCCTCTCAATGACAATCCTCTGTAATCTTCAATTTTTTCAAACATCTATCAAAAGCTTTTTTTTCCACCACTTTTTTTCCATAATACTTTTGAACCATCGCCAAAATTAATATCTCCATCAGATCTGCATCTTTACTTGATGGAATATCTTTCCCACCAGTTACTATATCTTATGTTTCCTCCACTTTCCCACATCTATTGGGCCTCAAAATTATCTGGATTCAGAGCTCCAAAGTCTAGATAATAGTACGTTACACCTAAATAGATAATTAATCCTCACAATCAATCAACTGTTCTTAAGAATCAACAATTGCTTTGACCAACCACAAAAACATAATTCAGCACCAAGACTTAACAAAGTGACCTTTCTTGCAAATGGAAATGTGGTTCATTAAAAGATATGCAGGGGGAAAGAATGACTAGAAGAAAATGGTTACAGCCACCAGCTCTTCTCCCACAAGATAATCTATTTTTGACGGATGAGCTCCGCACAAAAGCAATGAAACAAGAAAATAGTTCACCAACAATATGAAGGGAATCTATCACCAACAATATGTAGAAAATAGTACAAGGACAAATTACTTCTGGATTCGGGCTTAAAATAGTTCACCGATATAACCCACAATTTAAGAGTTTTAGTGAACATAGAACAATAGATCCCAAAAGTTATACCTGTTTCAATAAACTCAATCAAGGAGAAATCTCATAAACTTATACCTTTTGCTATCCTCAGAAAATAATACAGAAATTCTCAAGTAATTGATCAACTAAATCATAGATGTCAAAACAAATATAACCCAGATGTCGAAACAAATATAACCCATTTTGCAAAGAAGAGCGAAATCATTGAAATTAGCATAATATAGCTAAAAAGAGATGCATCACTACCCTAGTTGTATGACTTGTATCATAAGGTCTCATCCAGTGGCTCTCTATGGAGGGTTAATTTCATGCATCCTAGAGAAGATATTAACCAGAAGTGTGCGGCTACGAGTTTCTCCTCATCTAAACTTCTGCTCTAATAGTTGTGTTTTCTGCAATAAAAACCAGAACGTGCATGATCTCATCAAACCACCTAAATCCTAGTTTGGCTCCATTTTCCATTTTGCTTGAAAGCTATCTCAGCCATTCATTTTTAAGATCCAATTGCTGTCTAAGGCGTTCGCTTGGGTTTAATCAAAAGTATAGCCTCTTTATACACATGTGTTGAGCTGCAAATCATTATGTTTAGCTGATACATAATGATAAATTATGATCCTCTTATCTCCAACAGATACCCTCCTTTCTAGATTATGTTAGTGAAAATTGTCAATCGTGCTTCATTAATCAATACTTGATGTTGAGATTGATAAGGTAGCACATAGATTCGGTGTATTTATACTTCTAAGTTGTTGCGAAATATCTTTCTTTCTAATTTCTTCATTTAAACACCAAAACCCCAAAATTTCACACGAAAAACCCTAGAATTCCTTTGAGGTCTATGTACATACCCCAATATAGCGCCAATCATAGAGCTCAAAGCCACAAATTTTTAGTTCAACATCTAACCCGATATTCTAATAGCATCACCCTAAAACTAGCCACATCTTTACTCATTAGTTTGCTAACATTTCTCAGTAAATTATTCAATCATCAATCCTTCGCACGCCACCTCCTCTAACAAACACATTCACGAACATCAACACTTCTAATCGCAAATTTCAATCAACACCTAAATAAATTGATATCCAATAACTAAACCTAGACACGATCATACAATGTCACACAATCGATTATACGAAAGACCCCATCTTTACATCACACCCATTTCAATTTACAAAAAAATTTCAAAATCAGTATATACCCTTTTTAAATCCAAACAAAACCCAACATCAAAAATTCACATTCTCATCAATTTACCCAATAAACAAACAATCCAAAAAACACCCAGAAAATTAAATAAACAGAGATTAAAAATAGAGTAAAAATACCAGAAGGGATGGCGACAACTTCACCATAGATGGCTTTAAGGCGAGAAAGAGGAACAATGGCGGTTTCAGGGGAAGAAGCATCAGCGTAAAGCTTCTGTTTCCAATCCCAAATTGATTTTTTCATAGCTTTGTTGGAGTCTGCAATAGCTTGTTTCTCGGATTCTAGGGCTTCAATTAAGTTTTCTTGGTTCATAGACCTGACCCCAAGAGCTGTGAAAGAACCCAGTAAACAAATGTTGACGAAAGTGTTGCTGTTTAACAATCTGTTGACGATGTTCATTGCTCTACTTGCTAATTCCATCTCTCTCTTATCTCACACTTCTTGAAACGATGATTAAGCTTCTTATTTTTGCTGTGGAAGTTTGTATTAATACAGAGATCGAGCATTAAATTAGTCCTATTCACCTTAACTATGATGAATTGAAATTATTTTTTAATTAATTGAAATTATTTTTACTAATTTTCTATTATAATTGTTCTTTAAGAAAACTGAATTTTACTGAACTGAACTTATTTTTACTGAACTGAAATGAATTTTACTAAACTGAACTTATTTTTACTGAACTGAAATTAATTTTACTGAACTGAACTTATTTTTACTGAACTGAAATTATTTTTACTTAATATTATTTTTTTAAGGTGAAAAGAATAGGGCCTTACTCATACTTCTTCCGTTTTTATTATGTCCATTTTGACCGTCATACTTGTTAATGTACAACATTGATTAAATTTTATTTTACGTATAAAGCACAAATAATGATCATAATGGTGCATGAGAAGAGTGTTAATGTTAAATTGGAACACTTGATAAAAAAGACTACTGTTTTTTTTTTAAGGAAATACTTTTTTTTTGGGTGCGAAGGAGAGGATAAGCCTCGGGAAAAAACAAAATTAAGGTGGAACAAGTCCTGGCAAAGCCACCCCTACAACATCATTATGTAAAATACGCCCTAAATCTATAGGGGGGATTGAATCAACTCGATCGGGTTGTTCTGTGAACCTTTGGAGCAATTGTTTGCATCTAGCAATAATATGAACACATTCCCCATTGTAGGTATAAGCATTATTTAAAACTTGCACTAGTGCTTGACTATCTAATTGTATTCATTTTGTTTCATTCTATTTATGGTATACTCTTTTTACCATCTTGCACATTGAACAAATACACGTTTCCATACTCTCTCTATTACTTTATTCACTTTTTCTTACACAAAATCACCTTTTATATTTTCTTTCTTATTCCGTACTTTATCTTGCACACAGTCACACTTTTATTTATTATAGTAAGTAGGTAGAACATAAAAGAACATATTTAGTAAATCGACACTTCTTAAAACTCCATATCAAAGTGTTGCATTGAAGGAGGCAGCTCTCTTAAAGGGGACAATTTCCTGTGTTTTATTGAATTGGTGCAAGAGTTGCAAGCTATGACATGTGTTACTCCTAGGGGTGTCAATTCATTAAACAGTTCGGGTTTGGGTTGGGTTTATCAGTTTCGGGTTATAACGGGTCGGTTTATAACGGATTGAAATAATAAGCGGGTCGGTTTTGAAAATTATCGGGCCAGTTCGGTTTGGTTTTTTTAATTGCAGTTTCTATTCGGATCGGGTCCTTATCGGGTCGGGTTCTAGTCGGTTCGGGTCATAATCAATTTGGGTTGAACTGGGTCGGTTTGAAAACGGGTTTAGCCCATTTAATGTGGGTTTCGGTTAAAAATAGTTCGGGTCTTAATCAGGACGGGTCGTAATTGGTTCGGGTCATAATCAGTTTGGGTTTAACTGGGTCGGTTCGAAAATGGGTTTCGGTTCAAAATAGATCGGGTGAAATCGGGTCCAACCATCGGTTATAATTGGTTTAGATTGAACTTAGTTGGTTTGAAAACGAGTTTACCCAATTTGAAACGGGTTTCTAATCAAAATCATATCGGGTTAAAATTGAGTCGGATGATTATCGAGTCGAATTAGTCAGATAATGGGTAGGAACGAGTCAAGTCATAAATAAGTTGGGTTTATCGAGTAGTGGGTTGAAACTGATTAGATCATAAACATATTGGGTAACAGGTTGTAAATGACTCGGTCATAACGGGTTACGGGTTTTAAACGGTTTGGTCATAACGGGCTACGGGTCGTAAACGGTTCGTTCACAACGGGTTACGGATTATAACCGGTTCGGTCACAACGGGTTACGGGTTGGAACGATTTAGGTTTATCGGATTTTTATCGGGTTTTAACAGTTTTCGGTTTAAAACGGGTCAGGTTACTATCGGGTTTAAACGTAATCGGTTTGGGTTGCTTTTAGTTTCGGGTTGTAACGGTTTGGCTTGATAACGGGTCGGGTTAGTAACGGTTTGCACAAATTCGGTTTAGTTCAGTTTCGGTTTGGAAAAAATTGGGTCGGGTCAGTTTTCGATTTCCAAAAAACGGGTTTTAAACAGTTCAGTTCCTTTTCGGATCGGTTCGAAACAGTCGGGTTTAACGGTTCAGGTCAGAAACTGACAGCTCTAGTTACTCCCTATATACTATATAGGTTACATAATTACAAGATTTTATTCACATGTGCAAAGTTCTTAATTTAACACATTAAGGATTCAAGGAGATGCAAATCGAACAAATTGGATAGTTAACCTATAATATTCACGGTGTACCCTTTAATAATTCAAATGGTAATCCTAATGTTTTCAAAGTTATTAATAAATACCCTTAATTCCTCTTGGGATCAAGTTTTCATTAGTGCTCATTTCCCATTATCTCTATCTCTATCTTTACATTTAGATTGCAAATCAAACATTTTTCATGTTGCTTATGACAGTCTAGAGGAATTTCCTACTATTTCTTTAAAAAAAAAAATATCAATTTTTTTTTTAAATGGTATGATCCACCTTTGGCCAAGATTGGGCAACCAATCAGAGTACTTGGGTACAAATGGGCATCAGGATCGAGCGTGAATGACTTGGAGAGCTAGTAATTAAAAATTGATGTCCGCCATTAGCTTGGACAACCAATGACTTCACTCTTAGGCCTCACATCTCATTGGCTTAATGGTGTTTATAAGGGAAAACTTTGGATCATTAAGCTGATTTTCCATGATAATTATTGACATAAATGGTAACAAAATTGCGATAAAGCCCACAAGATCAAGTTTCATGCCTAGCCAATGTACATTTTGTTTTGTCCACTGCGTGATTTATCTTATCACCACAGGCCGTTTCACTTCATGCCATATCCCCTAACTCTAAGCTCCACAGCTCACCACTTCGTGCCTCATGTTAGACCGTGATTAATAATGGTTCATATCATCATACATCAACCAACCATTATTCTTCTTAAGGTTAAATTGCATCTCAATTGAACAACAATCCAGCATTTTTTGGCATATTGTGTCAATATGGTTTACACAAGAAATTCAATAAGAAGCTGAACTGTATTCCTGTAAGTTTATTTGCATCCAAAATGGTAAAATTACTGCAGATCAAAGAGAGTGGCGATTTTTTTTTTTTTTTTTTTTTTTTTAAGATGATGATGGTAAATGATAAAATTTTCGGGGAAGAGAGTAGAGGAATAATGGTTACATTCAAGCAAAGTAAGAGTGATATGGAAGATGGGAATAATTTTCATATTGCAATGGGGCTGCACAAGTTCTCAATCCCAATGCAGAATACTCAATTACACGACATGAAGTCCTGGCAAAGAACAATGGTAAGCATAGAGTCAAACAAAAATCTACAAGAATTGCACACATTTCACCCGCATAAAATAAATCAACAGAACTTTTTTCCTTAACTTCCAATATTCACACAATATAACCTGGAGGCAAACGGCAAATTAGGGTGCAAAACCAATGTCCTTGAAGTATTCATGTTCAAGAGCACCCCTAGCTGTAATCCTTTTGCTAGGATCCAAGCAAAGCATTTTCTGGAACAAAACACACATATATAAGCAAGGCACTACATCCAGTGAAATCTTCTAGACATGTTTCAATTTAGCTAGCAACCACAGCAAGTGATGCTTTTAGGAACAAAGCAAAAGTGTAAAGAATAGTACGAATCATATTTAAGCTTCAGTGAATCAAATCTACCAGTGTAACAGCTACACGAGACAGACCATCAGGAAATGAAAGGAGATAGAGGCTATTTCTTCAACTTTGAACCCCACAGGAAAATAGTCCAGACTCAGAATGGTAAAGAAGGAAGATGAAGCTAATTTTTTTTCTCGTATCCCAATTAAATTGCTTTTTTGACTAGAAAATTGTTTCCAAATTCATGGTTTTTTGGTGCAAGTGCAACTGATATACTACAGGGGTACGAAAGTACAGGTTAGCAAGCTGAGCTTTGAAATGCCATCAAAGGCAAAGGATCTGTGCATTTGGGATGAGGCATAAAAGATGATAAACGCCCTGAAAGAGGGAGGGTCAGGGCACTTGGGCCCATAGCACAGATAAACCAAGGAAGATATTTGAGCAATGAAGCTTAAGCAAATTCAGGCATATTGTTTCAAGAAGAGATATCATACTTGGATATTTAAGGGCAATAGGGCTTTTCCAACAAGAGAATAAAACAAAAGGAAAGGTTACTGGAAAAAGGAAAAAAAATCAAACAAACAAACAAAAACAAGCAGAGAATAATGTGTAAGAACTTACATTTAGAAGATCAATACCAGCTGCATCAAGATTTGGTACTATTGCAGACAGATCCTACAACACATAAAATAAAAGGAGAGTAACTCTAGCAAAAACACAGTAGACAAGTTAGGGGTAAAAACTAACAAAACAAAATGAGGCAAAACCTTGGATATCCATTTAGGAAATGAAGATTTGAAATCAGGGAGGGAGGTCACTCCAGGCCATGTCTCCTCAGTTGGTGTACCTAAGGTCCTATAAAACGACAATTGAATAATAAAATATCTATAAGCAGTTCTGTCAGATGTGTAAAGAAATAAAAGACCCCAGAAAAGCACAAGGAAAACAAATAAATTAGGATTATGTTAAAGCTCAAATTGGTATATCGGCAAAAATGATCGAGACAAGGGCAACCAATTATAAATTCACAGGCGTAAGGTTATCTTGCTTGACACCGAGAAGGGTGATGATTTAAGAAAGAATGTCAGCATTTTAGGTGATTGCTTGCAAAGTTGTAATAGATTGAAGCAACCTTTACGTTCAAAAAAAAAGGGGGGGGGGGTGGGGGGGGGAAGCAATCTAACATTACTATATGTTCTTTTACAGAGAAGAGTCAAGGATATGTTGAACTATGGATTGCTATCTAAACGAAGTCTCCAGAATTATGATATAGCATCAATGAAAACTCCATTCTTATGGACGAAAGATTACAATTTCAAGTTGAGAGAGAGAACAGAATCAGAGATAACAGCATAAATAGAAATGAGACCTGAAAATCTTGAAAAGTTCATCAATCTCAGAATCTCCAGGAAATAATGGCTTCTGATTCACCATCTCAGCAAAGATACAACCCACAGACCACACATCCACAGGAGTAGAGTAATGACGAGATCCCAGCAATATTTCTGGAGCTCTGTACCACAATGTCACTACCTAGAGAGAACCATTAAACATTTAAACTGACATGAAGACAGTTCAACCAATCACAATTTGCAAAGAATTCACATATCACTCAGAGTGCAAATCTGTCCAGCGGTAGCATGCATGTTAAATCAACATTTATTTAGCTCATGATTGAAGTATATAAGCCTCTTTTCAAAGAAATGAATAAACAAATACTTATACATACATGTTTTCCACCCTTGATAGAGCTTCTTTTTTTAGGGGTTGAGGTAGGGCGAGTATGTAGTCATCAATTGACACTAGGCTGAACATAAAATATAATGTTGAGCTTGTATAATTAGTTATGCATGTTAAAAGAAGCCTAAGCAACTAGAAATGGGAAATGTAAATCCATCTAGACAGAGGTCAGCTGTGATGCTGCTGGTGTAAAAAGCTTTTGTATAATTATATAGTTGAAATCTACGGATGATGATCTCTATGGATACAAAGGACAGAAAAATACACTTGCTAATGCATGTCATTCTAACTAGTACAACATAAGAGAATCCAGCATACTAAAAGCCTGGCCCTACCCTACCTCATGCGTAAAAGTCCTCACAGGAATACCAAAGGCCCTTGCCAATCCAAAATCTGCAAGCTTTAGCGCATTAGTTTGGCGATCGATCAGCAAATTTTGCGGCTTCAGATCTCGGTGCAGGACCCTGTGAGAGTGACAATATGCAATACCACGAAGAATTTGATATAGAAACCTCTGCAGAAAACAAGTCAATTTTCAATGTCAGTGAAAGCAGAATAGGCTTTCCAGCAACACCCAAAACACGTTAACAATAGTAAAGCAAAGTAACCAACCCATGTCTGGCACCAATGCCATAAACCCATAAAGATGAAAATAGAAGCCATGGCATCTTATTCTTTAAAGTCAAAGACAAAAGAGAGGGAGATTTGCAACCAAAGCCAAAGGCAAAAGGACAAGCAATCTTCTTGGGGAAACAAAAACTATTCTCACCCAAAAAAAAAAAAAAAGGACCAAGTCCTTTCCAGAAAACTTTCCCACAAATGATACAACAAAAGTCCAGCTAATACATATGCAGCCAGGGTAAAATGAATCACAATTTAATGGAACATGGAAGTCAAAATTTTCCAACAAGTTAAAAGACCTTACTTTTATCATGCGTGGATCCTTTGCAAAATCAGGGCATGAATCCATGTGTTTCTTCAAATCAAGGTCCAAGTACTCAAAAACCAGATACAAGCGTTTCTCACTGTGCACAACATCCTGCAACCTGTCTAATTTCATTAATACTATCACAAGTGACACTAGTCACTGGATAGACCCATGCCATACATGTACAACAATGAACATAAATCTCAATTGTCAGCATATTGCATTCACTGGCAACAAGAAATGGTCATGGATTTTCTTTTAATCAAAAAAATTATCGCATAGGAATAGTGTACAGATGCAAATGCTATCTATTTCACTATTTGGCTTTGTTATATATTACCCACTGTCACGGTAAATACATTTAAAAAAAAAAAAAAAACAAAAAAACAAAAAAAAACAAGGGTGTTTACATGAATACTAATTTACCTGCCACATTCTAAAGCTACTCATACCTAGAAGCATCACAACAGAACACAACCTAACAAAATTTAGCTATTTCATCATCAACAGTTGTGTGAAGTAAGAGTTGCATAATTGATAATACAACAATTATATACCTGACAATGTTGCTATGCTGCATCTCCTTCAAGAGTGAGATTTCTCTGATCGCCGTACTTGGGACTCCCTCATCCTCTTGTTCCAACCGGATTTTCTTCAAAGCTATAGTTTCGTTTGTAACCCTGTCTCGTGCCTTATAAACCACTCCATAGGTTCCTTCCCCTATCTTCTCAACTTTTTCATACTATACACATCAACATCAGTTCATAATTCAGGCAAAGACCTCCAAAATTTATTTAAATCATAACAATATACAAATCATTAAATGATGAGAAACCTGATCCATTATGCTCCAGTATCTCTACCAGCGTACCACTGAAAACAAACAAAATCAAAATAACAAAATCAGATATAATCAACAACTAACAGTACCCAGGCCTGACAACAAGAACAGCGACCGCCTCGCAACGAGAAAGAAAAGGTTCAATTTCAATATTTTCCATTCTAATGTATAGGGTTATAAACAAAATCCTGTGAAATTAGGTTGAAAGGCTGAATTGGTTCAATGACATTAAGGCCTTCTTAAGCATCAAACTTCTAAATGATCTATTCGGTTATGTAGATATTCATCAGACATTCGGAAATTGGATAAATTTAGTGTTGATAATCTTCAGAGTTGGAACATACTCTTAGATGTTTCTATAAAAGAAACACTTGTATATAATTTAAAATGCCAATTGGATTCCTGTCATTTTAATTACCAACCGCTAACTAATCTTCTATCTTGCCCCCCACCCTTTCTCCATCTCTGGCCCTGACTCACTGTGTCACTGTGGTAGGTAGGCAAGGCAGCGATGAAAGCTCCTAAAATAAACTCTCTCTTCATAACTGTGATTCCAAAAATAGTGTATATTCTGTGTTTATGAATTAAACTTTTATCTCTCTCCCGTACGAATTGTAATCTTCACATAACACCACAAAAATCAAAGTCAAAGAAGAAGCAATCCAGCTATGAATGTATGAATGATCATCTTCCTGGAAGCATATCATTTCCTTCATTTCAAGCTCCGCGATGACAGTGAAGATGAAGAGAAACAGAGTATGAGGAGTGAGAAATACAAAGGATAGAGCATTACTTTCGTAAATTTATCCAAGTGAAATAGACAGTTTGAAACATTCCACTCTTCAATTGAAATTCCAATTAATAATAGCAAATTTGTCGCGAAGGATTTAGAATTAATAGTTTATCCAATACAGAATTTGGAATTGATAAGCAGTGTCTGAATTTCCAGATTTAAAATGTAGGATTTGAAATTAAATCCTAGTACTTAGTATCCAAACACAACCTCAGAGGATTCAATAGGGGTGCTAGACCTTCGAGCCGAGCTCGGATAGTACGCTCAGCTCGAGTTCAGTGTAATTTAGGCCGGATCGGCTCCGGCCACAATAATAGTCTAAAAAAAACTCGGCTCGTGGACTCGATCAGACTCGAAAATGCACCACATTAGCAACTAAATTTGACTCAATCATCAAATTAGGCTCAAAAAATTCACATAAAATTCTTCTCACTTAACAATGTAACTGTAAATTGCACATTACCAAAATACTAACATCAAAATGGCTACTTATGATCTTTCATAACTTCAGTAATTATAACCAACAGTTCAATAATCCACCTTAGAAGAACCCTAATTGACTACAATGATACTTAAACCAACAATACTGTGAAACTAAACCCTAGATTGTAAAATGAAAATCCAATTATTAGAGGAAATGGAAAAAACATCTCACCTTAGAAGCTAATTCAATGGAGGAGATAATGCTCAGAAGTTGCTTCGATCGAGTAGATGAAGCTCTGAAGCCGCTTCAATGGTGGACTCGAAGTACGCTGCAATGGAGGAGAGAGAGTGGGGTTTGCAGCTTAAAAGTGAAAGGCTCCAAATGGAGGGGAAATGAAAATGAGAATGTAGCAGGAAAGATTAATGACAACCATACAATGTCAACCGTTGGATGTAAATAATATCAACGGTTACCACTTTCGAGTTACTAGGTTGCAGTTTTGAGAGAAGACGAACCTTTCTCTACTTCTAAACTCTGATCACGTAATTATTTTTTTTCATAAAAACATGACATTTTTAACAATTAGAGTATACTCATGCTAAAACACGGAATATATTAGTCGTATATATCAATGTTTTTTTATTACTACTCCATACAATATTATTAATTTATTTGTGTAAATATGATGATGGAAGTTATTGAATTTGTTTAGTAGAAGTTATGGTGAAAATTAGTAGGTTTTTTTTTAAATAAAATTAATAAAAATAAAAATAAAGTTAACAAAAATTGAGGATTTAGAGTTTAGAGTGTTGTGGTTAAAGTTGAAAATTGACTATGCAATTATATGATAGATAACCCACAATTATAATTCATTCTCATTTATGTTCTGGTGATGACCTAAACAGTGGGGTATTTAAAAAAAGGGGGGTAAGTTAATCGATAAAGTAAAAATAATATCTCGCATATAATGAATACAACATTAACCAAAAAAATATAAAAAAGGTTTGTAAAGGCTTGAAGTACAAAAATTATATATTAATCACTCAACATGAGCTCTCCTAGATTTCATAGAATAAAAGGCATCCATGATTGAATTAATTTCTAATTTTCTAGCAATCTCTTTCTCAATATACACTAGCAAGCTAAGTAGTTGAAAAAAAAAGGTCATCTTCCGTCTAATTTTGAAGACTAGTTTTCACAAATTTCATTGTCCTAAAAGCTCTTTTTTGTAGTTGTTGTATCAATCTGTCAACTAATGGTTAAACAATTGGCTTCCTAGTTTCCACAAAACTTCTACACATATCAGTAATGGTACTTGGTACTCAAGTCCGATTCTTTCATTTATGGGGTGCTTATGAACAAATATCTCAATAAAAATGTTCAAGTTATACTTTGTTAAGCCCAGGAACAATCCACATGTGAACATTCTCTTGTTCCACACTAATTCACTAAAAAGGGAGAGTGTAGTGGTAATGGAATTCCACATTGAAAGAATTCAAGAGTTACCACCACAATATAAGACTAATGGGCTACTCCTCTCATTGTCATATGGTTTTGAGGTGGAACTTCCTTGGTCTTGTAAAGTGGTGGACTTGCACTCTCCTTTGACGAATGCAGCCCAAACCCGTATTTAACATGGTATCAGAGTCAGACCCACAATCTCACGATTGGGACCTTAATGGCTAAACAAGATTTTAGTATAATGTTTCTCTACAAGGAGACAAATAATGAAATAAGTAAGTAACTTTGAAGTTCGTTCACTAGAATGACTATTTAGTTACTGCAAGTGATAATCTATGATTGCATTAAATACATCCACCCAATTACAATGAGATACTGTCATAATGCCTTTGTTGCATTGAACACATCCACCCAATAACAATGGTACACTCTCATGGTGCCTTTGCGTATCCCTTTTTTTAGTACCATGTTAAATACAAAATGATTGTAATTTTTGTAAAACAGATTCCTAAAAATCATCTCTAAAATTTTGAATCAATGGCTTTGTACCAACAAATATAATGTCTTATGATCTATGCTACAATACTTAAGAAGGACCATTTGTATATCCCATAAGATCTTTCATTAAGTGTTAATTTAAATAAATACGAAATCAAATGCTATCAACTTTTTAAAGCATATTTAGCATTTACGCATTGTGAATATGATTCTGGATGACCAATATCTATCTCCTCAAGGACTAAGAAAATTGGATTAAACAATTACTGTAATTTGTAATGGGAGCTCAATCTAAGTATCGTAGGACGTTGCAACGTGTCAATTTGGTTCAACTATTTCCCTGTTTTAACCCCTTCCACATCAATTAAATGCTTCATTTCATTTATTTGTCTAGTTTGTAACTCATCATGACGCTTAGCAAAAGAACTAACAGTGATAACAATAAAAAATAATCATTTAAAAATTCATGAACCTTAGCTATTTTTCCTTGATGTAGCAATTAGAGCTAGTTGGAACTAATGTGCTAGACAATATGCACAATAAGTATAGCAATTTATTATATGAACAAAGTCCAAAAGACATTTTACCACTCTCGCATATTATAAACGCCATCATAACCCAGGCCTCTAACTGCTAAATACTTAGATGAAAATGATTAAGGGCAATCACTGGGTTTAATTAGGGATATTAAAATAAAGCACGTCATTAGAGAAGTAGAAAATGAATAAGAGCCACCATTAGATTTACTCTTGATTTGTAATAAATAATGTTATGACCAAAAGATTTTGATTGGCCATTCAATAGGCATATTCTAGTTTTTAAAATATCAAACTTGTTTTTATTGCATGCATCTTCCATAGTATTTCAATAAATTTAATATGTTTTTTTACCGTAACACATGAACTACTCATACCCTACATCATACATGGTAATGCATACAGTTCAATTTAATTTTATACAAAAGATAATAAAAAAAGAAACATTGTTATTATGCGAGATCGAGATGGCGTGATGTTCAATAGGTTTGTGTACTAAGGCCTTGTTTAGTTCAATTTTTTTCAACTATTTTAGAAAAAGTAAGGTCAGATTAGGAAAAAAAAAACATATTAGACTATTGTTTTATGTGCATTTTTTTATCACTAAATATCTTTTATTCCGTGATGAAAAATTTCATGAAAATTACATATTACTATGTAATAAATCTATAACTAATACTAAAATAGCAACCGTTGATGTCATCTTTTCCAAAAGTTGTACACACGGCGCTACCTTATGAAAACTTTTCCCGCTCAAATGTTAAGCTCATCTATCTAATATCTATATACCTAAACTACATAAAAGTTTCTTTGGAGGGAATTTTCTCTCCTAAACTCTTTTTTTTTTTTTTTTTAAAGATTTTTAGAATTATTAATGTGTCTAAAAACTTTTTTACCACATAATTATCTATTATGATGGACTTTTAGACCACATTTTTCATGAAACTTCTATATTTAATTTCAATTACCATTATTAAAAACCGAGCATAGCTCGGGCATTATCTAGTACATATTAATAAAATACACATTATAACGAATCTGACCACACTTGATTTATTATCTTACCCACAAGGTCAAAGTTTGATCTAATCTTATAACATATTAGATCATACCGGATCAGATTACACAAGTAAAAATAAGATAAGCTAAATAAGCCATAATATAGAGTAAACACTAACAAGTCAAATCCAAAATATTCCGTGGGCACGTAGCTAGGGATGACAATTTAATCCGAGTTTGATTTGAATCCGATCCGATTCAAAAGAAAAAATTCGATTCGAATCCGTTTAAAATTAGTCCGAATTTGAATCTGATAAAATATATCCGAATCCGAATAGGAGGTGGATCGGACTTGACTCTGCGCAAGTCCGACGGAGTCCGATCCGAGTCCGAATCCGAGAGTATAAGCATATGCTCTATAACTTATTATTTGCTTGTTTTGTAGCAAAATTTTGTAATGTAACTAAGTTTATAATTTAAATATGGTATGTTTATACATTAATTGGTATGCCAATACAAGTAATTATAGGTATATGACATTAAAAAAAAAAATATTCGGATCATTTTAGATAAACGGACCGAATTCGAATCCAAAAATTACGAGTCGGATCGAATTCGGATCCAAGTACCGGATCTGTTTACTAAACGGATTGAATTCGGATTTAGCCACATTTGACCCAAATCCGATCTGTTGCCATTTCTACACGTAGCATAGCAAAAGATTATAGAGTGGAGTTGAGTCGGGGGAGAGCACGTGATATTAAAATCACGCAAATGTAATGTTTTCACTTTCTCATTAGAACAAAAGGCGGGAGCACTACATTCGAACACTCATCATTTTTCATTTTCCCCCTCACTCACTACTTTCTCTCTCCTGAATCACCATAACAAACTCTGCCAAAAACCCTTTTCCCCCTTCTTCTCCTACTCTCAAACTTCACAGTTGGTTAACAATGGCGGAAAATCCAGAAAAAGTAATTTCCGATATCGGCAAAAAACTTGCTCAACAAACTCGTCTTTCTAAAGATTTTCTCATTAAATCACTTCGGGTAAACTTCACTGAAATTTCTCCCTCTTTTGATTTTTTTTTTTGTTGTTCACAAAATTGTTTTTAGTTGTCTTATTTTTTCGATTTTTTCTTCCGCTGCAACCCTAGGGTTTGCGGCTTAGTGGGAATTTCTAGTGTATTGCATGAATTTCTCAGTTATTAAGCTATTTTTGGTACTTATTTTCCATGTTCAAGCTATTAATAGAGCTGTTATTGGTTGTGATATAGTAGTAGCTTGATGTTGAAAACCCTAATTTACGGGTATACTATTGGATAGAAGAATGGTTAGAATTGATGAAATGAGTTTGCGTTAAGATTAATATTGATGATTTTACTTGTGATTGGTGATATAACGAGAAGGAAGAGGAAGGAGGAGAATATTGAAGTGTGCCTGATTGGGTTTTTAAGTAGTCATTGTATTTATTTATTTATTTTTTTGATTGATGGAGATGAAAGTTACTTTTGAGTAATCCATGAGTTTTCCTTGATTTTATGGTAGTCTATTGCACTTGAATTTCTCTAGGAGTATGGGGATGAGGACTTGTTAGAAGTGTCTGACGAAGGTATGATATGCTTTTATTACGATTTTTGAGTTTTTCGATGGAAGTCTGGAACTCACCCTAAGTGTTCATGCTTGTATGAGGTGTTTAATATACATTGGACACAGGTAAGTTACGGTAATTGGAGAATCGGAGAGTTAGATTGTCTGTTTGTTACTAGATTACCTTTTAATCTTAAATTTAGGGAGAGGGATTGGGTATGTTATGGATGTGACTCATGTAAGTGACAAAAAAACTGGTTTTTATCTATTTTTATATGCTTGAGTTGAAGTCTTTAAGTGTCATATTGTGTCACTGTTCAATGATCTGATGAATTTTACTGCGTCTTTGAATTGAGTCCTACTGTCCAAGTAACATGAAACTTTTCCGATGTGCCAATTTTGGTGTTTTTTTTTTGCTGCTTTAGACCAAAATTAAAGTTTTGCTATATTCTTTACAGCAAGCTGCGAATGCTTTGCTGGACCTTGATCAGGTTCCCTCGCTAAAACCTTTCATAAGGCCATTCAGTCAGTCTCTTGCAAAGCATGGACTGGTTCATCATAAAGACAAAGATGTCCGGTTACTAGTTGCTGTTTGTTTCTGTGAAATTATTCGGGTCCTTGCGCCTGACCCTTCATTTGATGATAAAATCTTTAAGGTATACTTTTGAGTTTTGACTCTGCTATCTTCTGTTTCTTAGTTGAGTGCCACACATCTGTTGATTATTTTGGATTTGCAGGATATTTTTGAGCTTTTTGTTAGTATGTTTATGGATCTTGCTGATACCACAAGCCCTTATTTTTCAAGAAGAGTTAAAATATTAGAGACCATTGCAACTCTGGAATGCTGTCGTCGGATGCTAGATCTGGACTGTGCTGATTTAATCTATAAAATGGTCAAAACATTCTTCTCTGTCGTAAGGTATTAACTCTTTTATCAGCTCAGAAACTAGAAAAGTTTTTGTTCCATCTTCCCCATGTATACTTTTCCCTCCCCTGCCTGCTAGTATTAAATTTAATTCCTAGCAAAACATTCTTGTAAAGATCTGAGATAAGGCTGTAACGTACTTGCTTAATTTGCTTACATTTTCTTTGGAAATGCTTAATTCTCAAGAAACTATGTGACTCTTCTTGCTTGAGGCTTGTAGGTGACTTAAGGACATAATATTTTTTTGACTCTATTTACATCCTATTGGGCCCAATAAATATAATGTGGATTTAATGTCTGTCTGTAGTCATCCTGTAGCACTGTCAAAATCTCTTGATTTATGTTTAATATTCCATATTATTCATCATCTTTTGTTTGCTGTGGTACTGTGACAATGTTTTCTAGGGAGGAGCACCCGCAGAGCTTGATTAGTGGTATGCTGTCCATCATGTCACTAATATTGAATGAAGAAGAGGCTCCTCAGCCACTTCTGGAGCTGATTCTAAGGAATCTAAGAAACAAGGGAGAGGTAAATAATCAGTACTATACTCAATGGTGTTATGCAGCAAACTGATGTTAAGGGAATTGGCAGAGGGGCACTTTTGGCATTATCTTTATAAGTTAGTTATCAGTAGCTTGGGAGTTGGGAGTTAAATCAAGAAATTCTATGTATAGAGAGGATTAGGAAGAGGGCAAGGATGTTAATTCTTGATGAGACTTTTGTTTATCATTTAGGTTGCTATTGGGAGAGAATGAAACCTCTTGAAAGCTTGAAAATCCTTCATATAGCTGCAATTCCAGTTTATTAATCAAATTGCCTTTTTTCTTCCGTTATTTTGACCTCTAAGGCTAAGCTATATGATTCATACCATGTTATATACAAGTAGCTATTATATATTAATTTCTGCTTAGTAAACTGCCCTGTGGTTCTGAGTGAAATTTATGATGATTTTATCAACTTCATAGGTCATTTGTCAAAAAGAGGGGGATCCTTTGCTTTTTGGAGTTGGTTTGATATTTGTGTTTTGGCAAAGCCTGCTTTCCTGTTTTATGTTGATGAGAATTTATTCTAGGTTTCACTAAGGCTGTGCATTATTCTTGGTGCCTTTTCTGCTCTGTTTCAGGGTCCTGCTCCTGCTTCTTATCGTCTTGCCGTTGCTCTTATTCAAAATTGTGCAGAAGCTATCAAGCCTGCTGTCTGTGGACTTTTAATGTCTTGCATTTCAGATAGAGAGAGTGTGACAAGTGATCTGAAAGAATATTATCATGAAATGATATATGAAATCTTTCAGTGCACTCCACATATGCTTCTTGCAGTCATCCCAAATTTAGCTCAAGAATTAGTGGTGGGTTTACTGGCTATTTTTTGTCAGATTCAGAGGATCTTCTTTGTGCATTTTAGGTTACTTTTAACTGCCTTTTCTTATTTATGTTATATTCTGTAAGTAACTATCTGTCTCTAAGGTGCAGACTGATCAAGTGGATGTCAGGATAAAATCTGTTAACTTAATTGGAAAACTTCTCGCACTGGTTGAAGATCATGGTATACAAGAACACCATTACCTATTTGTTGAACTTCTGAAAAGATTTTCTGACAAATCAGCTGAAGTCAGAATCAGTGCTCTACGCGCTGTTAAAACTTGCTACTTGGCTAACCCATCTGCAATCGAATCAGACAAAATTCTTTGTAAGTTTACAATTTTTACATTCTTCTGAATTCTTCTGCATTTGAAGATTTCTTCTTTTATGACTGTTCATCTGCTGTGTTGTTGTAGTCTTGATAGATGCATTCTTTAACAATATTTTTTATTATGAAGCTTCCCTTGAAGGCCGTCTGCTGGATTTTGATGCCAGTGTAAGGACAGAGGCAATAGCGATTGTTTGTGATTTGGCCAAGTTTAGCTTGAAAAACTTCCCGGAAGCTCTAATAGCTCGGGCTACTGACCGACTTCGTGACAAGATGGTGATTATTCTTTTCATATATATTGTCTCTCCTAGATTTCTTCACTCTGTTCATTATGCCCTCTTTAAACTTCTTTAAGCTCTTTGTGCTGCTAAACTATCCCTTTAACTTAAGCTTTGCCATCATCCTCTCGTTATATAGACCTCAGTTAGGAAGGAGGCCCTGAAGAAGTTGCTAGAAGTTTATCGTGAGTATTGCACCAAGTGTCATGCAGGGCAGATAGAACTTAATGAATCTTATGAGCGAATTCCCTGCAAAGTACTGGTGCTTTCTTTTGATAAAAATTTGAAGGAGTTCAGGTTAGTGTCCCCTTTGATTAATCTGACCATATAATCTAACAAGTCATTATTTATTCAAATATCAACTTCTGCTGTGAAATTTGATAGGCCCCAAAACTTGGAGCTTCTTCTGGCAGTGGATTTCTTTCCAGCATCTCTTCCAGTGGATGATAAATTGAAACATTGGATCTACCTGTACTCAATTTTCACCTCTGCTCATGTTAATGCACTAAATCTGATATTATGTCAAAAAAGAAGGTACTGCTATTCACAATTTACTTTTTCTTCTGATTTAATTGGCCATCTCAGTTTTCATACTCACTATTGTGGTGAATTGGTTGATTATTGGGTTCCTAGTTTCTTTCTTTTACTAACTGTTTCCTCAAAAGTCAAGGAATAATATTTTTTACAATCACTTATATTTTGGATGGCATGCCTCTTGCTTGAAGTAGATGACTTATATTTGTTATATGAGTCTGTGTGGATGGGAAGGATCACAGATTTTGTATGCATGATTTTGTGAAGACATATACAAACAAATGAACAATACTTCTATTGGTCTTTTGAAACATTTCTTGTGCTAAGTTTTACTAGTTGTGGTAATGTTGCTCAATGTTTGACCTTAACAATTCTTGCCAACTGTGGGATGAATACTTGTTCATGCTACTGATGCTGATACTTTATAGTGTGCTGGCAAACTTTATGACTTGGGAGATGTTAGTTTTTTTAACCAGTTTTTTTTAACCTGTGGCTCAACAACTATTCACTGGTCCCTAATAATGTGAAATGGCCATTGTAAATTTGTAATGGCTGGTCTGGCCCTGATGATTTTATTTGACAATATTGGCTGATATTGTACATTAGTGAACAATGGGAGAGGCAGAACTTTATTGATTTGAAGGAAGTATATGTACATTTATAGTTAACTGGTGCCTTTTGAGATGTTTCTTGAAAGATGAAGGAGGATGTATTTCTTTTTACCTTTTATTTCTAGTGATTTTCCTTCTATTATCTGGTTTATTTGTTCTCTTACCCTCAAGCAAGAGTCATGACTGCATATTGAAATGGCTGATTTCTAAGGAAAGACCTAGCATAAAATGATTGCATCTTTGAAGCTCTTGTAAAAGGATAGAGATACTAGTTCGATCTAAGAATCATCTTTTGTTCTTGGGAATTGAGGGTTGTTACTTGTGCTTGCTTTGTGTTAATGAATTAAAGAATGATGTATGTTTTACCTTTTGTTGGTCTTCAGGTTTCAAACAGAGATGCAAAGCTATTTATCCCTTCGGTTAAATGCAGAGGTAAAAGGCTAATAATTTCTGTAAATCACTACAAAAAAAATTATTTTGCTCTCTGCATATATAGCTCTTGTGTTTATCTTGTAGTTTGTTTATTATTCTGCTTCTACTTTGATAGTCTTAGATCTTTGTGGTTTGTAATAGTTCTAATGTATACATTATTGATTATTGAAGGATAATGTAAATTAACTGCGGAAATGTGATTATTAAAGATTGATGCTACCCAAATACAATCCTCAGCTTTTGTTGTTTATTAAGCTATTTCGATGCTGTAATTCAAACAGATATACAATGTTCCTTATTTTTTTCATATCTCATGATAGAAATATTCTAGGGTGGAAAATGTTCTTTAACAAGTTAACAACTTCTCTTGGTTTTTCTTTGTATTACTTTTGCATGTTTTTCTGTTCCATGGACTCTCTCTGTGTGTGTGTGTGTATGGGTGGAAAAGGTTCTTTAATAACTTCTCTTGGTTTTTCTTTGTATTACTTTTGCATGTTTTCCTGTTCCATGGACTCTGTGTGTGTGTATGGGTGGAAAAGTTTCTTTAATAACTCCTCTTGGTTTTTCTTTGTATTACTTTTGCATGTTTTCCTGTTCCATGGACTCTCTGTGTGTGTGTGTGTGTGTGAGTGGGGGTCCTTTCTCATAAATATGGCTGATAGAAGCAATGGATGATGATTGTTTTTCAGTTGTCTGTTGCTTTTTTTATTTAACTTTGAATCATCTTCCTAATTTTATCTGGAATTATTAAGTATTAACAATGATTTTGAAAAAATATTGACAATTAACTTCTGTAATTATATTCTAAACTTGTATATAAGTCACTTCATAAGAATGGAAGAAATAATAGTCACTGAAATTAATCACTTACATGTCTCAGGCATCAAATGCTGTCCTCTTCTGTATGTCCTCCACTGTCCATAATCTAAAAGATGCCTGTTCCTATGTTTGGATTTTGCTTAGATGTTGGTACCTTGAATCATATATCTTTTTTTTTTTTTTTTTATTATTTTTATTATTTTTTTTATCTACTGTTAGGTTTAATCATTTGTCATCTTAGGTTCTATATGCTACAGTGTTTTTGTACAAGGGTTTAATGAGACTAGTAAGGCCTCTAAATTTGTTTATAATATTGTAGGGAAATGATACAAAAGAGGTGGATGCGAGAATAAAAGGTTCTTTCACACGAATGTCAGCAGCATGCCTTAATTCTGTCAAAGCAGAAGAATCATTTTCTAAGCTGAACCTATTGAAGGATGATAACCTTTTTTTTCAATTGTCCCGATTGTTGGAAGAACCAGAATTTTCAAGTGCAGAGGCTTTGAGGGTGTGTATCTTTGCCTTATAGATTTTGGATCCGATTGTGGTTATACAGTTTACATGGTTGACATAGGACATATGTCTTTCTCTACGTCTTGTTCCTAGGCAATGTATAAATGGGCTGAAGGTGCATTAAGGTGATAGGGATCATTTTGTGCCCTTTTGTTCCTCATTGAAGTGAGGCACACTTAATAAAATTATTCCCTCTGCTGTTAGTCCCATCTTCACTTTGTGCATTGACAATCATTCGTACGTGTCAGAGGTGTACTGTTTGCAGACAATACTTAATATCTACTGCAATGCACAGTAAAATACATCTGATAATGTTTAAACAAGCAATATGACGTTTGTTTTGTGATGTTAAGAACTCTGGTTCAAGTTAAGATCTCTTTAGTCATAGAAAAGTACAATCTTATTTTGTCTGTGTAATTATATATTAAAAGATAAATAATGGAATTTTAGGAAACTTTTCTCAAATATTAATCTCCAACCCATAGCACTCTCTCAATGCCTGTAGCCTAACACAACTCTCTTATCCTTTGTCCTGCTATGAGTGTATTTCATTTGATAGCTTTTCCCCCCAAGTCACTCCCTGGCCCTGCACATCCGTTTCTTGCAGATCCAAGGTTGTCAACCACTAATCAAAATTAGATAGATATAAGAACTTCTATTACTTACCACTTACCAGATTGAATCCTATTATGATTCATTTTTGTAGAATGGGGTGGTTATTTAATAAACTACTCGCGGTTGATGTCTTTTGATGGTGCTCCCTTGTCAGCTGCTAATACCCCCTTTATCTTTAAAGGAAAAAAAAATGTTACCCACTTGCCTGTTTCCTATACTAAACATCCTTGTGATATATCACAACTGGCTTTTAAATTCAGTAAATCTGGACAAATAAGTTGTTTTCCCTTCAATTCTCTTGCTATATGTCATACAATTCTATATTGATTATGAGTATCATTTTTTGTTCCGTGCAGGAGAATTTTTTGAAAAGCATTGGGGATAAGCATCCTCTTTTTGAATTTTTGGAACTGCTCTCTTTGAAATGTTCAAACAATATATTTTGTGCTGAGCATGTTCGATATATTTTGGATCATGTTTCTGGCAACAGATGCAGAGATAAACATCAGAAGGAATCTGCTTTTAACCTCCTGTCTGTAAGGCTCATTAATTTGAAATCCCCTCAGTGATATGCGATTGATGAACAAAAGAAACTCAATAAATTTGATAAGATATAGTCATTACTCATTTTTTTGTCTTACAATAACAAGTTTCGTTTGTTTTTATAATTTGCATTCATGGTCATCTTTTTGAATCAGGATATTGTCAGAAACTTCCCGAAACTTATGAGAGGTTCAGAAGAACAATTTAAAATGCTGATACTAGAGGAGGATTCCTCATGGTGTGCGAGGTTACTTCAGATGTTAGCAAAAGCTGGTCCATTTATAACCATGGAACTCAGGTTTGATCCTTATAACACTTCCATATATTTAAAATTTTAGGTGGACAGTTTCTTAGAGAAATGCCTGTCAGTGACTATCATGGAGCAAGTTTATACTGAATTCATAACTCTTGTTCACAATGTGCAAATCGTTAACTCTTCCCCTGTCAGCCAATAAGCATTTTATCTTTTGTTGCTCACTCCATGGCATCATTTTTTGTTATAAATTAATCTGTTCCTGGAACTTGAATCATGCACTTGAATTTTGGTGTTTTTCCCTATAAGTGTGTTTTGAGAAACGGGCAGTGGTATGATGTGAATATTCTTGTAAGGAGCAAGGTTGGCAACAAATCTACATGGAAGTTCAGTTCATCAGTTCATAATAGACGTTCTGATGAAAAACCTATAGCTCATGTAAAATTAATGGTCAAAGTAATGGTTAGGATGCTGACTTTCATTCACAATTCAACTTCATGTGAGTTTTGTACTCCCTCTTTTTTTGTAAAGTTTTCTAATGCGGTTGTTTTTATTTAATAGTTACATTTCCTTTTTTTTTTTTTTTTTTTTGTTTTTTAAATTTTTAATTTTTAATTTTGATATGATATCTTTCTCCTTTCATGATCCCCACATGTTATTTATCTTCTCTCACATCCCTTCTTTTCAATAAACTATTACCTCAACTATCTTTTCTTATAATTTTAAAAAAATCCAACTACCTTACAACATCATAGTCCCTCCGTCCTTATTTTTTTGCCCAATTGTCAATATTTGGGTCAAACTTAAATAACTTAGACCTCACATTCCCATTAATCTTTAAGATATAATGTAGTTATGTGAGATCTTGTTGGATTTGCCACATTGTATATATTATTAAGATCAAGCTTTTCTAATTTTTATTTGTATAAAAAAAGAGATATATACATTTTAAGACGCGTCTTGGGGTCGTGAAAAGTCAAATGGGGCAAAAAAATAGGGACATAGGGGGTATTATATTAAAGTCAGTTAAATTACCTAAATGTATGTGTCGGTCAAAGTGTAACACTTAAAAAAAGGGGGTATTACCTTTTTCTCTTCTAGGCAATTTCCTCTCATCTGACATATTGGTGAGAGCACTGGTCTGTTCTTAATGTTTTTTGATGCTATTTGTATTGGTGTGCTATATTCTGAAAGGAAAGAATATTGACGCTATCTTATATTTTGCATGATTGTGTGTAGTGAAATCTACCCGCTGCTGGAGAGGTTATGCCTTGAGGGGACTCGTGCTCAGTCCAAGGCTGCTATATCAGTCATTGCTGCATTACTTGATCCTTCTGAACAATATCTTTGGGCGGAGCTGTTCCAGGTATTACTTTCTTTATCTGTCTTTTAATCAACATGTTTCCAGACTTTTATCTGTTTGCATCTAAACGTTTGTATCTGAAGCTGAGTCATTTTAAACCCGACCTGTTACTTTTATTTCTTGTTTGATCAGATTTTAATTACAAATTTAAATCAGATCTTAAATAAGTATTTTAGCTATTGAATCTCTTTATATTTGGTGCATTGTTGCCGTATATGTTTCGTACTGATGTCTTATCCAAATTGTACCATGTCATACATCCAAATTGTACTATTTCATGCATCCTAATTCATAATGCCCCTAAATGTATAGGGATTAGGAGGCTGGGAAATATAGATTCTTTGATGATACATTTGATGGGTTGGTATATATGATCAGACACTCTTAGATTCTCAGCAATACTCCACTGATCTTGTTCTCCTGTGTATGCTTCCAGAAACTTGTGAAGTCACTTAATAGTGACTGTAACCTTCCCACTGTATTGCAGTCTCTGGGATGTCTATCACAACATGCTGTTGTGGTATTTCAGAAACAGGAAAATGAAATACTATCATACATACAGAAAAGAATTTTTGAGGCAAGTTATTTCCTTGATTGATCAGTTAGTGACTAGCTTTTTGTTCTTTTTCTTTTTCTTTTTCTTCTCTCTCTCTCTCTCCTGCTGAGATGATTCTGTGAATTTATGGTTATGCTTCATTTTTTTCTTTCTAATATATTGTGACTATATCTGTTGCAGAACAAAATGTATGGAGATGCTGTTGTGGTAGATGAGAAATCTGGAAGCAATGTCTCCTTCCGTTGCATGAAAGTAAGTTTCGTAATCTATAAGTCCATCAGTGGAATGTTGATTGTCTTTTCTAAATATGAGTTCATGTTGTTCCTCCAAACTCACTTTTTTGTTTTATTAGGTATATACCATGGTTTTTGAGTCTTTAATTTTGATTCTATATATCGTGGTTTGGTTTTTGATTATTAAATTTAAACTGCAAGGTTGAAGGGTAAATAATTGTAATGAATTTTTACTACTACCTCCATTTCATATTATTTGCAATGATTAGACATTTTTCCTCTCTACTTTATGTCAAATCGTTGCAAATAATATGAAACAGAGGTAGTATATCAATCCACTGCTTCTTGCTGCTTACCCCTCATGTTTATGCAAAACTAGGCCGATTTTACATTTCAAACGAAAAATGAAGTTTCTATGGCCATTGTGTTTGACTTGTACTTCAAGCCTCTTTTTTTTTTCTTTCCTGGCTCCCGTTAACAGCTACTCCACCATATCTTCTCCACAACTACAACCCACAGCCACAATCCTAGAGAATATTTGCCTCTGTCATCTCTGTATCGAACTAATGGACATTTTGGACCCCAAATTCTTGCTGAATATATCAGAAGAAATAGGAGAATAAACAAGCTAATGTTAATTTGCCTGATCAATAGTGTTAGATGCACGAGAAGCTTAAATTATATAGCAGTGTTAATGTCGTGCATTGTAAATTGTTCATCAACAGGAGCTTTAAGTCCCCACATAACTTAAAGCTCCTGTTTGAGTTGGATTAATTTAGCAGTGAAATTCTTCATTGGGAGGAGCTTTTATGTTTCACAGCTGGGATAAGCAAGATGCTATGTGGACCCATGGTCCTAGGCTGCATCTATCTATCTATCTGATTGATGATTGTCCGCCAGTCTGGAGGTAGGAATGTATGTATCGGCAAAAGAATTAGGTGACTGATAAAGGTCTGCTGGGAGGAGAGAGAAACTGGTGGTGGTGGTTATTGCTTGGCAAGCTGAAATCAGGGTCAAAAATCATGATTTAATTCAACATAGAGGTTATTAATTGTTATTTATTAATTTTAATATCAGTACACCTCACTCTCTCTGTTTTTTTTTTAAAATTTTAAAATTTCTTTTTTATTTTTTTAAAAAACAATTATCTGCAATCTCGTGATTCAGGCCAGCCGGATTTTCATAAGCTGGTAGTTTTGGAAGGGAAAACGTCATGTGAACTATTATTTTAGTTATAGCATGTGTGGATAATTGTTTTTTTTGATAACATGAGGTCATCTAATCATTTTTTAGATAACCAACTTAAGTCAATGAGGTGACAATTGCTTTTTATGATTTATCAAGACCAATGACATTGACTAAATTTTATGCTCCCTGCCTCCCTCTGTCCTAAAATAATGGAAACACTTGCTTTTTCAAGGTCAAACCTCACAAACTTGACCGTAAATTTTCACCAATATATAAGAATTGGTGTCATGTGATTTTTTTTTTTTTTTTTTTTTTTCATCTCTATGCATTTTCAACATTGCCAACCTTAAAATTTGTATTTGTACATAACCATATGTATTAATAGTCAAAAACGTGTCTTGGAGACCTTGAAAAGGCTAGTGTTGTAACTATTTGGGACAAAGGGAGTATTTCTTTTAATTGGCTTAGCCGGAGAAGCTTGGTTTGCATATGACCAGTTGCGGAGGATCTCTATTGGTCCCTATGACTATTTCATGATGATTACTTAGTGACATGGTCTTTTTATTTAAACATTTGGGGTTACATACTAGGCCAGGTCATTTGTACTTTGTTCATGTAGGCGTAAGCATGCATCTATTATAATGCTTTACTTATCAATAATGCTCTACTTATGATAAAAAAAAAATCATCAGTTATCACCAAAAAAATTTATAATGCTCTACTTATCAGTTGTCACCTTATGTGTAAAAATTTGTCTTCTGATTTTAACTTTTGTCAAATCACTTATGCTTCTTTAGTCATTTGTAGTTTGTTCATATTGGTCCTTTTACAACAACAATAAACAAATCCGTCAAGCGTATTGTTATTTTTTTGCTATTAAGGCTTGTAGGTCATATAGGATAGCACAGTATTGAAAAAAACTTTTAAATCCAGCTAACCATTAGCATTAGCTGGAGTGGTGGAGTTACTTTTAGACATAAAGACAATGTGAATGTGAGACTTAAGGGTTTGGAATCATTTCACTTTGCATTACTAATAAATTGGTTAGAGATAAGAACATATGAATTGTTGACATATGGATCTAGAATGAATGAGCACTAATTTTTTTATACATGTGAGAGAGATATGGACCCATGTATATGCTTCTAAGTCTCTTTTATGAAGTCAATCAAAATGATAACAGGCTGTATTATCCACTTTTCTCCTTATATCCCGAAATATTAATGCATCATGGTACTGTATGAGTTTTCTTAATGTTTATTTTGTCTTTGCTACATGCTGTTAAGCGTTACTATACAAGAATTTCTAGTTCTAGACCCTCTTGACTATCCTGCTTTTGTACTTATCTTTGCAGATTTATGGGCTAAAAACCCTAGTCAAGAGTGTCTTACCAAAGAAACAAAATTATGGGAAAGTACAAATAAGTAACTTGTTGGATATTTTGTCCAAAGTGCTACTAACAGATGATTTTGCTGATGCTGCAACAGTATGGTAATTTGTCTCCTCACTGCTGCTTCATCTTGGCTTTACATGCGTATTGAGTATTTGCTGAGTTTCATGTTTGACATCATGCTATGTTTTATAACAGCATTGATGTATGTCTAAGCCAAAGAATAGCATGTTCTATTCAACCTTCTGAAGAGCCTTCAACTACTAATACCCTTATGGTTTTTCTCAGAACAAGACTGCTTGCATTTGAAAATCAAGTGCCTTTCTTTACAATGTTTTACTCTGTGAACTTGTTTGTTTGTGTGTGGAAGGGTGGGGTTAGCACTTTCTCTATTTTGTAAATTGCTAAAATGATAGTAAAGGAAGACCGGAAGAACTTGTTGGAGGCTACTTTGAAAGTTTTGTTTTCTTATGGGTATTTTTCAATGATGTGATGCGTGGTTGAATTGTTATATAAGGTATGGATCTCTGCTAGGGTACACCTTGCCCTCTTTTTAGTGAATATTTCCTTTTTTTTTTCTTCAAAAAAGTAATCTTTTCTAACAACAACAACAAAGCCTTAGTCCCTTCTTCATAAGGAACCGTCAAGAAATATGACATAACAAGATAACTGGTTGAAAAAGCTAGATGAAAGGTGTGTAAAGTGAGAAAAAGAAAGAGCATCCAAGTAAAATTTAAGAGAGTTTTACAAGTGTATCAAGAATGAAATTTTAAAAAGTGTCTCAAAGATTCAAGTTTGGTAACAGGAAGCCTTTATGGAAATTATGATGCAAATTTGGGATGCGTTTATTTATCCCAAAGTTGAATTAAATGAGGAGTTTTAAATTTGGGTTTATTTTACATCGTATACTTTTGTAATATTGTCTGTCTGCCTAAGTTATAAATTTATAAATGCAGTGATAACGACATGGCTCACATTAGATTAGCAGCTGCTAAGGCTGTTCTGCGGCTTTCAAGACGGTGGGAGATACATATTTCACCCCAATTATTTCAGTCAACTATTCTGATGGCAAAGGTATGGAGGTTCTGATGTGCTGGTGTATACTGTTGGCATAGACCAGTGAACAATATCTTGTAAAATAGCTTCACTTATCTGACTATCTGATCAAAATCTTTCTCTTGTTCTGTTTACTATTCATAACAGTTTTTCTCCTTTTATGCCCTTGTTATCCAAGCCTTTGACTTCTTCAAGAGAATGTTTTAGATTATTTTTCATGTATTAATTTTACAGTAGAATAACTACAAATAGCTCTTCAGCCTTGTCATCCACTGCCCTTTTCTGATACTTGACAAAGAATTATACTTCTGAAAATAATACACATGTGCTAATCTTGAGATATCCTGAAATATTATTAGTATTCTTATGATAAGGGATTAGATATCCAACACTTTGAAATGTTTTAGATTATTCTTCATGTATTGATCCTACATTAGCAAAACTAAAAAGATCTCTTCAGATTTTCCATCCACACCCCTTTTCTGATACTTAAATGAATTATACTTCTGAAAACAATACACATGTGCTATCTTGAGATGTCCTGAAAATAGTAACTTTTCTCAAGATAAAGTAAAGTTAGAGAATGACTAGGGAAAGATTATCCTTCAGACCTTTATTTAATGATTAGGAAATGGATAGTGCAAATACTATCAAGGGCGTAAAGGTGAAGTCTTATCAATTCCTTAGATTGAGGGGATGAGACAATGTAACTATAACTTTTTGACAGTGGGGACTATTCAAGGCATTCAAAATTTGCATCTTTATCCGAGGAAGGCAATTCATTACTCACTTGGGTGTAAATTTTATTCTGAAAATAAAAGTAACATATGGTAATATGAGGTTGCCTTTATTTATTTATTTTTTCCCCGGGGGTGGGGGGGGGGGGGTGGGGGGGAGGTGGGGTGGCCTATTTTGGTTGAGGGTCTTGAGGAATTTTTTTTTTTGCTACTCTTCATTGGATAATTAAATCCTAGGACCGGCAGATAGACTGAAAACATTTAGAGTCCTGCACTAATCATGTCCTCCTAAAACTTGATAAGATTGCAAATTTGTTGTTCTGAGAGAAGAATAATGAAGAATGCGTGAGATTAACAGTGTTTCTCTGCCTTTATGTTTTGGTTATTGACTTAAAAAAACCTATAGCTACTGTCTGTACATTGTGCTAGTGGTAACACCCCTAGTATTATTGCAGGACACTTCTTTTGTACGTGAAGCATTTCTTGATAAAACTCACAAGTTACTGAAAGGACGTGTTGCCTCAAGTAAATTTGCTTGTGCATTTCCTTTGGCTGCATCTGATTGTGTCAAAGATCTGCAAGATAAGGTTTACCATCAATTTTGCAATCCATTAGCTTATAATATTTTCATAAATTACAGCTAACTTAGTGTAATCTGCTTGTCAGTCATTAAATTATTTGATAGAGTTCATCAAGGAAAACAGCAAAGCTGCTCGCATTTGTTCTACTTTGGGAAAAGAAGGATCAATGACCGATAGCCCAGCTTACACAGTGGTGTTCTTGCTCCATGTTCTTGCTCATGATGCAGGATGTCCACCTGTAAACTCTCATAATGAAGAGCATACTGCTCAGTTTTGCAGGTAGTTGTATAATCTACGTTACATGAGGCAATTATATCACAATGCATGTGCTTGAGCTAGTCTTTGTTGCAGGCCACTTCTTCTCCTTTTGCATCTGTTGGTTAACTCTCAATTTGTTGACGGGGACTTGGATCTTGCCAAAAAAAACTTTCTGTATTTGCGAAGTATTTTTCGGGCCATCAGAAGAGCCGAGGATGTTGTAGATCCTGAGAAAACACCTGTAAGTTTTTTGGATATAATTTTTATTTTTTTATTTTATTTTGTTGTATTACTGATAATTGATTTTTTTTTTAATTTTTTTTTATATGTTGCAGAAGCTGCATATGTTAGCAGAGATTGGACTGTCAGTTTTAAATTCTCTAAAACATACTTTCATTAATTTGTCCCGTGCCCCTGGACTAGTTCTTCTTCCATCATCGCTGTATAGAACTAATGAGGCAAGATTTCCAACTGCCATGTGATAACCTTAGAATATGTTTATAATTGATCATTGCTGATTCCCTTCCTACTATATTTTTTCAGGATAATTGCTTTTCAGTAGAATTCCAGGTCAATGAAAATTTTCTGAAAAAGCTTGTTCAAGTCTTTGAATGTGATTTTACTCAGGTATGTCATATTAGTATTTTGTTTTTAATTTGTTTTTGTGACTAAAGGAAAGCTCATGATCTCATTGCATTTTGTTGCGCAGTTGTCTAGCTCAACTGTTAAGCGTAGTCGCAAATACCTGAAAGACGGTTTGCAAGGTCAGAATGCCCTTGAGTTACCCATGTCTAAGCAAGTTGAACTGTCAAAAAATAGGACAGCAGACAAAAAGGTTGCCGAGATAGAGATGGCCTCAAATTGTGTCCTTGAAGCATGCCCCAAGGGAAGACAACAAAGTGCAGTAGATAACTCTTCCGTTGGAGAACTACAATTGCTAGTTGGTTCATCAGTTATTGAAGAGGTTGAGGCAAATATTTCTGCAGATATTGTACATGTACCCGCAAAAGAGCATCAAATCGATTCTGAGTCTGCAACTTTGGAACTCTTTGAAATTGAATCAGATATTTCTACTCAAGAGGTTGATATCTCGTTGAAAAATTCACCTCAAAATGAGAGGAAAAGGAAAAAATTCTGTGATTTTACAGAAAATCTGGGTCACTGTGAAACAAATGTCAGACAAAGTTGCAGCTCAGGCGTAAGGATTTATTCAGACTTTTGATAACTTTCATTTTTCTGCTAAACATATTTTTGTGCCTTGCTAAAGTTGGTGTGCATTAAAAGTTGCTAATTGTGAAGTAGGCTTATAATTCTGAATGCTATTAGTTTGTAGTAGAATTCTTCTTTTTACTGATTGGCAATATTGCACTTCTTAAGTTCTTAATAGTGGTCATTGCCTTTTTTTTCCAAAGAATTGTACAAACTCCTTTACTCAAGAAGCTGAATGATGAAGGACCTTGTCATGAAAATGGGGAATATTTTCTTCTCTAAATTTTGACTATATTCTCTTTCCTATATTAAGTATCTAAAGTGAAACATATTCCTGAATAAAAAGATTATGTACGCAGATAATTTTCCTGGCATGCAATGACCTTGGTTCTATGACCCTTTTACTCTTGATTTTTTATTTTTATTTTTGTTTTTATTATTATTATTATTTTTTTTTTTTAATTTTACATTTTTAGACTGATTTTTGGATAATATCATACCACTTCCTGCAAAGAAATGATTCGTAAAACTGCCCATCTAGCTACCAATAGGTTGGCTTGGCTTATTTGTATCTGATTTGGTATGGGGGAATATTAATTGGCTTTAATTTTGATTTCATAATTCATTTTTGATTGCATGTCATGATCTTTTGTTTCATTGTGATTAAAATTTTAATTGCTTTCTCTGTATGCAATACTGGAATCCTTGATCAATTTTATCGTCACCTGATTGTGAAGTTTTTTTTTTTTTTCCTTTTTAACAGGGGTCAACTGTTTCCCTTCTCCGGCAGCGGTAAGTTGTCAAATTCTATATGTTGTTGGTTTTGACATGGTTAAATACATGTCTCTCTTCCTTTATCTCTCTGGTCCTATTAAGATTTTTTTAAGTGTGGTTGCTTTCAGTATGCTGTTGTTTGCGAGCATCTGATGCTACTCATTGTTCTGTTTGGACTTGGATCATATAGTTGAATTAATTACAGATTATATCAACTTAAAAGTAAAAATATGGAATAAGATGCAAAGCTGAAGGTCATTCAAAAATGACTAATTCTTGTTTATTGATTGTCTTTGATCTGTGACTGAATTTTCCTTATGACTATTACGTATCTCTGAGCATTAGACACTCAGAGAACGTCTGGGGGACATTTTACATTCATCATCTAGAAGATGTGTTGAATGCTTTACTCCCTCTTTTTATTCTGGTGACACTCAGAAGTTGGGGCTTCAGTGGTACACAGCACATTCCTGAACATGATCAGGTCAAATGTGTGTTACTTTTAATCAGTTTTTATAAAAAAATTATTATTTTCATACTAGGACTTGCAAAAAATAAAAGTACTTAAAATTTTAGCTGTGAAGAAGTACCTGAAAGGTATATCAGGAATACTCCATTCATGTCACCAAAGACCTCTCTTTTTGGTATACAAATGTATTGAAAGTTTCTACTTTGCTTCACTAAATGTTGGCGTTTTCTGTTGTGAGAGGATACTTGTCCTCTGTCATGCACAGTTGTGTCTCTTCTTCTGAAACTTTATATTCCTGTAATGTTCAGTCAGTGTGGTGTTTATAGGTTGGACACTTAGTAGTTGTGACGAGTTCCTTGGATAGCTAAATCTGGTCTGTCTGAGATGGCGGTATGTTGAACTTGCCAAAATATGCATATTATATGCACCACTTAGTTTTTGAGAAGTTTATCTATTTATTTTCTGAATCATTTCCTCAGTTAGTGCCTTATCAATTGATCAATCAATCACTTCCTCAGTTAGTGCCTTAAAGTTATATTTTTCTCCTTGAGAAACTCGTTAGTGGTTATAGAGTGAATATGTACAGATTACTAACATATTCAAGATATCATTTGTGCAGCGGTTCCAAAAAACAGTGTTCTAATGACATTGGAAGTAGAATTACCACTGTTTCAAGAGCAGGCGGTGCTAAATCACAAGGATCAGGAACAAGTCAGCGGAATATTCTGTTAGATAGAACAAACTCATTGTCAGGTATATATATCTCCTACATATAGTTATACTGATTTGGAGATGTTGGCTAACTTGTTTAGATTTGAAATGCAAGCAGCTGCTTCTGAGTTGATGTGATTTTGTTTATTCTTTTTAGTCCATTGCTTCAGTTCACCTTGTAATCTAACTCTTAATTTCTCAATTCTAAAGTGAATGTCTTGGATCTAAATCTAGAGCAAAGACAAGTATGGTGTAGATTACTAGACTGAATAAGTTAAAAGTGATGATAAATTTCAATTCTCCATAGCTTAATTTGATTTTAATCTTTGATTAATATTAAAAACATCCCCAATTTTATGCAAACATATATAGCTTGGTAATGTCCTTGGTGGCATGCTGTGTAGGCATGTTTGAAGTATGAATATTACTATTGGCTTTACTTTTGTTGGCTTTAATGTGCTACCCTATGCTCTAAACTCAGCGACTATTGTTGCTGATATTTGGTGAGTAGTAAGCATAATGACCATTAAATGAATATGTTTTCTACACTTCTTTTTCTTGATTGATTGCCTAATTGCCTTACTTATTTTCCCCTTTAATTTGCTTTTATACGGTTATACCCTCAATATATTGAAGTGCTGTAAAAAGTGATTTTCTTCCACTTTCAATGTTATCTTAGCTTCTATGTATTGTATAATTTTGTATATATATATATATATATGTATGTATGATAAGTCATTCTCTCACGCAGTGAATGGCTTGCCGAAACATTCTCAGCCTAAGAAGAGTTGTCTGGGACTCAAAATATCTACAGACACATCAGAGTCCGATGTTTCTCATGAGAACCAGGATGCGGTAAGTCCTACTCGGCCTTCCCATACTTTTTAAAATTGTGTTGCTGAAGCTTACCAAGGGTGAGCTATCTACTTAATTATTATACACTTTGTGAATTTATTTTGGGGGAGATTGTGGGTAGACAGAAGTGCACAAAGCTTTTGCCTTGGGTTTAGTTTTGCTTGTTCGGTTTCTGAAGCTATTTTTATGTGATGGTATAACCATGAACACACCTTTTCATTGCTTTGGTTATGTATTGAAGTTAAGATAGTTTTACGCTTATCCATTTGAATCTTTGGCTAATTTTTGGCAATCTTAGATTCTTAGGCAGGTTTGCTTTCACAACCTTACCGTACTTCTGTGTTCATTGCAGATTGCCTTCAGAACTCGGAGACGGAAAGTTTAACTTGTTAACTTATGTTTGCTACATACTAGTATCAGACGCGTGTATTCCTGAGTGCAGTGCATAATTATTGACATGCAAGCTTCTGTAAAGCTAATAGCTTTTTATATATATAGGGTGCTTCTGTAAATGTCCTGTAATCAGCATCTGCTGTAATATCCTTACTAAAGTTTATAGAAAGGACTGATTTTGGAGCTATCTTGCCGTGTAAATACAACATTTTGTTAGTCCAAAGACATTGAGAGCATCTTGTATCGTGCTCTCAAACGCTACATAATTCTAACTTTTACTGGGGAAGAGCTGGAAGCTTTTGATGTTCGACAAGTCTCGGTAAAAATTGATAATATAAGTATTAACAGTGTGAAGACTCAACTACTGAGCTATAAGCTATGTAGTAGTATGTTGAGTAATTAATTACCATTTGTTTTTATAAACGAATTCTTTCTTCTATTCAATTTTTATAAGATTATGATGGCAATGATTCGTAGAGGAATTGTTAAATTGCTTGGAGGAGAGCTAAACTGTCAATTTGTGGTCTCATTATTTAAGTTATTACATTTTTTAATTTGAATTTTTTGAATTAGTGCAATGGCATTATTTGTCAAGTTAATAATTAAGCATGTAGTTATCTAGCCATTGGAAGCAAAAGATAAAGAGGAGTGTTGCAAGATAAAGATCCTTCTGCTGCATGTTTGAAGCAAACCTAAAGCCTTAGATGCCAAGCTTGATGCCTTAAATTGCAAACATAGTTTCAGCTGAAGGCTATAAGAAAACTCTAATGCAATGACTTGCCAAAAACTTTGTTTCGATTATAAATTTATGACAACCTTGTTACGAGTCTCTTATGTGTTATTCTAACATTTTTCTACTACCTTGCTTCTTATTCATGACTATGCATTGTGTGAATATATGGCTACGAGCCTATGGCTATGCATAACTAATGTAATAATTGAAGTTGGTGGAATTCAAACGTTACTCCCTCCGTTTTTAAATACTTACTCCATTTCTCCATGCGCGGAGTCTTAGGAAAATTGGAGAAAATAATAAAATATGGAGGTAATGGGGTAATTGAGAAAATAAAAAATGTAAAAAACAAAATTAATGGAAGAATAGGAGGAGAGAGAGTATTATGTTGGGTCCACTAAGTGTGAAAATAAAATTTAATATTGTAAAAGCTTTCTAAAAAAAGGAAATGGAACAAGTATTTAAAAACGGTCGGAAAAAGAAAGTGGAGCAAGTATTTAAAAACGGAGGGAGTACAAAGTACTTCAAATTCAGTTTCATCCGTTTTAACCAAGCACCTTTAAAAACTGAATATTACAGAGTAGAAGAAAAGGAAGAGAAGAGAAGGATGATAGTTTTCACTCCCCTTTAATAAAATTAAAAAAAAAAAATGTAAAGGAAGTGAAGGGACAGAAAAATTCTTTACCCACCTAAAATTTTCCAATTTAAGTAGAAAATGCAAGTGATTTTTTTTTTGGGAAATGTCTTGATTATTACCTTATAATTTCTTTCTATTCTTATCAAATCCAATATTATTTTTCCAAAACCATACAAATACATAGATAATATTTGCGTTTATGTTTTGGTCGCGGTGGGACTGACAGCTTTGGGCCTTGTCTAGGCCGATGGTAGGGGTGGGTAGGTGGTTGTCATCGCGGTGGGGTTAGGATTTTTTTGCTTTTATATTTTGTGTTTTAAGAGTTAAAAAAATAGTTAATTATTAATAAAAATTAAAATTAAAACTTATTTTTTTTTACCAATCACGTGGCGACATGGGTAAATTAAGCTTATTAAAAGAAAATTACCTATTCTACCACTTAGAACCTTTTAAGCGAATTGAGCATAAAGGTCGGATTATTAAAAAATAATTAGATTATGGGGTTTTTTGGGCGGAGGAGTCTTGTATGTGGCTAGCCACACGGTGCGCCACATTAGTTTATAGGAGTAATCTTCATTTATATTTACGAGTAGCCTCTATTTTTCATAAGAGTAACCTCATATTGTCCATAAAAGTAACCCAAATTCATTACACGAGTGAATTCAACTAATTTAGAAATAAGTAACTCCATTTGTTCATTCGAGTAAACTCTATTCTTTTGTTTTAAAAAATGAAAGAATAATTCTACTTATTAGAGAGAGTAACCCCTAATTCTCATTGAAGTAACCTATAAACACATTAAGGTAACGTCATTTGCTTATAACCGTAACCCCCCTATTGCTTAATTAATTTTTTTATATGTGATTATGTGTAATGGCCACACCAATAAGATTTTTTTTTTTGTTTTTTGAAACAAGCCACATATAAGACTTTGTATATATATGTGGAATGATAATATTTTTTGTGAGTGTTAATTCAACTAGTAAAGACAGAGAGAATTGACATTTTTTTTTTTTCAAAAAAAAAAGAAAACCTTTGATGCAAATATTATGAACGTAATTCATGATAATTTTTCATAAAAATTTCATTATTATTAAAATACAAGTAGTCGAAGTAGTACATGTATTATTATTAAACTTGCATTTTCTCGTTGATTAAAATTAAAGTTTCGATTTTTAAGAAGCAGCCTACTTTTGCAATCCAATCTCTCTTAAATTTTCCGACAATTAATCAATCATCATCAACCCACTTCTCCAGTCTTCCCCATCATGGCGAATTTGAGGACTGATGCTCCCATCTCTCGCCGTATTACCCGTGCTTTCTTGGATTTTCTCGATTCTGGTATACTTCTCTTTCTCTCTTTGTCTTTGTTTTGATTACGCTTTTTCCAATTTTAGAGATTAATGTTGTTTTATAATTCATTGCTTCATTCATTATTGTTACATGTCATTGAGTTTTCCTAGGTTGTTGATGTATTTTCTGCTGTGAATCTGTTGTTGATTTTCATTGTTGTTGGATTATGAATAAAAATCAGTACTTGGGTTTTGAAAATATGCATTTGAGTCTTGCAATCACTCTCTATTGCTATAATTTTCTGGGAAGGGGGGGGGTGATCTTTTTAACAATATGACTGTATTTCAGATGTTCTTAACCCGGCGCCTCGGCGGGTTTTTGAAAAGCTAGCCATGGCTGGGGGTTAGTATAGAGTGAGGTTTGCTACTGATCTTATTGAGAGTTTTCAGGAAAGATAGTTGGAATTAAAGGTAGGTTTTTTGTAGGTTAAGAGTTGGGGTAAGGCCTTACTACAGTACTACAGATAGGTATAATTGAGTATCAGTTTATGGGTTCAAGAGTTCAAATACCCAAATGGAGCTGAGTGCTGGGCTGAAGTTAGTGATGGGTGGCAATGGAGGTCAGCTAGACAGGTGGTGGTTTGGTTGGTGGGGATGGTGATTAATGGACAGGGGCGAGGCGGTGCCAGGGGGGTGAGGCAGTTGTAAAGATTGGAGATGTTGAAGGGTTTTTTTTTTTTATTTTTTTTGTTGTTAATTCTTGTTTTAATTGTTAAATCTAGCTATAGCCCTGTTGTTTGTCGATTTAGCACCGTAAATATGTCAATACTCTCTTGAATTTTGATTATCCTCTTCCTAGTCTTGGAAGGGGAGGGGTTGAAAAAGCCTTTTTACAAGATTTTTCCATACATCCTTGTAGAGTATTGGGTATAAATCATTTGTCTTTACATTTCCTTGCCAGGAAAAAGGTAATTAAATGTTTTGATTACTTAATGGCATCACAGCTTGAATCAAAATATCTTTTCTTTTAAATCAATTATGCTTTTATAGGAGTTGGTGACAAGTTTCTATGCTACATACTGTTATACACTCTGTGCCGTAATCCTTTGACATGCTTGCTTCAAATTTATTTATGTATTTGTGTGGAGATTGAGGGTGGCTTGACTTAGGGGTTCCTGAAAGCCCTTGAATGAGTATACTCTTTTGGGTCTTTAATGATTAACAGACAAGCGCCTGCTGCACAAGAATATTATCAAACATACATCATATTTGACTTGTAGATAATTAATTATCCTATCATCCATGCACATTGATATGTTGATATAAAATTACTAGTCTCAAACCCTTCTGCCTGTACTCCTGGTGTGAAATTCATGTAATTATCAATAACTTATTCAATTTTTATAAATCCCTTGGCAGTTGAACCTGCCCCTGGAGTTGATCTTGAAGGTCTTGAAGTTGCCAAAGATTGCTTGACAGAAGTATTCAGACTTCATCAACTGCCTGAGAGTGAGCAACCAGAACCTAATTTATTGTTAAACATTTTCAGTTCTCGAGAAAGAGATACTGAAAGTGAAGTCAGAATCAGCCGTAGCGAGGAGGCCCAACCTGGACCATCTGCGGAAAATCATGCTACGGGTGATGTTTCAGGAACATCCAAAAATCAGGTTTCTGCTCATTTATTACTTCTAGAAAATAACAATTCCTTGTCCGTTCAGTCATGTTCTACTATGGTTGATTTTAGGATTTGTTTGATAACCCCCCCCCCCCCAACCCTCCCCTTTTTTTTGGTGAGAAAAATGATATTATCTATTTTGTTTTCTATATAAGTTAACCTTGAGATTTCATTTTTGTCTTGGTAGGGTAATGTTGAAGTGAGGGAAAGCAGTGATACAGGTATATATTTTATAGCCTCTGTAATATTCTGTCATGGTATTTTTGTTTCTTTAGGATATTAATTCTGTCTTTCCCTGACAAAGCTATGTGGGTAACTGGGTATGTAGTCATTGTAATGCAATCCCTATTATTTAAGGAGAATTTCCATAATGCGTATATGAGGTTTTGCAAAATTCCATTTTTGGTACCTTTGTTTTGGATATCCTATAATCCTACTTTTTGTATCTTGTGTTCAAAATTTAGTTCCACTTTAAAGTTTTTGATACACTTTTAGTTGCTACTTGGTGAGGGTTTGATTCCTAGATTATATGGGCTACAGATTTCTGTGCATTTCATTCTGCATATAAGTGTGATATGGTAAGAGACTTGCAACCTTTTCTGTTATGATATATCTAGTTAGGATATGATTAGGACTTGTTCCTCTATCTTTCTGACATGTCTTATTTATGTATGAAGGAATCTTGCATCTGTGTCCCCTCTTTAATAAAGTTTCTTATTTATTTCGTTAATAACTAGTTTATTGGGCCTTGGCAATGCTCTGAGTTATCACATGAATAACATTTATACTCTAATGCATGAATGACATGATATAGATATATTATTATTTTTATTTCATTTATCTATCATTCATTTTGAAAGGATGACTTGCAATATGGTTTAGTCGTGGTCAAGACTTTATTGTTTAAACTTTAGATTGCGGTTTTGAATCTTGCATGTTGTAAAGTTATATACTTCATAAACATAAACTTGGTTAGGAACAATTGTTTACATATAGTATAGAAGATTACATAAATTGAAAGACTCGTTGAATCAAAGTTTATGAATATATCAACATACGTAAGAAAGTTGTTTTATAGCGTAGATTACATGAAATGATAGATCCTTTGAATGAAAGAGTGCCACATGGCACATAAAATTGTATAGGAATGCCTTTTAGAAAGGAAAAAGTAAGATAATAATACATTGAAGCCTTTTATTTTATATAGGAAAACTTTGATTAATTATGAAATGCCCCTCAACATGTGAATGTGAACATATTGACTGCAATTGTTTCCTCGACAATGTAATTATGCTGTACTTTTCTCTATGCCGCCAAACTCCACTTCTTTTGAGTTTGACAAGTTCCCAAATATTCTAGGTTAATTTATCACTGTTGTTTTGATAGATATTTGCCTTTGCAGGGGTATCTAAAGATGAACTTTTTGGGCAATTTTTTGATGCTTTAGAAAAAATCCGATTCTTCAGGACAACAGCAAATGGAGATGATGATCATGTATTGCTAGATAGAGCTACAAGCATGTTTCACGATGCTGTCAATGTATGCAACTTTTGTCAAGTTTTAAATTTATAGGCCATTTTCTTATCAGAAGAATAAGCATCAATATGCGTGCATGTCTTTTGGAGAATGTTATAAGCCACTGATTTTTGCACCATGAGAGGTGGCATTTTGGGGGTTTGATGGGTCTTGGGTGTTGCTCAATGTTCATGCATTTATTTGCATCTATCCATTTAAGAACTGAATCAAATTCGTTGACCAAATATTGTGTGGAAAAAGGCGGGTGGGTGTAAGAAAAAGGTGATCACTGATTAAAGGGCTGGTAATATATTATTTGAATTATATATTGCATATCCTAACATCTATATACTGAATGCTTTCGGCGTATTTTAAGTTTGATTGTCAAAGCACCTGGGTGTTTAGAAAAGATAGTTTTATTGTAGGTACTTCTTTAATCATTGCTTTGGTCTTTATTAAGGTGGGAGTAACTGAGTAAGGGTGCTTATTATATAAAAAATTATGTCAACGTGTGTGGATCCAAGGTTATATGTATGAGGTAGTCAGAGTTTGCTTTGCGTGTAGACCTGTCCCAGTAAAGTGCTGGAAGATTAAAAAATAATAAATAAATAAAAAAATTGAACAGAAGTACAAATAACAAGCTGTTTTCAGGTTAGAATTTGACATAATGACATTTAAACATTTTTTTTTGGTTAGATCCTTCCGTGGTGTGCTTTTATAACAGTGTGGTTGTAAACTATGCATACGCTATTTACTTAACACAATTGTTTAGATTATATTATTGGAGATCTTTGCTTGACGTAGTAAGTTTCACTGTATGCAGGAGATGGAAAGATCTGGATGTAAGATATTTGATCGTAAAAACTTGGCTGATGCTCTGAAAACATTAGGTAATCGTCAGTTATCGTTTCAATCATTGGACTTATTGCCATCTATAAGACACGGTGTTACATTCCAGGATTTTATGTGCTTGTATATGCACCTTTCTATTCTCAATTTAATTATTTTGCACATTTCACTATCAATCTCTCTCTCTCTCTCTCTCACATGCATTGCATGTCTTACTCTGTGTTAGGTAACAAAGCTGTGCAATCTAATGAATACTCAGATGCTATTGAGCGGTATACTTGTGCTATTGCTCTTTGTGAAAATGCAGTGTACTACTGTAACAGGTAAATTTCACAGATTTCTACAAGTGTTTTTTCCCTCCATGTTATCTTCTCAGTTTTGCTTTTAATTTAAGGCTTCTTCAGTTTTTAACTTGATGTGATGTTCCATAGTTTTATCCATGTTTAGAAATAGCAACTGAGTTGTCTCTCTATCTGTTGCTTGGGTGAACCAAATCTGTGACCATGCCTCCCAAACTTCCATTTTAACCATTCTTTCTACTGTTGCTGTGTGTCGAACCTTGTACCTATCAGTTAGCTTTCTGCTATACATGTAACCTTGAACTTCTTCCAGTAGTAACTGTCAAAAGGACTAGCCTTTCTTGTCGCTTATGAGTTATGATGATCCTTCTGTATCAGCATACCTAGCCGTCTTGGTGCAAATGTGCTGCCCGATGCCTTAAACACTAGAGCTGAGAGCTTTGGTGGTTATGGTTAGGTTGGGACATTGGAATTGGGAACTTGATGTTTTTTGCTTTGGTACAATATCTATTGCTACTTTGACCGATAAATTTGTATATGAGTTGCTGATTCACGGACAATAGCCTTAGAAACTAACCTCTCCATCACCATCAACCATTGATTAGATATTACTTATTGATTTATTGGAAGCAGCACGTGCACTAACCACAGCGCTGGGGTCTGGTTAAATCCTGTGGTTAGGGAATATTACCAAAAATGAAGTTATCCAGACCACCTTTCTTTTCTTTCTTATTGGTATTAACTCAAGTAAGAAAGGTGGTCTGGATAACTTCATTTTTTTTTTTTTACCTTTTCTTTTGCATTAATTGCTTCTATTTGGCACTATAAATTTGATAAAACAAGAAAAGAAAGAAAAGCTTCTACTTGGCCACTTATTTGATTGAAAATATGACACAGTAAGTATGGTGATTGTTGGATACTGAGTTGCATCGTTTATCATATGGTGAGGCTTTTTGTTTTGTATTTTGTTTTGCAAATGTCAAATCCTTTTCTCATTCCAGATGTTGATTTATGTTTCATTTATATAATCAATTGAAATTGTCTATGTTACAGTGTTTGGTGATTATATTTGGTTAACTTCACCCCAAGTAATTTGTTTTATGCACTTTATCCTGTTTTTATTCACCCAGAGCAGCTGCTTATACTCAGATGCACAAATATAACGAAGCTGTTAAAGATTGCCTCAAATCCATTGAAATTGACCCAAATTATAGTAAGGCATACAGTCGGTTGGGTCTTGCATATTATGCACAAGGAAAATATAGTGATGCAATCAATAGAGGCTACAAAAGAGGTCAGTATGGTAGCTGTCTCTAGTTGTTTACTCAAATTTCATGATCAAGGAACTGTATGCTTTCAGTATGTCTAGGGATGATGCTGTCAATAATGGTTTTGGAAAAGGTCTGTAATGCTAACTCAGTATATCAGGACCCAGAATTTGTGTACTTTCAGTTTTAAAGATTTCCTGCGTGATCTTAGTTGAGTTGTGCAAAATACAAATATTACGGTCATAAGTTATTAACCCTTTACCTCTGTTTCTGCAAGAAGCATTGTCAAACTTATCCCTTGGCAAAGAAATATGTAGAGCTGCCTACCACCATAGCCTTCCCCATCTGACTAGGCATCCTAAAGTAAAAACAGATATAGAAAAAGAAAAGGAAATCGAAAGATGATCAGCTTGTCTTTCTACATTTATAAAAAGAGTTAATGCTATTGATAGTTTGATCTCACTTTTTCCATCTTCTCACCATTGCAGCATTGGAATTGGATCCAAATAATGATGCTGTCAAAGAAAATCTTCGGGTTTGTACATAGATAATTACTTTCTCTCTTAGTGCCGCACTTGTTCCAGTTTCTTAATTTGGCATTGTTGTTTGTAGGTGGCTGAGCAGAAATTGAATGAAGAACAGGAGCAAAGACGTCGTTATCAGGTAATTCTCTAGCTTTTCCAATATCAAGTAATTTATAGTGCAGAGGCGTGGCGACTAACATGATCTCATCATCCTCTCTTTCCCCTTTCTCCTATAAAAGGCAACCATTGTCTGTATTTTCCGGAGTCTGAGTTACAGTGGTGACAAACTAGAGAGTAAATTAAAAATTGAGAGAAACTGCCTTTCTAGTTTCTTCTCTGCATTTATTAAAGTTTTTATGTTGACTTTTAATGAACCTATCTCTCTAAATTGTTATTTGCCTTGGAAGCATGAGTGGAGGAAACCAAATCTTTAGCAAACATGGCTTAAAATTGTTATCATCTTGTATTACTATAAGCTTTTACATTCTTCGATGTAGACTATAGCTATAGAATTTGACAGGGTCTTAATTTGATCTATGATTTACAAGTAATAGTTGACATGTGGCATTAGTAATGCTCTCATTCTTCCCAGGATTCAAGGAACCATTCTACTGGAGCATCAGGAACCCAAGCTGTCCCACCACCCTTTGCATCCGTTTCATTTGATGCTGGTACTATTCCTGCCAATTTTGCGAGCATGTTCACTAATATTGCTGGAAATGCATCTCACAACCAGAATGGGCAAGGCAGGCCCGCGGAAGTTCATCATGAGACACAATTTCCATTTGCATCAACAAACTTTGATAGCAATGCTATTCCCTCAGATATTGCTAGCATGTTCATGAATATGGCTGGGGGTACATTTCAGGGGCAGGAATCTCAGAGCAGGTCTGCTGAGCAAAACCATGACAGCGGACCTACTAATCCGCTCTCTAATTTTGCTAGTATGTTCATGAATATGGCTGGACAAGGTTCTCATGGACAAGGCTCTCAAGACCAACCACAAGGAGGTAATAATGCTGGTGTTGATGGCCCAGAAATAAATGCTGGAAGCGCAAGCTTCAGCTTCAACTTTAATGAGCAAACACCCGAGGATTTAAATAGGACTCTCCGATCAATGATGGGAATGTTCTCGGGGGACCTCAAGGAGATCAACAGAGTGATGATGATGGAAGACCTGCCTCGCGATAACTGCAACAAGCCAATAAATATGATCACTAATTCACTAGTCTGTCGTTCCTGTTATCTTCATGATATTTATATGATATTCACTGAGATCGATGATGGGAAAGTTCTCGGGAATCCTCAAGAAAAATTCAGAGTGATGAAGACCTGCCTTAAGATAACTGCAATGAGCCAATATATGTGATTATTATTAATCTGTCATCTTAATGATAATTCTCATTTTTTTTCTCTTGCTATGTTTTTTTCTAGTACAGATGGTGCAGGCTTCCCCCAGTTTTAGTTTTAAGTTTGCACAATTGGTATGCATTAACTCCAATCCTTTCAATAATTTGTACATATATCTTTAATTGCATATTAGTAAAATAATTAAATGTTAATTAACTACTCATTGACACAAATCAAACATGATTGACTATATAAGGATAATATTTTAAGAGTAATTTAAAAGATTTTCGAGCCTAATACATAGTGCTAGATTCCTAATAAGAAAAATCATTATAAAACGGAAGGGGCAATATTCAATTTAGGACAAAAGGAGTAATCGATAAACAAATTGTACAAGAAGGGTCAACAATCAAATCTCTTACCAAGATTCCATACACTTGTAGGGAATCCCAGCCCAAAGCAAGCTTTGGAGATAAACTCCACTCCACAAGTATGAGCTTTAATTTCGTTTTCGTTGGGAAGGAGTGTGGATAAGGCGTACGAATATTATGGACGGAGGAGGAGTGATCAATGTGACTTTGATTGACTCACCATCCTTTCCACTTTACTGTGGAACAAGCTGACACATACCAAACACTGACTAAGTACATCCTAATTAAACGAGTAATTTCTAAATGACCGAATAATCTTTAACTGAGTAACCACGACTACATTTTGTGACCACCCATATATAAAAAATTGTGACACTTTTCAACAATTTCATACACAAATATTAGAGGGTGTCAATTTGGATGATCGGATTAGATCAGATAAATTTTTAAAATTAAGTCATACTAAATTGTTATGTCCATGTGAGTCTAAATATGAATCAGATATTTTTCAAATCGGATCGAATGGCTTTTGACAGCTTTAACAAACACCCCCACTAAATTTGTTGGCATTCATTCCTTCACATGATTCAATCATGCGTTAGTTGCATTTTGGGGGAGATATTTTGAGGTAGGGCCCAAGTTCATTGACTAATTTCTTTTGTGAATTTTATGCTAACAACTTTACATTTTGTTACAATTTTGTGATTTACAATGCATGCAACCTATTATTATTATTATTATTACTCCTCATTATTTAGAGTAAAACTCTAACCATTTTCCTATTGTGAAAATCTATTCATTATCCACTATTCAAGAGGGGATGAGTGGATGACTACTTTGTTTGCCTCGTTTTTTCTACGCTACAATAGAATCACATACTCCCTACTTGGCAAAGGATAGAGGATCATGTCAAGTCTTATTAAAGTCAGTTTTAAATTTTAGTTTTGTCATTAATAAAAATGAATAACTACTGCCTCTGTATATCTAATCGTTGCAAATAATATGTAACGGATGTAGTATTAGTGTAGCGAAAAACCAAAGCTGTACAAAGTGTTGCCATTTTAAATAATGGAAGTAAAATAAAGCATAGGATCACAAATTTGAAATATATGAACACCAACAAACAAGATCACAAAGTAATTTAAAACAAACACAATATTATCATTAGTCCAACCGGTATAAATAAAGTAAACATCACATACAACACGATATCATATCATATCATACGGCTGCGATAATACGATTATTCTAAGCCTAATTAAGAGTTTGGCTTATACACCACAATAATAATAATCCCAGAAACATAACACAGAAACATTAATTAGTTTAATTATATCTTCATCTTAATTAATTAAGATTAAAATTAAGATGGTATTCATTTGCCACAGTTGCATGGATCGCATTGGCAGTTGGCACCACACTTGCACCCATTCTCCGCAGCTACTCCACTCTCTGCTCCTTCAGAGAACCTGTTTTCATTTGTTAAACATAATTTCCATGAATATCAATAACATAATTAGTAAAAATTAAGAAAATTAAAAAAAAAAAAAAAAAAAAAAACTTACGAGATTTTGGGGGCAACACCGGAGACGAGAACGGTGGGGTTAGAGCTGTTCTCCACGAAATCAGGGAACATCTTGCATCTGAATCAACATATATAATTGAAACACCATTAATCCAAATTCGTAATAAAATAATGGATCTCGCTAACGAAGCGCTAGATAAGCATTTAAATACTACTAAAAGTGGTATAAATTTGGAAAAAATAACAAAATTACGCGTCGATCGATGTAATTAACTACTAAAAGTGGTATAAATTTAGAAAAAATAACAAAATCAGGCGGTCGATCGATGTAATTAAGGTTCATTTTACCTTTTTCAATCTTGCTAACGAGCGCCCCGACATTAGACAAGGATAAATTATATTAGTTGAAATGGTATTAAGTTGGAAATTCATGACAAAATCACGCATCATTCGGTATAATTAATGTTAATTTTACTCTAATATTTATAATTTAATTCTCTTATCTAACGCCCCAGACGCTATTAGCTTTTGCCTTTTTAAAAAGCTTGTCCAACACCGCCGGACTTTTGTTAGCTTTTGCTAAAATAAAACCCTTTTAAATTTCATAAAACCCTTTCACATAATAAAATAAAGGGTAAAATTTCATAAACCCTTTCAAACAATAAAACAAAGGGTAAAATTTAACACTGAATTTATGATGATCAAAATCGTTCTATAAATAAAGGGGGGCCGACTAACATGAATCGTCATAAAAAACCGTGCATAAACAAACAAAGCAATAATAAAAAGGATGAAAATGAATTACCCTCCGCAGCCACTGCCGCAACCGCAGTTAGATCCGCAACCACAGTTACCACCACAGCAAGACATTTTCAAGAGTGATTGAGAGTTGATGATGATTGATACTATAAAAAAAACAGAATGGAGCGAATAGATAGATACTAGATAGAGATAAGAAAGAGAGTAAGGGGTGGCTTTACTTATAATAGTGTAAAGTGAGGACTTAGGAGGGACAGTGTTATTATTAGACGTACACTTGTCATCATCGTATAACACCATGGTTTTAGACCGTCTAATGTTGGCAATTGGCATCGAGATTCGGGGAACACCTCTATCCTCCACGTATTGTTTGCATCGGGACTCGGATTAGAGGTGTCAATTCGGATATTTGAATCTATATCATTAGGCAAAAGCTAATATGCACCATTGGAATGTTAGATAAGATAATTAAAAGTGGACATTTTAGAGTGAAACTAATATTAATTACGTCGAACGATGCGTGATTTTGTTATGCATTCCTAACTTAACTATTTCAAGCAATATAATTATTCCTTATCTAACGCTCCGAGCTATCGTTAGCAAGATTCATATCATTTAATACCAAATTATATAATCTGAATGTTTTGACACCGGGTCGTATGACACTCTCTTGCCTTTTTAGCAACAAAAACACAAGTCTGGTTGGAACTGTGGTCTGTGAGCATAAAGCAACACAATCGAGCAAAAGTATCTCAAGGAAGCACGCGTTTATTGGTAACGAGTTTAGAGTCAGGGCTTGTGATGGTTGATAATTCAAAGCGGGCGCAAATAATTCCAACAATAAAGAGGGTTTCTTGGGAGGTTATCTTGATTTGAGGAGATAATTTAAGTCTTTAAAACAAGACAAACACGAAGGCTTAAAAACTTAAATAATATGCAACCGGGTAAGGAGTGAATGATTACATCGGGTGTATTTTTAAACTTAAGTTATGCTAAATTATTATGTCTATAAAGTCGAAATTTTCGAATATTTTCTAAATTGATTTTGAATTGGGTTGGATCAAGTCGGGTGTGGTTGGACCCATCGATAAAAACCCAAAAAATGCTACTGGTATTAGTTATTTCGATGGGCCCCCGTATCAATAAATTTACAGATTGCAAAAGCTGGTACCCTTTATACAAAGTTTGTTCTTTGTTCACCAAAAATTGAGAAAAAAAAAAACCTATAATAAAAACAAAGAAGCAATTTCCTCGATTTCTCAGTCACCTGCATTATTTTCACCCAAATTCAAAAATAATAAATTAAAATCTAGTGTGCCGCAAAATACAATCACAAATTTGGAGAGATAGATAGAGAAACAGCCACTTCAGTTCATCTTCTACCTCTACTTACTCAGGTTTTTTCTGTCTTTCTTCAGAACTTAAGATTAATCAGAATTTTACTTGATATTTCATGTATATGGAAATGCTGGGATTATTGGATTATAATAGTAAAGAAAAAATCATTGGTTTTGATGGAAGGAATTGAACTGAATATCTTATTTTATATGTAATTTGTCGATTAAGAAGCATTAAATTTAAGGATATCTCAAAGAAGCCATTTTTTGTGCTGTTTTTATTTTTATGATCTGCCCAACTCAATTCTAGGTAATTTAAGCATTATGGGTGACAATAAAGTTTGAAACTTTTGTAGAATTAGTGTATTATCAACCTTTAATTTGAAAGCTCAAGTGGTGGGAATGGGACCCATCAATGGTGGTTCTTGATGACTTACTTTTACCCTTTTTAATTTTGGACTGGGTCATTTTTTTTATTTGTTCTAATACTATTTCCTGTTTAATGTTGCTAGAAGTTCCTAAATAACTTAAGAATTAAGTAGTTACTAAGGTTTAAGAAACCAACAATTTGAGGGTTGAGCTTTAGAGGATTGGCCTAATTATATGATAGGATTATTCTAAATTGAACTATAGTGGCAGCTTTTAGTTTGATGTGGAATACCGGCTTGCTACATTCGCTGCGCTTGTTTGAGACCTTGATTGTTCTCTTTACATCAGAGCTGGCATATATCGAAGCCAATGCTGATTGAATTTTTGTTAATGGAAGGTGTTTATAGAGAAGTGGTTTTTGACAATATGTGATATTAAGGGTTATGCCTTTTTATTTTTTCTAGGTGTACACTTAGGAGATGACTCCCTATGTAGTTGGGGTCCTTGTTCCTCTTGTGTTTACTCTTATAATTCGTAATACTAAGCGTGGGAAAAAAAGAGGATTGCCTATTGATGTTGCTGGGGAACCTGGATATGCAATCAGGAATGCTCGGTTTACTTCCCCCGTAACAACAGCATGGGAGGGCGTCTCAACTCTCGCTGAACTTTTTGAGAGGTCGTGTGAAAATTATAGAGATGAACCCCTTCTTGGAACCAGAAAGCTGATTGCCAAGGAGACTGAAGTGACAGCAGATGGGAAATCCTTTGAGAAACTTCACTTGGGAGAGTATGAATGGCTTACTTATGGAAAAACCTTTGAATCTGTCTGTAGTTTTGCTTCTGGTTTGGCACAACTTGGACATTCCAGGAATGAACGTGCTGCAATCTTTGCTGATACACGAGAGGAATGGTACATCGCAATGCAGGTACTTGGTAAATCTTTTTGTTTTCCATTAATTAGAATAAGAAAAAAGGGAATTGAAAAACTTGCAGATTAGGCATATGCTTATCTTGGAAGAAACTTTTGTGCAGTAGGACTTACTTTTGTGTATTTGAACATCATATTACAAGAGTTTGGATTTATAGTATTAGTTATTGATTTTTCCGCATTCTGCTCCCAAATTCCCAATGGGTTTGGTAGTCTTGAAGTACTTCCCCGCCCCCCCCCCCCCCTTTTCTTAAGTAGTCCTTGAATGAAACATAACATTGGTGTTCTTCGGCAGGCTTGTTTCAGGCGCAACATAACTATTGTGACAATATATTCTTCTCTTGGAGAGGAAGCTCTATCTCATTCATTGAATCAGGTTCTCTCTCTCTGCTTCTTCTTTAATTTCTTTCCCCAGCATTTATTGTTGCAGGCACTCGCAGTGGGTTTACCCCTTCTTCATTCTTATATTTGTTTCTCATTACTGTGATTTTTCTATGCTTTGCCTTCAAAACCTTTCAATGGCCCGAACATTCTTTAAGTATACCGACAAAGAATTGATTCCTAGCAAAAGTAGCAATGGTGCGAAGTCCTTCCACATAAAATTGTGCTGAATGTTATCCGTTTGTAATTATAGTATTAGGATTTGTGGTTAATTTTCAGTTATGGCTTATGAAGTTATGATGCACTTGACTTTTTTGAGCATTATGATCCATGGACTATAGAGCCGTGCATAAATGCGGGGTGTTACCTGTCTAATTGCAAAATTTTCAATGCCTGTTCAATCACAACTTGCATGCTTTAATCACTCTTGTACCTTCTCTTCTGTTGACTAGAGATAATTAGGTATTTAAGATAAGTAGGAGGAGTGTAGGAATATGTTCTACTGTATGCTTTTCTTGATGTTAATGATATAGTTTTCTGAAAAATTCCCGTTAGTCTTGAAGACTTAACAGTAACAGGGGTACAATTTTTGGGAAAACCAAGGGGCTAGCTATGGGGGATAGGGCTGTAAACCATTTAACAGAAAAGCTACAAGCTTGATTTTTTTTTTTCTATGATCACAAAACTTTTTGGAGGGAAATTTTTCTAGAGAGAAACTGCCAAGTGTATAGTTTGGCAATTACTTAGTCTATTGTATATAGATCCCTGTTACTTGCACTTCTCTAAGCAGTTTTTCTTTTGTTTTTTTTTTTTTTTTTTTTTTTTTTTTTTTTTTTTTTTTGCAGACAGAGGTCACAACTGTAATTTGTGGGCAGAAAGAAATGAAAAAGCTTGTAGACATAAGTGGACAGCTTGACACTGTAAAGAGGATTATATGTATGGATGATGATTTCTCATCTAATGCCTCTTTGGTGGAGGAAAAATGGACTGTCAAATCATTTGCTGCTGTGGAAAAGCTTGGACGAGAAAATCCTGTTGATGCTGATTTACCCCTAGCAGCTGATGTTGCTGTGATAATGTATACCAGTGGAAGTACAGGCTTGCCAAAAGTGAGTAGGCTACTAGAACCATTTAATTTTTAAAATTTAGTTTAGAATGTCTGTTCTCCCCTCATTTCTCCTCTACTGCTCTGAACCTGATCCACAGCTACAGCTTAGCTCCTTTTGAGTTATCGGCATTTTATGATTCGTTCATTATCTTTTGATGTTTATAGGTAATTGACTGATTACATAGACATTGTAGATTTTCATTAAGTGATACCAATATACTATGATACCATCTACTGATAAACCCATGAAACATAATCTTTACCGGCTTAGCTTTATAACTTCTCATAGCCTTTCAGTTTCTGTCGATAGATGCTTTTATATTGCTTGATAGACAGAGATGATAGTTTCATGTGAACCATACCATCACCCCAATGTATCTAATTAAGCTTCCCTGCCTAAGGCTAGTTAGGATTTTCAGCCTTTCAGGTTCGAGGCTTCTCACTTCTACTATTCCAAAGAGGCTCTTTTTGCCTTAAAGTTGTTTCCTTCAGGGCTCCTGATCCTGGAGCAACTAACCTACTATTTGCTTATGAAAAAGTAAAATGTAATCAGACATCTCATTTAGTCCATTGTAATTTAAAGTTGAATAATTGCCCCTCATAAGCTCATTCAACTTTCTTCTGAATGGACAATTTTGTTTGTCTGATTTATGATTGACTGATTAAATAGCAAGACAAAGATGCTGTTTCTTTGCCTCTATAGAGTCAAAATGCAGTCACTGCAGCAATAAATTTTTGGTATACGTCTGGAAAAAGAAACAAAACTCAATTTAAGTGGTGCGTTGATTGGCTATCCACTTTGCAAATTCTGGGCTCTCTAGGGTTCTGGGTAGGTATTCAATGTCTTTCAAAAAAAAAAGGTAGGTATTCAATGAATATGAGGGTTCTAGGTACTTCAGATAACATTTAGGGCTTTTCATTATGTAAGCCCACTGTTGTGAAGTACTATCAATGATCGTGATTTGTGATTCTGTGGGGATTTGCTTTAAAGTTGTTGGATTTTGATTGCTTGTTAAAATTAGTGCCCAGTAAGGATTGTACTGAAAGTTGATGCTATTTGATGCTTTCAACACGAAATAAAATGGGAAGTTTTAATGAATATCTACTTAAGTATGGGTGATCCAACAAAAATATACTAGAAAATTACACAAAATATGCTCAACTACTAACTATCTGAACAAAAATGCATTAAAAGATATCAAAGATGCAATTTCCGGACTATATTATTAGGACATACAGAAAAAATACTAGAATGGACTTTTATTTAAGACTTATTCCATACCTTTTTCCAGTCAGATTTAATGTCTTGCATCATGTGGTAGCAAATTTTACCTCTAATATCATTTAATGTGGTTTTGTTCATATAATTGACTGTTGGGTATATTGATATATTTTTTTGTTTTCTAATTTGTTTATTGGGTACATTTTTGTTGGACCGCTTATAATTGGGTACATCTATGTTTGATCTTAAGTGCAGCTAAATTTTGTTGCTTGTTAAATTTAGTATCTGATACTTTGGATTTTGAAGAAGCAAATTAGTAGTTTAGAAGTTGTAGCTAGTCTGCAATATCCAAATGTACTGTATATTTGGACTTCATCATCTTTTATGCCTTGAGAAGTAGGGTTAATAATTGAACTGTTAGGAACTTCATGTTGGCAATGACTTGCTATTAATCTAGAGATTTAGGAAAGGGCCTGAAGTACACTGTATAAGTTAGTAAGATCTCCATTTCTCAATCTCGAGAGTCCCTTCTTTAGTAAGTAGAATCCTTGGTTTATATTTCTTCATAAACACAACACTCGGAAAATGTTGAGATTTGATTGTGGTATTTTGGAGATGCTCAACAGCATGGGAGACCGTAGAGTCAGAGACTGAAAGCATCCTTTCCCATCTCTGCAAATTTCTATACTTATGTGTGTATTTTGTGCTGTAATAGAAGATGAGTATAGTGTCTTTTTGTAGAAGAATCTTATAGTTTGCTGGTGCAGAGGGTGCTGTGTCTGCCTTTTTTATTTTTAATACGTTTGCTAATTGGCTTTATAGGTTTGCTACTATGCAAAGAATAGGAATTTGTTTCGGTGGCTGGAAAAAAATGAGTGAATTTGGATTTGGTTTTCTATTCGTGAACTTGCAGAATAGAACAGTTCTCCTTGCATTGCTCTGTTGTTTATCTGTGGGGGTTTCCTTTATTTTCTAATGGAGATGCAGTCTGGCTGGCAAATAATTTTCCCATTGTTTTTTATTCCAAAAATATATGTATGGGGAGGAGATTTCTTGCTTTCTTGTAGTTGACAATTTGACATATTCTAAATGAGTATGAGAAAGTGCTATAGTATGTTTATTCTGATGGATAAGGTTTCTGCAGAGAGTTCTTCTCATAATCCCCCACTCCCTTCTTCCATAGAGTTTATATGCTGTATGTAAATTGATTTCAACTTTCAGGGGGTGATGATGACGCATGGTAATGTACTTGCTACGGTTTCTGCTGTCATGACTCTTGTTCCCGGACTTGGCAAAAAAGACGTTTATTTAGCATATTTACCTCTAGCTCACATCCTGGAATTAGCTGCTGAGGTATGATCTATGTTGAATTTGTACCATAGGATTCCTTGCTGCCTAGGTGCCTAGCTGGCCAATAAATTTATCAAATTATCAACACATGCTCAATTCTCATTCTATAAATCCATATCTTTTCTACTGCAGAACATAGCAGCTGCAATCGGAGGGAGAATAGGATATGGATCCCCACTTACATTGACAGATACATCAAACAAGATTAAAAAGGGTACAAAGGGTGATGCCTCTGTGTTGGCACCTACACTGATGGCTGCTGTACCGGCAATTCTGGACCGTGTTCGAGAAGGTGTACGCAAAAAGGTTGGTAAGAATAGTCTTTTTTTTTTGGGTGATATCTTGCTCTTTCTCACATGTTTGGAGTACTTGTTAAAGGGGTAAAAAAAAAAACCTAATGAAAGAAAACATATTATTCCTAGTGGGAATGGAAGTAGTAGTTGATTAAGGTCTATCTACTTTAACTCTTTAAGAGAGGCTCCATCCTTTCTGTCTCACTGCAAAATACATTCTGACGATCAACTTCCTTCATTTCAGACCTGGGAATCTGAGATTAGCCTCCTGAACATTCTGTAACATGATATACATTTATATTTGAGTATTTCTCTGGTCCTTATATACATCTCTCTGTGCCCTAAAACTTCAAGGCTCTAGCTTTAAAGATGTATACATGAACCTACACACATAAGAAAGTCTGTTCATTGTTGGACGTCCCAATCCCGTTAAGAACCTTCTGTTTATTGAGAGAAAAATAAACTTCTGAACTAATCTAGACTCTGCTATATATGGTTGATACAATGCTCCATGCTTGTGCAAAAATGAGCACAGTAAAAATTGCTTTGTCGTAGATGATGTGCTCCTTTAAGTTGGCAATTGCGCAATTCATTACTGCAGACTACAGTTGTGTAGCTAGTCTTTTATATTACTCTTATAGTCCAAGTTTATAGTTCCAGCTTCAGGAATTACCAACCGTTAAACTTACATCGTCCTTGCCTATTTACTAAACTCATGCACCTATCAAACTAGCAGAAATTTGCTTTCCTTATATTGTTCTATCTTGTTTCATTTTTATTGGCATCCAAGGGAACTTTAGTAGAACCATGAAGATAGAACATGATAGTGTATTTTTCTCCTTCCTCTTTATGATTGTAAAATTTGAAGATTTTAATGTTGGATTATTCTGCGGTTTAGGTTGATGCAAAGGGTGGATTGTCCAAAAGATTATTTGATTTTGCGTACAACCGCCGCTTATCTGCAATGAATGGTAACTGGTGTGGTGCAAGGGGTCCAGAGAGAATTCTTTGGGATTTACTAGTGTTTAAAAAGGTCCGAGCAGTGTTGGGAGGTCGTATACGTTTTATTCTTTCTGGAGGTGCACCTCTTTCTGGTGATACACAAAGATTCATCAATATTTGTATTGGGTTAGTATGTTCATTGTTGTTTTTCATTTCCTAATTAATCTGTTGTTCTGTCACGAGCATCTACATCTGCATTTTAACAAAAAGCTAAATAGGTGACATACAAAATGTGGGACGAAGTGGAGTTGGTTGTTATCCGTATATGTCTCATATTTTCCCACTTAAGTGCTCTTATGGGTTTTCATTTGGACTGTGAATACTTGATATTGATATCTTTGTATTAACCTCTTTCTGCAAAAAGCTCTTAAGTGAGAAGCTATTGGGATTTTTATTTTCTTTATATTAGTATATGCTCCCTGTTTAACTTCTTTATAAAATATTATTAAAAATATACTTTCTTTATCTCTTGCTCATTGTGTATTTAATAAGCAATTTGCACCTTGTTGACCTAACAAGAGTGCTGTGTGCTTTTTTTTTGTCAATCTGTTTACAATCCTTGATAAAAATTGAAATTCTCTTAGATTGTGGACAGTTGGATTACATAATCCTTCAAAGTATTTCTTTTCACATAGACCTGCCACGTCTTTAGTCTATTTAAAGCCTAGCATCTATGAATATATTCCATGTTGTATTTCCTTTCAGTTGGTAGAGCTCCATCGCCTCCATGGCAAGTGTTTGTGGAGAAGGGAATCTCATATCATTGTCGAATTAGTGTTGATTTTTTACAATTAAGTAGTATATGTCTTTTAAAATTTCGCTGTAGATAAAAGAAGCTCATGTCATAGTCAAGTTGGTGTTGATTTATTGTAATTACTTGAATATCAAATTGGTGTTTCATTGCAACTATCTCTGGAAAGTAATCTATACTAGCTCAAATATTTTTATAACCTTCAAGTTGTGCTTGTATGGAATTTTTTTGCTTAACATGTTCAAGTCAAAACAAGTTTTGTTTTCTTATTCTGGAAGTCTGCCTATAGTTGACCAAAGTGTTTCTTTGCATATATCGCAAACCAATGTGTCTCTTGCAAAATTTAACATCTTGGTCACATTCAGTGCTCCTATAGGTCAAGGTTATGGGCTTACCGAGACTTGTGCTGGTGGAACATTTACCGAGTATGATGATACTACTGTTGGTCGTGTTGGACCTCCTGTTCCTTGCTCATATATTAAGGTGAAGTATATTGTTTTTTTAAAATATATTTCAAATTGCTACCACAAAAAAAGAAATATTGTAGGCTTTTTTGTGAATTCACATTTATTACCGTTGCTGTGCTTAGGAAAAACACTAAACCTTTTAATGTAGTACTTTATCAAGAAGCTTGGTTTTAAGCACGTCTATTACATGCTTTGTCAATTGAAATTGTTTCTACTTGAAAGCGAGGATGATTTATAGTTTTTCACTGGACCAAGATGCAGGACCATGGTCTGAATACTTAGTCTTTTACATGTCTTGCTGCAACATCTACAATTACTGTAATACGATGGTTGTTTGTATTTCACATGTAATTAGTTATAGTCTCTGTATTGAAACATGTGTAACATACCATGTTGCAGTTAATAGATTGGCCTGAAGGAGGATATCTTATCAGTGATAAACCTATGCCTCGGGGGGAAATTGTTATTGGTGGTCCAAATGTCACACTTGGATATTTTAAAGATGAAGACAAGACCAATGAAGTGTACGAGGTTATCTTTCATCTTCTGCTGGTTATCCTGTCATGCTTTGTGAAAACCATGGCTTTATGCACTCAATTTTAACTTCATTACTTTGTAATTGGAAGGTTGATGAGAGAGGGATGAGGTGGTTCTATACTGGTGACATAGGACAGTTTCATGCTGATGGTTGCCTTGAAATAGTTGACCGTAAAAAGGACATTGTTAAGCTTCAGCATGGGGAATACGTTTCTCTGGGAAAGGTATTGCTTTACACATAAATTTATATCTTTACTACGAAGTATATATCAGTTCCAAAACCTGATGTCTTTTTTTTTACCTGTAGGTTGAGGCAGCTCTGATTACAAGTCCCTATGTCGAGAACATCATGCTGCATTGTGATCCTAATTATAGCTACTGTGTGGCTGTCGTGGTAGCCTCAGAATCTGCTGTACGAGATTGGGCAGTCAAGCAAGGAATTAGTTTCACCGACTTTTCTGACTTGTGCCAGAAAGAAGAAACTGTTAAAGAAGTTCTTGGATCACTAGTAAAGGTTAGTCTACTACAGAATTTGATTGGAAAGAGGAAACTCTTTTGAGTTAGCATGCGTCTAGTCTAGTCATGTCTATTATGATTAATACTTCTTCAAATGCTTCTCACCCTCATGAGGCCTCATCCTTCCAAAACAATTTGGAAAAAGAATGCCCTTCGTAACCCGCATTTGAATATAAATAATGTTTACTATAAATTTTTGGGATTATGTATGTTTGGCTGTTTCGTTAAGAGACTTTTTAAGTATAAATAAGTCGAAAGACTTGAAACAGTAGGATTTTTGTTTTTTAACAAAAAAGCTAGAGATTTGAAGTAATGGATAGCATTTGCTGATTGATATCTTATGCTATTATGTAGGAAGCGAAAAAGGCTCGCTTGGAAAAGTTTGAGATCCCTGTAAGAATCAAATTGCTTTCAGAACCGTGGACACCAGAGTCGGGATTAGTTACAGCTGCTCTGAAGCTCAAGAGAGAAGTTGTCAAGAAGACATTCTCAGACGAGCTCGCAAAATTATACTCTACATAATACACTCTGCAGAATTTGCTGCTGTATGATAGATATGTCGCACAATAAGGTACTTTCACCTGTTTAATTCCTTCTGGTTTATCTTTTGTAACATAATTCCTGTCGACACAAGCCTCGTTTTTTAGAGGGGGGAGGGGGGGGGGGGTACATAAAATACCTATCTACTTCATCTGCTTTCTCAGTTTATTCTTTCATTTCTTGATGTTCAATAGGAGCACATTGAATTTATTTATTTTTTGGTTCTCTTTGTGATAATGTCACAAGACAATTTACAGAAATCCCAAAGAATGAACCAAAACCATTGGATACTTTATTAACATGCTGCTATTAATGTTGTTTTCGGAAATTTTGATCCCACTGTCATTTTCTGAGCTAGATTTATTCTTCGAGGTCGTTGTAGCCATTTATGCAACCACTAGTTAGTGTGGGAAACTTTGAACTCGTAGGATAGTGAAGCCTACCTACTACGGAGTATTTATCAGTTGGCTAACTCTACTTCAATTTGGACTTGTGTGGTGAATTGATGATGTGATATCAATTACAGCGTAAAATGGATAGGCATGATTATTGCCTTCACGATGTTAGCTTTTGAAATAATGTTCCGTTCTTGACAAGTATATGTATGTAGAGGGTAAATGTCATTAAATATTTACATTAGGAATCTCGTGCATGACTAGGGCTTTCCTAATGTGATAGTTTGATGGCTATTAGTAGACGATAGGAGTTTATACTAAGACCACTTAATCGTGACTAAGAAAGCATTTGCGTAAGCTTGTGAAGCTCCCATACTTCTGAAAGACTATGCCCATGTTTGTTTTGTACTAACGTTGGCATCACTTTTTGCCCAGGAATCTGCTGTAGTTTGTTTACTCGGTGGCTAACTCTTTTAGGAATCCTTGGTATCGTTTGATGAAAATTTAACCATTTTAATGTCGAACAAGTTATGTATACTTTCTAATGGATCGGATCGTTGATGGATAAGGACAATTATTTTTTTAAGGCATCGGCCGCATTGGGTAATCGGGTATATGTTCCTTTCCAACGATGGTCCTCGGGACATTAGTACGCCCACTTTGCCTAAACTTTAATGTGCAAGAACTATCACCGTGTTTCAAAGTTCAAACTTCTTTGAGGAAGAATTTTAAAAATTGAGAAAGGTAAGCAAAGATATTCAATCATCATCCAAGTGATTTTTTAGTATGCATAACTGCTAGACATGTCAATTTCTGACCTGGCCCGATTCTAAACTTGAGTTACTAAGAGATAACTTGAACCTGACTCGACCCAAAGGACCTGAAATCCACCCAATTTGACCTGTTTATCATATTTTGTAATGATCCAAACCACTTGAACCAAACAACTAATACGCCCTGTAATTAACCTGAATTCGACCCGTTGACCCAAATTGACAAGTCTAATAACAACATAAGGGTGAATTAACTTAAATCATACACATTTAAACTCTTATCCACTCCAAATGGATGTATGATGTAAATCAAAGCAATACCGGATTCTATTTTCATTCGTTTGAGTTTTTCTATACCTTCTAAAATGATACTCCTTATGAAACTTTCGATTCTAAACCAATGATGTTTTACTTAGTTTTGTAAAAACTTCCAACTTTTTTGTTGCAAAAGTTGAGAATTGTTATTACTACCTTTCATTTGATCTCTCTTTTAGGGGTGGTTGATGTCCATGCTGTCCTTTTACGTAGCTTATTACCAACCTCAACTCCCTTAAAGAAGCAACTAAAAGTACGTGTATTTTTTAAAACCTTTCACAAGCCAGTTATGTATCTACATACTTCTTAATCATCACCTTACTTATACATCTACATTCCACTAGATCCAATTGACATAATTCCATATAACCCTATTAATGTCTATCGACTTTGACATCTTGTAACGCTTTATATGGCTCCTTGCACTTTTACTCTTCGCCCTAAAATATGAAATAACCCTACTTGAATTCGACTAGCTTGATTGTTTCGACCATCTCTAAATCAAACTTAACCCCTTCATAGCGATAGATGGCTACTCTATTCACTAAACTCTACGTATTTTACTAAATGTCACAGTGAATCAATCCCAACCGAGTTTATTCATTGGTACAATCCCAACCGAGTTTATTCATTGGTACGACCCGAGATATCTAATACACTCATACTAGAGTCTTGCTTAATAAGTAGCAAAGTATATCTAATGATATAGATAGAGTCAAAGAAGCAAAGACATAAACAAAAGGGACCCTAAGATGTGAAATTGGAAACTGAAATGAAGGCTACCTTAATCAAAATGGGAACAACTTAGACTTTTCTTCCATGTGACCCCATACCTTGTTCTTTCACCTTTTTTATTTTTTTTCCTTTGTTTTCTTTATTTTTGATATACTTTTTATTTATCTTTTCTTGCTTTTATAAAATTGTTTCGTCATTTATATATTCTTGCTTAATTCCATTTTCTCTTCCAGCCTAGCTTGCATACTTGCATGTTTACTTCCTTTTGCTTTTCATTCATATCAAATTTATTGATCTTGTACGACGTGTAAAGATCTAATAGGATAAGTGAGAGCGGAAAGAAAATCATAATATTATTATGGGTAAGTGTGAAACCCGACTCAAACGAAGGAAGGAAATGAATAAATGAAACACCTTAACTTAAAATGGGCCAAGTAAATTGAGATTGATGGTATAATTTAAGTAGTGTTTTTCCGTTGAAGTTTAAGCTTGTTTTATTGGTAGGCCATGAATTACATATCATAGAGCTCGCTCTATGCTTTATTAACAAGTTCTTGATTTTCTATTTTATGACGTTTGGGAAAAGGGGGAAAAAGAGAAAAGAAAGAATTTCTTTTTTCTAAAGCTTTTACATTCTTTTCGTTTTTTGCCCTTTAAAAAGCAAAATTGACTTTGTAAAATTGAATTTTTGAAAAAACAATGATAATTATATTGTAGTACATTATACTACTCAGTATTCCTTCATAACTACGGAGTATACAACAATAATGATCTATTTGTATTATGTATTCTACTTTTATTTGAACAAGAAGATTCAAGTGTATGTGATTACACTTAAGTCATTGTGGAAATTTGAAATAACATATTAGAGTTTACCAGATAAGTGTTAGAATATGTCTTGAATCAGTTAGTTGCCTTCAAACAAATCAACAAATGTCACAAAGGCTATTCAAATTTAAGAATGTTATAGATAGTTTTGACTATAATACAACACACGTGATAATTAAATGTAATATACCAACAATAACTTATAACTACTTGAGTTATGCTCATAGAATTTGAAACACACAAACTTTATTTTGAAACATAGAAAATTATTACACATAGCGTGTATGTAGTATGAACCACCACTTTCTAATACGTTATAGTACAAAATCATAAATTCACATTACAACTCGCAAAGAAAACTCTAGACTTTGACCTTAGTAAATAATAAGAAATTATGTCCTTAATGATGGTTTTTTGGGGCAAAGTGGAGGTGAGATGCATTAATTCTCTTAATCTAAGAAGGTTGTCAAGAACAAAATTAACAAATTCCAAGCCTTAATTTTTTATAATATCAAGATTTGACCATAAGCCAAATGCAAGACTCACCCCAACTCTAAAGCAATAGTTTTTGCGAAACAATGTTGCGTAACAAGTGGAAAGACAGCCGACCAACTCTCTCTTTTTTCACTATTGGGATTATTCACAAGAATTGAAGTTTGCTCTAAGAAATGTTGGAGGATACAAAATATCTTTTGTATTAATAGAAAATTGATTCTCCTAATTATAAACAAAGTAAGGGTCTATTGTGATTTCTATTGAGCTGAACTGAACTAAACTGATTAGAGCTGAACTGAACTAAACTGATTAGAGCTGAATTGAACTAAACTGTTTATGAGATAAGGAAATTAGGAATTGAACTGATTGGAGTTGAACTGAATGAAATAGACGTATTAATAGTGTTATGCAACATTGTATGTCTTTTTACACTTTTATAATGAATCATACACGTTTCCATTTCGCTTAAAGCCGAAATTACTATTTACTGATCTATGTTAATTTGGATTTCTTTGCAATTCTATTTAGTTTAGGTCATTTTAGTTTTAAACAATAAGGTCTAAAGTGAATATTGATGGACTAAAACATGGTAACTTATTTTTATGGACCTAACTTTAATTTGTTTATTTTTTTTAGAATGGACCTAACTTAAGTAATTTATTACAAGTATAATTTTCCTGACTCAACATGAGTTTTACAAAACTTGGTTTGACAAGTTAAGGGAAGGTGAATTGAAGGAAGGGATCATAATTGTATCCTATTGATGCACAAACTACTAACCTCCTTGTAGAGAATTTATGAAGCTAGATCGGTTATTATCTTAATATAGTCTCGTTGTTTTCATGTCCAAATTCTTATATCTAATACGAATATTGTTTATGTTAGGATTTTTTACTTTTAACAAAAAAAAAAAAAAAAAAAAAAAAAAAAAAAGGTATTTTACCAACAAAACTTTTAAAAATTTTATTTTACCCCCAAATTTTAAAATTGTTTCTTTTACCACCTACTATTAAATCTAACGGTTTTAAAAAAAATTCTTCGATTTTTGTGCAAAAATATGTTCTTCTTAGGTTCATGGGGTATTTTGGTCCTATTAATCCAATCCGAGGTCAAAATTGACAAAAAAAATGATCGAAAATGCCTCATTTTGCATGTTTTACGAAAATTGAGGTATTTTTAAACACGCAAAATGATACATTTTCGATCATTTTTTGTTAATTTTAACCTCAAATTCAATTCAAAGGAAAACCCCTAAAGATCATGTGTTTGGCATGAAAATCAAAGAATTTAAAAAACTTTGTTAGATTTTTATAGTTGGTGGTAAAAAACAATTTAATTTTTTTATTAATGGTAAAATAAAACTTTTAAAATTTTTGATAAAAGACAATTTCTTGATTTTTTTTTAGTAGTAAAAGTAAAAAATTCCTTTATTTTATCACATTTTTACCTCACACATCTAATATGAGATACTAATGCCAACTTTGTTGCTCAAAACTTGAAATTGATTTCCAAAAATATAGAAAATAATTACAAGTATTTTATTTAATTTTTTTTTTTTTTTTGAAGACTATTACAAGTAATTAATACTGAGTAAATTTTCTTAAAAATTAAAGATAAATAGAGTACTCACCTAACAACTGTGGACGCAACAACAATACTACAACTAATTCAAGGTGGTAAACTGATTTATTGTAGTGTCACTTTGACAATAATATACAGTATCCGAAAGTATAATAATGGGAAAAAAAAATAGCAGATCAAAAAGGTAAGTACATAAGTTAAATGTAGAATATGGGTGTAATAAAATTACCACAAATCTTCAAAAAAAAAAAAAAATGCAAGTGTACGTTAATTTATCATAAAACGGGTTAAATTTATCTTAAAAGCAAGCTACTTTTTAAAACGAATTGAACTGAACTAAACTGAAATTAAGATGAAGAGAATAGGCCCTTACTTTTAAATTGATCGTCTTACAATAAATTAACGTACATCCATTTTACATACTCATAATAATTACAGCATGTTGGCATGAAGCAGAGAAAGAACGTGGGTTGAAGTGAAAATGAATTTGGGGATTAATAATGAGTACAAAATTGATGAAATATTCTTAAATACTACTCGTATTTACTAGTCGTGGTAGTTTGAATGGTCTAATATCAGCAGACAGCAGTAGTACTATAGTGTAGAATGAGGTGAAGCAGAAGATAGAGGTAAAGTTTGACCAATGTTTATTTTTTGAAGCAACAGTAAACAAAAGTACTCTGTAATCTGCATTCCATGCTGCAACCAAATGATCAAACATCTTCATCTTTTTTCGTGCTCTTTTGACCTTCTTTTCTTTTTCTTTCCAATACATGCTTTCTTTTATACGGATTAGAGATACACTCTCTCCTTATTTCAAAATACCATGTATAATGCATGTATTCTACAAGTATGACAAGCTAAGATCAGTCTAGTGGAAAAAATTACACCGTTTAACTTAGAGGTAATTTAAGTATAGGATTCTTTGCTCCTGTTCACTCTCAAATTAAATGTTTAATTCAGAGTTTGTTCTCTTACGTTGAAATTCAGTTCAGTTCAGTTCAGCTCCTAATTTCCTTCTCTTATAAAATATTTAGTTCAGTTCAGCTCAGTTCAGTTCAGCTGAGTTCAGTCAATGAGAACATGCCCTCAGAATACCGAAATAAATTAACTTTGAAGATTTAGATCTAGATATTTTTATTTATTTTTTACTTTTTTATTCTATGAGTATTTTGGATGTTCTAATGTGATGTACATATTTCTAATCTATGATTGTAAATTTCAATTAAAAATTTACAAACTATTTTTGAATTATACATTTTCAATTAATAATATAGTTTTATGAGAAATTTATTGGAACTTTGTGATAAGAAATTATTTGTCCAAACTTATTTAGTTTTCCTTAACTTATTTTATCTTAATTTATACTCTGTTCGAACTTAAATTATTTTTTTTTTTTTTAAAGAAAAAATTATTATTTTTAAACAAGATAAAATAATACCATGTGATGGAAATAATAGAGGCAAAATTTACCCGTTATAATTTGACATTGCATTACCAAGTACCAAATAATCCGTAACAAACTTCAATTTATTACTGCACAATTTTTTTTGGACAAAGGGGTAAATTGTTAGAGATTTGACATATAAAGGAATTAGGAAGATATATTCCTTGTGATTTATTTCTATTAATATTAGATTATTTGGATATAATTAATGCACTACTAGTATGATTTAGTGTATAGTATACAATGGCTAATAAAACAAAATCACATTAATAAATATAAAAGAACTAATAACGTTTAAAACAAATGAACACTAACTCCAACCACTAGACTATTGGCCTGTTCTGTTCAACTTAATTTCAATTCAGTTTAATTCAGTTCAGCTTAGCTCAGTTCAATTAAGTTCCTAATTTCCTTCTCTAACAAACAATTCATTTAGCTATATTCAGTTTAGTTCAGCTCAATTTTGTTGTTTTCAGAAAATCAAAACAAGCTCTAACTTTGTTTCTCGAACTTGTATACATAAATACAGAATCAACAGTATAGTATCGAATAAAGTACAAGTATATAATAACGTATATATACGTTAGTACAAAAATGAACATATTAGCCAACATTGGCTATACACAACACTTTATGCTCCTTTTAAGCTCATCATCTTTTCTCACACATTTATTATTATTCTCCTTCTTCCTTCTTCCTTCCTCCATACCATATCATATCATCTTCTCTCTTTTTTTTTTTCTCTCTCCTTTACCCAAATTCCACCAATTCATCACCAACCAAACACTCCCTTATTCTCTCTCCTCCTCCTTCAAACCCCCAAAATATGAATGAAACAACTTACAAAGAACATGGTTTATTATCTTGTTATTTCCACCCTAAAGAAATTATCTTAGGAGTTTGTCATCTTTGTCTTAATGAAAGACTCCTCATTTTAGCAGCCAAACAAGGTGCTAAATCTAATAAGTCCTCCAAATATGATTATGATTATTTTAAGAGTAGTAATAACTCTTTTAATAATAAAAATTATGATAATAATTCTTATTATCATAATAATAAGGCTAAATCTTATGTTAGCCTTCCTAAAATATTTGCCATTGCTTCCTTTTTTAACACTAAAGATAGTTTCCGCCACCGCTGCCGCCGTAGCCGCCACCGTGAGTCTCACCGGCAGGATGTGTTTGATGATGTTGATGCTACTTCCACAAGTTTAGAAGGTATATAATCTTCTTATTTATTTCATTATATTTTTTTATATATATATAAATAAATATTTTAACAACTACTATCATGTGATTTTTTTATTTTTTATTTTTCAAATAATTGATTTTATTTAGGAAAGAGTGCCTGAGTAGATAATATTTTTTTTTATTAAATGTATGTTAATTCTGAAAAAGAAATTGTCGTTTTCTTTTGCTGGTTGAAAATGTCATTTTTCAAATCGGTGGAGTCCTCCCAAATAATTTATCATGTAGACAGAATTTAATCTCGTGTTTTGAATATTATTGTGTCCTTGATGTTTAACTACGAACTAAACCAGCTGACATTTCGAAAGTCATGAATATCTTAAATGTCTAATCTCGTGTTTCAAAGTATTATTGCATATTTGCATTAGTCATGTAAAATACACTAATATGACGGTTATTAAGTAAAATTCTAAATTAACATTATTGTTAGGAGTAGTATTAAAATCGTAAAATGAGAAGAATTATATACAAGTAAAAAAAAAAAATGAATTAAAGTGACAAGTTTAATGAATGGAGAAAATATATGTACTCCTATTTGCTTTCATGATCTATCTCGTTATTTGTTCGCTCAACAACATCCCAATAATAAGTCTTGCACCGGATTTTCGCTTCTTTTTTTAAAATACAGTAGATTTTTTTGGCTTTTGATAATGCGGCTAGAGTTTTAAAAGTACAACCGGTTATACTATGTGTATAAGTCGTACAACCTTGTTAGTAATTTTTTTAAGCCAAGTATTCTAGATTAGCATACGTGTTAAAATTAACCATACATCCGATTATCTAGTTGTACAATAGAAATATAATTGGATGATAAATGGAAATTAAGGTGCCAAATATAAATTGATGTAACGACAGCAAAAAAATGTCACACCTAACCACAATAAAGAGGTAGTAGTGGTTATGGTTGATTGTTGAGAATCTATTCCTAATTTCTGGTATAATACATGATTGGCTATAATATAACTGCCTTAAACCTAATTTCAACCAGAGTCAATGATGCCTAATTATTTATCGAATCATGAATTCTGCTAGTTAATTAGTATTATACAATGATGATTATTTACTTCTTGGGTACAAGTATACAATAGAAGCATTGTGTAGTAGAATCATACAAGTACATTTTTTTTTTTTTGCTTTGAAGTTACTCAATTTTGTACGTATTGATGAAAATTAAAAAAAGTCTTATCATATTTTCAAAGCAATTAGCGCTCATCAATTAAAATTGTGCGAATATGCTACTCGTATATTTTAGATACTATATACCGTATTAAATTAAAATACTTTATTTTCTACTCCTTACCCTTTAAAATGTTACAATATTCATTACACAAAGTTATGGAGTATAATTTAAAATGTTACAATATTTATGACACCTTTATCAAATTTAGGATCACATTTACAATTTTTTGGTTAACTTTTATTAACAAAGCATAAATACTTTGTAATTTTTATTTATGTTAGGGTAACTTTTATTTATATTAGGATAATTATGCTCATTTTAGGATAATTTTATAACGAAGTTATAATATTTTATTGTACATCTGATTTATTTTAAAGTTTGTTTAATTTATTTATTTATTTTTGTAGAAAAAGTACAATTTATATTATACTCGATCAGCATTTATTTAAATAATTAATGTATTTTCCTACCTTTTTTTTTTTACCAATAGAGGATGATTCATTTATATCAATCAAGTTTGGGGACAATGGAGTAGCGTCATGGGACAAGACTAGCAGTAGTGTGACAAAGGTGTCACTAGAGCAACATTGCAGCTTGTCTTGGGGTGGTCAAACCAAAGTCAAAGATGCTACCATCAAGGGTACTGATTGTAATAATAGCAACAAAAGTGTGGTGGAGCATGCCAAGCCTAGAGGGGCGGTGTCGATGAGGTGGCGGAAGCGGATCGGGCAGTTATTGCAAGTAATAAGATGGAAGAAATCTAGCAATGCCACCAATGTTGGAGGAGGGAATAATGTTAATAAGGTGGTGGAAGGTGTGAAGGTAGTGAGGAATAATAAAGGTTGGATTAGGACATTAAAGAGCAAGACCAAGGAATGAAATAATTATATATAAATAGATATATATAGTTTTTGGAATTAATTTTTCTTATCTTTTGGTGTGATTTTTGGGATTAATGTGATATTGTGATTATAAAAGATCAATAATGAAATTGAAAGGATATGGCATAGTTTTATACTATGATTTTTGATGTACTCTTTAAGTTTTATTAATGTCATGATTTCATAATAATAAACTATAATGTGGTGTCACATTTTATTCTGTATATCTTACTTAGTAGTCACTACTCACTAGTCAATATACAAGAATACAAGTTTTATTTATTTAACTACTAAGCTACTGACATTATACACTTTATTATTCCATAAAAAAAGAAGAATAATTAGGATTGTCAATGAATCTTTGAAATCAAGCAACGTTGAGAGATATTATATAATTAGTCTATCATATCAGGTTGCTTAAATATCAAGTTCATTGACTAACTGTTTAGGTTTGAATAGTCATTTTGTGCATGTTTACGAGAAATGATTGTGAAATAAGAGGTGTGTTAAAATCAATTTCCGAAGTTACTTGTAAAACTAGATTGCGGAGAGTATTTTATTCTTCTAGCTGTATCGATTATTAAGTAATACTCGGTGTTCTATTATAAATTATAAAAAATTATACTTTACATTAGCTTTTAGCTGATTGATATAGCTGATTATATTAACTGGTTTGACTAGCTGATTATATCAGCTTATTTGACTAGCTAGTTGTAAATAGCTGATTGTGTAAAAGTGTTTGGTAAATAGCTGTTTATTATTAGCTGTTTTGATGTATTTAATACCCAAAAAGCTAATTCTTCAATAAGCTAATTGTAAAAAGCTCTTAAAATGAGCTTTTTCAAAAAGAGCGGTTCTAGAACCAAATAATTCTTTTAATAAGTTATTTACTAAACACCCAGATTAGCTTTTTAAATTGGTCAAACCTCTAATATTGCTCAATAAGCTAAAAGCTTTTCAAAAAGCTCTTTACCAAACAAGGCCTATATCAAAGTTGTGGAAACAAACTCAACGGATATCCTCCTAGGAGGTAAGGATCAAGAACTATTCTCGATAACCCTATAAGAGTTCATTTTGATATGACAATTGGCAAAAGTGATATACGTGTATCATATGGAGTACACATTACAGAGTGTATTATTAGCAATAAGATAGCTTTGAACTTATAGGTCCATTTATACAATTTTCGTTTTTTTTTAAATTTTTAATTTTTAATTTTTTTAATTTTATTTTATTACTTGACATGTTTTGACTTTGGCATTATTCATATACTTCCCTTTAACCGTGTTTTGTGCTTTATACGTAATGAAAAATATAGTAATGCGCAACCTTGTTAGATTCATTACAATATATATTTTCAAAATATCAACTTTTCATAATTTTTGTTTATCAATAATTAAAGATATTAATGGTTGAATTTATACATTGACAAACGTGACTAAAGAATTGTGTCAACTAAAAGGAAACAGATGAAGTATTAAGAAATTTTTTATATTTGAAGTATATTCTTATCAATTATTGAAAGAAATAAAACTATTTCGTGCTAATGTATCCATATCTATACGTATTTGATATTAAAAGTAAAAGTATAATTCTCACATGAATTAATTAATTTAAAACTTAGAAACATTATTTGATAGAGAGAATCTCTCTTTATTATGAGAGAAAGATTAATCACATGCCAAAATCACCTATTCACCACTACATAAATAATAATCTTAATAACTTTTGTAACTTGTAGCACTAAAAATAGCAAATTATGTTGATATAAGTGGGAAACAAATGGAGAAAGGCCCCATTTTAATTTGAAATTATATAAGACTAGTCAAGTACAATTATAAGAGTGGTAGTGTCTTTTAGCTGCTGCCTTGGTTGGAAGAATATCTGGTTTCATGCATCTCTGATCTTTTCATGCATGCATCATCAATCATCCCAAAGCTAACCCAGATTACTGAAAAAGAGCCTTTGGTGGATTGTGACGTTCAATCCTGTTACTTAGTGTATCAACTGTTGGATTGTGAAAGACCCGCGCACTAATTCACGTACTTCTCATGTCTATCTAACTCGGGTTGGGGTCATATGTCCCAATATGTGTCGATTGATCTCATCTTGTGTCATCCGACCTTAGTCAAGATAATCGGCTAATGTTGATGTTATGGCATACTCGTAGATAATGAGGTCTAAGATGAAACACAAAATGAGATTAATGTATGATCTCTTTTGCACGTACTGACATAATGAGTCTAATAATTATTAGCTGGTCGTAAAAATGTTGGTTAATCACTAAATAGGAGGCGCTTTTGGTATACTTGTGGAGTTGTGGTATCCACACAATACGTAAAGATGGAGAGAAAAGGGAGGCAAATTGTTGTGCTCCCCATAATAGAAGATCAAATGATTCCTATAGTAATATGTATTGAGTGTACTATATAGTTGGTTAATAGCAAGCAAAAGGGGACCAAAATTGGATGATTATATGTGCAATTGGACCATATATTATAAAAGGGGTGTTTTAAGTTATGGAGAAAAAAGGGTTAATAAGAAGCAAGAGGGTATGGGACGAAAATGACAACACATTTTGTTACAAATATATATTATGACTCGAGCACATGCATTCACCATTAATCTTGATGCCTATTTTGGCTCCTCTATCTGTCCTCTAAAACATGGAGTTGAGATTTTGTTATGCTTTTGTAGGCCTTTTGCCAGTTCTAATAATGTTCCTTGTTGCAATTTTTTTATTTTTTTTATATATTACAATATGGTTTTAGTTTTTTTTTTTTTTTTTTTTTTTTTACTTTAACTTATTAAAATAGCTCCTACGTGATAGAGAATATACGCAGAATATTCAATCTTTAACATGTTTAGGATAATATTTTGCATTTATTTCTATCACTACATCTACATCTACATACTACATACAGAGTAACATACATGTTTACAACTATGTTTGATATGAGTAAGAGTCTGCTCTCATTGACTGAACTCAGCTGAACTGAACTGAACTGAATTGAGCTGATCTGAACTGAATTGAGCTGAACTTAACTGAGTTGAAATGAATATTTTATAAGAGAAGGAAATTAGGAGTTGAGCTGAACTGAACTGAACTGAGCTGAACTGAACTGAATTGAACTGAACTGAACTGAGCTGAGCTGAACTGAACTGAATTGAATTTCAACGTAAGAGAACAGGCCCTAAGTAGTGTATTCTCTTCAATGATGAATTTCCACACTCAATTTTATGCTTAACATATTTATTAGTTCAATTACAATTTACAAGTTATAATTTTATTTATTTATTTATTTTAATTTTTTTAGGAAACAAGTTATAACATTTCTTTGTCATACACTAATTAGGTATTTAGAAAAGCATCAAAATTATATATCACATGCAAACTCGCTCATTATTTCTTCCTTTCACATGGTTAAAAAATGAAATGTTGCATTATTCATTACATTATTTATATTGGTTATCATCCAATTATTAGATACAAAGTACTATTGTACTAGTGTATAAAGAGTTCATGTGCATAAATTAAAAGAGCTGATCATCTATCTCTAGCTAGTTTAATTCCAACGGAGTAGTTCTTAGTTTCTAGTTCCTAACAAAGGAACTATCCAGTTCTCAAATCTCAACTTTGTAAGTTGGTTGTTCTAATGTATGGAGTACCATCGTAAAACTTTCATGGTATTATAACACATAATGTGTTTCATAAATATTGCAAAAACTTTTGTTAGTCATAAAATTTACAATTGTTTGACTTTTACTTTTGTAAATTTACAACTTTGGTCATTAGAAGCTTTTATTACAACATTTTACTCTGTACATAATATTGTAACAGTTAGGTAGCGTTAGGTCATTAACAAAGAAAGTTGAAATTCACATAATTTAGAATTTGTGGGAATCAAATTGCTTATTTTAATTTTATGGGATTTTTCTAAAGTTATAATTGCAATGTGGGAAATAATTTCTCATAGGGATTTTTATTTACCTAAGCTAGGTAATTAAATTCCTACATACATACATACAACTACGTACTACATACGATAATTTCATAAAAATTGTAACACTTTGATTTTTGCAGTATTTATATACTAACCTGGGTGTTGTAGTACGTGGATAGTTTCACACTTTATGAATGTAGACTAGATAATGATTAACATTATTAAAGTCTAGTATTATACACGTACAAAATAATTTTGAATTGAAGAAGATGGGAAGTTCCAAGTAGGTTGGCTGCTAGACGAAACTAAGAAAAGGACTCCACAAACAAGGAGCAAGAAATAAGGCTCACAACAAGGAAAATAAAGGCAATACCTTTTGTATTTTTTGATTAGACACTTCATCTTTAAAGTTCTAACTATTATAAAGAAGAAGAGGCTTCATCTTTTGAAATTAAGCCCAAGTCAAAACTACTCTTAAGAACCACGTTCTCATGTCACATTATTTTTTTGTTCTACTTCCAAAAGACAACTTTCCAAGTCACCAAAATTTTATTAAAATAATAAGATTCTACTTAATAATACAATTAAATATACAAGTATATGAATAATAATCCCTATTATTGTATAGATTAACTTGTATAGATGAACTATTAAGTTAACTTAGCCCAACAAGAAACTATCTTTAAAAAAAGGGATGCGTCTAGCTAATAAAATAAAATCATCATAAATAAGGGTATCGCAAGTTGCAACCATAAGACTTTGATAGTAATAAATCATAAAATTAGTGATATAATGTACATCCTTTATTTTTTTTAATCAAACATAAAAATATATTACACACGAATGCATAACGCAAGTGCATGCTACACATCATGCTACACAAAGAATATACTCCGTATTATATAAACCCAAATATAAATAATAAATTTGTATACCAGACGTATTTACAAACAGTCCACATGACATGATGACAGAGTATAGATTAAACCTTCTTGATCGAAAAGGCATTAATTCATGCAAATATGTTGTCGTTGTGTTGTTATCTTATATTGCATGGTAGGCAGAAAAAATGAAATACGGCCATAAAACATACTTACAAAAAATATACAGGATACTCAACTATTTATGTGACATGTCCTAAAATGGACCGATTCATCTCCTAGCTTTCTTTTTTCTACTTATAGCTAAATACAAATATATGCATAAATA